ATCAGCTATCTTCTGAGCACTGATTCTCTCACGTGGCTGGAGCATCACTGCATTGTCACCTTTACCCAGTTTAATTAGGGAAATTTGTTTTCTCCATGGCTGCAGGCTGTACTTCACCCCAGCCAGACATCTTTCACCAAATCTTTTATTTTGCCCCCACCAGGCACTGGGAATTGGATTCAAGGTTTTTTTTAAATAACCAGGTCATAACATTTTAGAGAGCTTTTCCAGCTGCCAAGATCATTCTAAATGCTTCACCTATGAACTCCACAGCCCCGTGAAGTGTGTGGATACCATTATTAGCCCCATTTTACAGATGAGATAATGAGACACAGAGAGAGAGAGCAGCATGCCCCGGGTCACAAAATTAGTAAGTGACAGAGGTATGATTAGAATCCCAGGCAGCCTGAGTCCAGAGCCCACACTTTTGATAATCACTGACATGCCACTGTGAGGAAGATGTGGTCCCTACGGTTAAAGAATTTATTATCTATTGACAGAACCCTGAACATCCGTCGGGTTATAATCCACCGTGTAAAGTCATTTGATAGGAGAACAAGCAAAGGGCTCTGGGAGCCCAGAAGAGGGAGGGAGGGATCAACAGTTATTGTTTAGTGGCACAGTTGCAGTTTGGGAAGGTGAAAAAAGAGTTCTGGAGATGGATGGTTGTGATGGTTCACAAGAATATGAATGCACTTAATGCCACTGAACTGTACACTTAAAAACGGTAAAATAATGATAACAACAACTGCATATGAGGAAAAAATTGAGCAGACCAACTTCTCCCAGCTTTGACAATTCTTTGCTTTCTTCTGAGACACAGTGATTTTTTTTTTTCACCTTTGATTGTGTTGCCTAACATGTGACAAGCCATTCTTTTACACCTCTTAATGACAAGCAGAGCAGTTCTGCCTACCCATGTGGCTTAATCCTTACCAAGCTTTTCATCGTGACTTTAAAACAAAAGAATACAGACATGCAGCTGTTCCTCCAGAGGTGAGTACTGGCTTCACTTTAGCACACTTAGATCTGGCAGCTCTGTTCCCAGTAACTTTTTATTTCACTGAAGCATTGAAATGAAGTCTTTTTTAAAATAACTTTTAGGAACCCAAATTAAAGTTGAAACACACATGTTACTGTAGAGGCCAACCAATCAACCCAGGTGGCCCATGGAGGAAGAGAGATGTGTCTGCATGGCTGAATTTACACGGTGCTCGCATACAGAGGAGGTGACAGCTATGGGTGTGGCAAGTTTCTTTTGGCACTGGTTGTAAAAGCATCCATAGTTTGGAAATATTCAAATGTGGGGATAGATTATTTACCATGGTCCTTGGTAGCAAACCAAAGAAGCTGACTAACTTGAGCAGAGAAGGAGTTTTTCAGAAAATCAGGCTGTTCACAGAATGGATAGGAAGACAGAGAGCTGGGCTCAAAAACTAGGTTAGGAAGCCACTATCACCGTCTAAATTCAGCCATCTCTGCCATAAATAAATTCTCATTTTCCCTGTGTCTTTGCGTCATTCCCTTAAGATTCAACACCATCCTCTGGTAGGAGAGGATTACATGCATGCTAAGTCACCTCACTCGTGTCCAACTCGTTGCGACCCCATGGATGGTAGCCCACCAGGCTCCTCTGTCCATGGGGATTCTCCAGGCAAGAATACGGGAGTGGGTTGCCGTGCCCTCCTCCAGGGCATCTTCTCAACCCAGAGATTGAACCAGTGTCTCTTGCAACTCCTGCATTGGCAGGCGGGTTCTTTATCACTAGCACCACCTGGGAAGCCCAGGAGATGATTGTCTGATTCTAAATCACCTATCTGTATCCCAGCCTGCTAACGAGTGGTGCAAGAGACTGTCTACCACACCTTCAGCGTCTGTGGTCCCCAAGGAACCCATGCTAACCCCCATCCAACAGGAAGAGCATTCAGCAAAGGACAACTGGTATCCTCCCCAGTGTGCATGCCGGACACAGCCTTTTCTTCGATCTGTTCGTGAACCTTCAGTTACCAAATGAGAGAGGCATGGTGTCGGAAAGACAAGTCCATCCTCCCTGTTGGAAAAGTAAATCCACACACAGGGCCTTCAGTGGGTGGCTTCAGAACGCCGTCCCGGCCCCCAGGGAACAGCACCGTCTTTCATTAGCTGAGCATCTCCTACCCAGGATCTGGGCTTTCTGGTGCACAGGTCAGTCTCAAATGACAGAACCCACATTACCTTAGGAGGAGGTTTGCTCTGGCCTCATAGGGACAGAACCAAGTGAAATCTTAACTTAGAATCTTCATATCCTACTCTATGACCTGTTCCATAGGCCTTTGATTTTCCTCTGATTTAAACTGGCTGCTGACAGCAATGAAAAACTCTAGCCCACATTCTGGGAACCGCCTTTGGTCTCCTTTCCCCCAGGGAATCAGGGAGCCCCCTCAGTGAGACAGAAAAGAGAAGTGAAAGGCCTGAGCTGGCAGCATACGCACATGCGCGGTGACATAAAGCCCTGCATCCAGTGTTTGTGGTTTCCTCTGGGGCGGAGGTTGAGGCGGGGGAGCTTGGGGAGGGTGTCATGGGAGGCTTCAGCACTTTCATGAATGTTTTCTTTATTTAAATGTATGTTTTTATTTTTTTAAGTTTTGGCTGTGCTGGATCTTCACTGTGGCACATAGGGCTTTCTCTAGCTGTGGTGCATGGGCTCCATAGTTACAGCTCGTGAGGTTCTCTAGTGAGGTACACTAGTTGTGGCCCCTGGGCTTAATTGCCCTGTGGCATGTAGGATCTTAGTTCCCCGACCAGGGATGGAACCCCCCTCCCTTGCATGAGAAGGCAGATTGCCAGCCACTGGACTACCAGGGAAGTCCCTATTTAAATATATCTGAATCCAGTTTGCTTGCTCAGTCACTCCTCTTACACCTGTTCTTCAGTTCATGGAAACTTTAGTCCATGGACCCCCTTTCTGTCTAACAGACCCCCTTTATTTCTGCTCATCCTCCTTTAGGCACTCATCTACTTTGGATTCCTCACTTCCTCCATCCCCAGAATCAACCAGCATCCGCAAACCCATGTAACATGTTTATATTCGAGCTGTAGTACATATCCATAGGTTGTTGAGTGGTGCTTTGTTTTTTAACCTTGTAAGTGAATGTTATAATGCTATACATGTCCTTTTGAAACTGATCTTTTTGTGTGTGAGATTTGCCTGTGTTGACAAGTGAAAATCTAGTTCACCCTCACTGCTATGTGGTATTTTGTTATTTAAATAAACTACACTTCAATTTTTTTTAAGTATTTGAAGCAAAGAAGGTCAAGTGAAAATTTCTTTTTTTTTTTTTCATTTATTTTTATTAGTTAGAGGCCAACCATTTCACAACATTGCAATGGGTTTTGTCATACATTGACATGAATCAGCCATGGAGTTACATGTATTCCCCATCCCGATCCCCCCCTCCCACCTCCATCTCCACCTGATTCCTCTGGGTCTTCCCAGTGCACCAGGCCTGAGCACTTGTCTCATGCATCCCACCTGGGCTGGTGATCTGTTGCACTTTAGATAATATACATGCTGTTCTCTCGAAACTTCCCACCCTCGCCTTCTCCCACAGAGTCCAAAAGTCTGTTCTGTACATCTGTGTCTCTTTCTCTGTTTTGCATATAGGGTTATCGTTACCATCTTTCTAAATTCCATATATATGTGTTAGTGTGCTGTAATGTTCTTTATCTTTCTGGCTTACTTCGCTCTGTATAATGGGCTCCAGTTTCATCCATCTCATTAGAACTGATTCAAATGAATTCTTTTTAATGGCTGAGTAATATTCCATGGTGTATATGTACCACAGCTTCCTTATCCATTCGTCTGCTGATGGGCATCTAGGTTGCTTCCATGTCCTGGCTATTGTAAACAGTGCTGCGATGAATACTGGGGTGCACGTGTCTCTTTCGGATCTGGTTTCCTCAGTGTGTATTTTTGTGAAAATTTCTTAAAGGTACAAGGTGGGCATGTCAATGTTCATCACATTATTCTCTAGACTGTTATATGTGTTTGGAAGTTTTCCAGATCTAAAAAAAGAGGCAAGAGCATGAAAAGTAGGATCAGGAAATAGCCCTTTTGGGTTCTGATTGCACTGCTTTGAGGCTTGATTCTAGAGCTAATCAGACCTGAGAATAAAAATAAGCCTGGGAGACTGGCCCCTTCTGTTTGCTTCTCATGGGACTTGCCTCCCTGGGAAATGCTCAAAAGCCTTGACCACAAGCCGAGAGGAGTGTTGATTTGGGTGTGATTTGGAGTGTGTTGGTACACAGCCAAAGTAAAATAAACAGAATTGTCATGGGTCTGGTCATTTTTAGAAAAAAATTGGCAAGAGACCATTTCATGGAATGGCTGTGAAACACAATTTTAAAAATATTTACAACATACTTAAGATATAAATAGTCCAAATGATAAACATAGGTCACGGTTTTGGCCAGGTCAACCTTTGATCTCCTTAACACTCTTAAAAATTTAGATAGGTGGAAATTTCTCTTTTGTGGTACTTCCTGTCCACTCCATGAGACTTCAGGTGGCCACTAGGTTTCTTCCTTCTCCAGCCCTGGTACTTTCAGAAAAGTGAGACTTTGGTAGAAATTGAGAGCTTTTGACCCCAAGGCCTGTATTTTCTCAGGACCATTACTCAATTTTGCCATTAAACCAAAAGATGGTACTAGGTGAAACAAGAGACTCCTGGGGGCTGAAAGAAACTACAGATGTGGAAGCAAGCATTGCCCAGTCGGTGACCACAATACCCCCTGTTACTGCCTATGCAAGGACTCCCAGCATCCCCAGTGTTAACTTGATGCATCCAGCCCAGAGGGCCCCATTTGAAACAATTTTCATATCGTGAGTCCTCCCCTTCCTCCAGCTTGAAGACGGCGCACTCTCCTTGGCAGCTGCTGGAGACCCAGGTGGTTCTGAGCCCCCTGCCTGCACACCCCCTGCAGCAGGCGGCCACACTGACCTGCCCCTTCCCTCCCCACAGGGTATGACTTCTGCCAGGTCCTTCAGTGGTTCGCTGAGCGGGTGGACAGGATTATCCTGCTCTTCGATGCTCACAAACTGGACATCTCAGACGAGTTCTCAGAGGCCATCAAGGCCTTCCGGGGCCAGGACGACAAGATCCGTGTGGTGCTGAACAAGGCCGACCAAGTGGACACGCAGCAGCTGATGCGAGTCTACGGGGCCCTCATGTGGTCCCTGGGCAAGGTCATCAACACGCCTGAGGTGCTACGCGTCTACATCGGCTCCTTCTGGACGCAGCCCCTGCAGAACACTGACAACCGAAGGCTCTTCGAGGCCGAGGCCCAGGACCTGTTCAGAGACATCCAGAGCCTTCCCCAGAAGGCGGCAGTGCGCAAACTCAACGATCTCATCAAGCGAGCGCGGCTGGCCAAGGTAAGCTGGAGACCCCCAGCAGCAGCCTGGGCAGGGACTCCTCCCACATGCACCTCTGTAAGGGAGAATAGGCGGAGGTTCTACTCCAGGAGCCCCAGGGAACAGGACGTGGAAGGGCTTTGAAGCAAGCCTGACAATCAGCATCTTCTTTAGATTCTGGCTCCTGCCTCTGTGATCTTGGGCAAATGACTCCTTTCCAATCCTGACTCAACCTATAAAATGGAACTAGTAAGAGCACATCCCAGGACGCTTGGGAGGGTTTAGTGTGACCTGGCTTGCAGAGTGCTTGACGTAGCACCCGGCACTCGGGGAAATGCATGTACTCACCACCTGGATGCTGCTGCTATGTTAAGATGGTAGGAAGGTAACCCGCCAAACCAGAAAGAGGTGGCGTTGGTGGGACCAGTGGGGTGCTGAGGTGCCAGCACTTGTCACCCTGTGCCTAAGGCATAGAGCCCTGTGTCATACGAGGGCGCAGAGAGGCCACAGGAGGTTGGCTCAGTCCAGCCCACCAATTATGCCATTTCGGGTGGGGGCACACCATATCCCCATTCTGGGCTGTGGTTCCCACTCTCCCACCTCACAGCTGAGCCTTTTAGCAGCCCCAGGAGCCTGTGCCTCCAGGTGCTGGGCCACCCTCAAGTGTGAACAGCATAGTCTATTTTGCTGTGTCTCTGAAAAGAGGGGAGCATGTGACTCCTCTAAGAAAAAGTACAGAAAAAAAATGGTTCTTTAAAACCTGTAGGTACATTTCATAAAATGGTATTCCTCTAACACCACAAGTGCCTCCAGAGTTTATCTAGTCCCAGTGATCATCAGACTTGCTCAGGAGCTTTAAGCAATGTAAGTTCCCAAGCCCTGCCCCAGAGCCTCTGACTGGGGGTAGAGTGTACGTGTGTGTGTGTGTGTCTGTGTGTGTGTAAAGCTCCCCAGGTGATGCTGATGATCAGTCAAGTTTGGGAACCAGAGGTCTTTAGTGACAAAGGATGAAAGACAGCCCTCCTGGCTTCCAGTCTAGCCTTCTGCTTTGGCCTTGTCCCTTCTGCTTGAAGCAGTCCTGGGCCCGCCTCTCCAGATCCCTGGTCAGGAGGCCTCATTTTTCCTTCACCTTCTGATGGCAGAGAACCTGCGTCTCCCCACTTCCTCTTGCTGCACCACGAGTGGCTTCTGCTCTGGTCTGGGGGCCCACAGGCCAGCCTTCTAGAGTCGACCATTATTTTGCCTGCTTTAGTCAACAGCACCCTAGGCCAGGGCTGGGCAGCCTAGTCAGGTGAAGGCGGGGCGCCAGACTCCCCTCTTCCGAATGATGAGCTGTGAGTGCCAAGGTGTAGACACTGTGCTCTGAGAAGGGACCTGGCAGGGGTGAGCAGCGGGGAGGGCTCCACTGAGGGTGGCCGATGTGCAGGTGACCAGCCGTCCAGCCCCTCTTCACTGCCTGCATGCTGGTGTGCTGCAGGGCAGCGTCCCTCCTGGCTGCGACCCCGCCCATCATCCCTGGATCTGGTCTTTCCTCTCCTCCCCCCAAGGCTTTTTCACACCCTCCACCCATGTGGTTCTGCTGATCTGCAGCCACCTGTGCTCCTGAGTCACAGCTTTTTATCTTTTCTTCTGCTACAAGCTGCTTCCTTCCCGGAACAGCCACTTTTGTTCCAGTTCTGCAAGGTTTGTAAATCCACTAATTTGCAGCTCTCCTGAGATGATTTCCCTCCCTGGCTCAGTGGCAGGAAGTCTGTTTTTGCCCAGTTAGTGACCCCCTAGCATGTGGTCTTTCTCTTTTCTGGCTGATATAACTGAACTCCACCTTCAGGGTACGTAATACCCAAAATGATTGTATAACCAAGGCTGGTAAATGATGTCATAGCCTTTTCAGATTTCAAGATCTTTTAAACTATTTTTAAGTGCCCATGGACTTTTTTTTTTTAATTTACCAGGCATTGCTGAGGGCCTGGTAACTCAAGATGCAGCTATGTTTGATCATATAATTAAATAAAAGGCAAAAGGCTCACTGGGGATGCCAAGCGCATGGGATTTTGCTGCCATCCTGGCACCTTGGGCCCTGTGAAGGGGCCGGCATGGCCTGGGTTTAGAGGCACAGAATACTGCTGTGTGTACTGACACGGGAATAATGAAAGCCCTTGTGTAGAGGCGGGGGGTGGGGGCAGGGGGCAGTCAAATTGCTGAGCTTACTTCTAGGAAAAAAGCTTGTCTTTTTTTTTTTTTCTTCCTAAGAATAGTATCTGGCTTGTTCCTTTTCATAAAGGAAAATGTTTGAAGTACGGATGTTTCCAGCCTGAGCTGTGCCAGTGTGTTCCTGGGGCGGCACCAGGCTGGCAGGGGGGGCAGGAAACCGTCTCAGGCAGAGAAGAAGCTAAACTCAGCACAATAGCCTTGACCACTAACCAATGCCATCCACTTCATACACCGTCTGCAGTTTTATGTTCATTTGTGAACTTGTTGCTGAAATGGACAAGGGGTCACCTGAGCCTTACTCTTTGAAGTGTTCCTGTTTCATAAAAATGCTCTTGGGTTTTGATATATTCATCTCTCTTTTTCCTGATCCAGTTTTCCTTTGGCAGGCCAACCTTGACTGAAGGTCTATAATGTTCTAGAAGCCCCACGATTTGCATTGCATGTGTTGTTTTATCTGATCCTGCCCACAGTACGCAAAACTGGACATTTCATTTCTCATACAGGGAAATGAAGCTCAGAAAGGTGACCTTACTTACCCAAGACTTCCCAGCCTGAAGTTATAGATTCAAACTCCAGTGGGCCTGACTCCCTGGTCCAGAAAGCATTCACCTGAAGTGCAGCGTGGACAGCATCTGTTGGTCTTTACCATGCCCTTGTTTTCTGTATTAATCTGTCATTCTGATTATTCTATAATATTCTCCATCCACATAAACCCTACAAAGTTTAGAAATTTGTCACGCTGTGATTTTGAAAACATGTGAAGGATAAGATTCCAGATATCACCTGGCAGGTGTCAGATCTGCGTTGGTATATTGTTGTTTAGTTGCTAAGTTGTGTCCGACTCTTTTGTGACCCCATGGACTGTAGCCTGCCAGTCTCCTCTGTCCATGGGGTTTCCTAGGCAAGAATACTGGAGTGGGTTGCCGTTTGCTTCTCCAGGGCCTCTTCCCAGGGATTGAACCTGCATCTCCTACATTACAGGCAGATTCTTTACCTCTGAGCCACCAGGGAAGCTCTGAGTTGGTGGGTGGAATGTGTCTATTTATAGACCACCATAATTAGGTAGAATTTGTGGCCCATCCAGAAATAAAAGCCAGAAATGGCATTGTTAATGTCCTGCTGAGTTCTGCAGTAATCAAAGTATCATAAATATGACATTTTCCATAATATGGAAAATGGCACTCTTACTAAAGATCTCTTGAAATTTAATGATTTCCCTACTTTTTCTATTTACATTTTTCCCCCAGTCCTTTATTTCAAGGAACAGGCAATCTTTAGAGTGGGTTTTTTGGTTAGCCTTGAAGAGTATATATCTTATGATATCAGTAGACATCTTTCTTTGAAGACTATTCATAATCTCAGGAGCTAGTCAAGTTTCATTTCATGATTTTTTAGAGTAATCTGTTTGGAGAAAGCCCCCACCAAAGGTTTAGAAAATAAGAATTTACTTTTATTCAGTATCATTAAAACAGCCAAGTTAAATAAAGTTTAGGGATTTTCCTGGTGATCCAGTAGTTAAGACTGCCTTCCAATGGAGGGGGTGCAGGTTTGATCCCTGGCTGGGGAGGTAAGGTCCCCCGTGCCTGGCAACCAAAAACCAGAGCATAAAAGAGAAACAATATCATAACAAATTCAATAAAGACTTGAAAAAATTGGTCACTGTAAAAAAAAAAAATTTTTTTTAATGAAATAAGGTTCAAACTCCAAATCATAGTAGTTTATGGGATAAATGCACAAAGGTAAAAAGCAAGGCAAGTTTACTCTAGCACCCCAACTTTTATAAATACACTGCTCATGAGTAGGAAAGGTTTCCACCCACTTGGAGACCTTTGTTCAGAAAAAAACGAGTCAACATTTGAGGAAGGAACAAACTAAAAATGAGAAAGGAAAGGAGAGGTCAGTGATTTGGTGCATTTAGTATAGTTCTGTGGAATTTAGTTTCGTCTTCAAAGCATGTTCTCCTCTTCATCATGTGTGGCCTGGGGGACTGAGCTTTCCAGTCTGTCTGTACCGCCCATTCCTTCTGGGGGAGAAATTAGACATTTTGAAATTCGCCACGTGGACCCAAGCTGAGTTATGTAAGAGTCATTCTACAATGGCTGGTAACTCTTTGATGCATAGTCCTCCAGGCAGTGTTTAAAAATAGCTCAGTCAGCAGCCTCAAGCTACTGGGGGTGTGTCAGTAGCTTGAGTCCACTTACACAGGGGAGCCTATCTCTTTGAAGGCTGACTCAGATGACTGGGTGGGCCCCTCGAATCCCCTTTAAGGCTCTTCAGAATCACATCCGCTGTTGGTCCCGGCTTTGATTTCAACAGAATAAGGAACCCAAGTGGGAGCCAATCAGCTGCATCTTGAAGCCTCACACTTCCTCATGGGTTCATCTTCTGGGTCTTCAGTTTATGAACTGAAGTTTTTATATCATAATAAACCCACTTTTAAAATGCGCTGATCCCCAGAGGTTAAATGTTCTATGCAGGTTTCCAGCTGGGCCTGCAAAGGTGCAGATCTCCATCAGGTAATATTAAACCTGGGCAACTCTGAGGTTGTCCAGTGCAGAACCATGTTTCCCAGCCTGACTGACTCCACATCGCTCGCCAGTGTCCAGATTCCTTGGGCCTTTCCATTCCTACTGTCCATGCGTATTGCAAGCTTCCCACACTCACTGCTGTGATTGCCCTCCAAGGCCACAGTAGATATAGCCGGTATCACTCTGTGTACACGCTTCTCAGCATTGGATATACAAACACTTGTCACTGGACATAGTTCATGAGTTTGTGGCAGAGTATAGATGTGAACTGTAAATCCATGTTCATTTAATCCATCTTTTTCTGCTCATTATTAACCCAGAAAAAAAACTGACATTTTGAGCCATTTGACTTACCCTTGGTCATCACCATTTGATGAGTAGGGACTTTTCCAGTTTTATACAAGTGAAAGAGTGAATTGGACAAGATAAAAATGTTCAGAAGTTCAACAGGGCTCAGTGCCATTTGCTTGTGAGTAAAGAACTTGGAACCCAGATTAATCATGTTACTATTCAAATATGGAGAGTTTATTCATTGTTCAGTAAGGACTAATTAGCCACAAGCCACCTCTGGTGTTACTCCCACTCCAGCTACAAGTGTCTGGTCGTTGGTCAATTAACATTTTTACTCCTCTTTCTAGTGGACAACATGCTTTCAAATACATGCTCTCTCTTGATTCTCATAACCACAAACCTGTGAGGTAAGGTTTGTCAGCTCTGGTTTGTGGGTGAGCAAGCTAAGGCCAGGGAGGGGACAGCTCACCCCGAGTTGTCCAGTGAGCGAGTGGGCAGCGGTGGCAGGGCCTGACCCAGCCTCCCAAAACAAGGTCCCATCCTGCCCACCTCCGCTTTATCCTATTCCTCTTCCTTTTGATTAATTTTCTCTTATTATAAACAGCAAAGAGTCAGACTGTCTCTACCTCCTTCTGAGGACCCCTGCCAGGTCTGGCCCTCGGTCCTGCATCATTTGGGGACACACCTTTGGACACATTAGGGCAGGAGGGAGCTTTTCAAGTTGAGTGGGGATTTCAGCCACCCTGACTGCCCCTTGTTTAGGATGGGCTCTTAGAAACTCACAAGACTCAGTCCTACTGGAAGACTGCAGTCTTTTTTTTTTTAAGACTGCAGTCTTTACTCACATCTGTGCCATAATGTATCCATTTCTTTGAATCTGGGGAGAGAAGAGTATGTGATCTTTCCAAAGCTTCCCTGTGAGTTAGGAACAATCAGAAGCCAAGCCTTAAGTTGTTCCATTGGACATAGTGCGGTGTGAATTCCGGATTTCAGCAGCATCAGTATAATTTTTCATTCACACTCACAAAAAGTAATTAACAAAAAGTTAATTCTGTAAGGTAGGGGATGAGGCAGGTGAATGCTAGTGCCAGCTTGGCATCTCCTAACTAGTTGTATGACCTTGAGTCGTGTGAATTTCCTGGAACCAGGATTTCAATCAGTTTAAAGGAACCCCTTCTAGATTTAATACTCTGTGATTCTAAGGATTGTAATTTACCTCCTAACATGATAATCTTCTTAAAGACAGGGCCCATGCATCGAATCTGACCCCGGGTTATTGTCTTAGGATGCCCAGGGAAAGGCAGGAGGGGACAACCTTGCAGAGCCTGGACAACAGGAGACTTCCCCAGAATAGGCCGTTAGAACTTCCTGGAAGTGGAGGTTGAGGCTGAGAGCAGCACGTAGCATGAGCAGGTCACCTGAGGGTCATGACAGGTGGGAGGAGGAGGGCCCTGAGACCTGGCGTCCAAGGGAGCCCATTATCCAGCAGCAGTGAGCACCACAAGGGTAGAGATGGGGAGCAGGTGAGTGGGGGGCAGGACAGGGAGAGCTGTGGCAGGGGCATATCACCTGCAGCCCAGCCCAGGGAACACAGGCCCCTGGGGATCAGGTGGTGTTCAAGAACAAGGTGCCATTCCCACCGACTGGGTGGAGAGTCAGCCTTGCCTGGACAGGGCCCTGGCAGCTGCCCCAGATATGGGCTCTGGGAAGGGGTCTTGGAAAGACGCCCTTGTGGATAGGAGGCTGAGCGGGGGTGGGGGGGTACTTGCTGCTTCAGCTGGGAAGAACCTCCAAAGCAGGGCAGGTGGAGAGAGGGGTCCACAGGTCCAGTCCAGAGGTTCCAGAAGGGCCAAGGCCAAGGAAATAATGCAAGGACAGCTGGTGACAGCTCATTCTTCCCATTGGAATTTGACAACCCCTCCACGTCCTTTGGAGCTACACATGGCCCTCCCCGACCCCATCCAAACCAAGCCAGGCATTCACTAATCCAGCCAAGGAAATTACCTGTCTTACAAGTTTTAATACTTATTCGTCATATCTTCAGGAATGCAGTTAAAGCCCATCATTCTAAACAAAAGGATTCCCAAACCTTGGATTTCTCTAGTTATCTTGAAGAACTGTGTGAATATTTTAAGTTGTTTTAATTTGAAAAGTAAGTAAGTTTACCAGTGACAGGAAGGTTTAAAAGCATCTCTCCCAATCTATTGTTGCTGTTGTTTTTGTTCAGTTGCTAAGTTGTGTCCAACTCTTTATGACCTCATGGACTACAGCACTCCAGGCTTCCCTGTCTTCCACTGTCTCCCAGCATTTGTTCAGATTCATGTCCGTTGAGTCGGTGATGCTATCCAGCCATCTGTCCCAGTCATACTTGCAGAAATAGCCAGGCAGCACAGGATGTGCTTATGTTATAATGACCTTTATACAGGAGGAGAAGTTAGCGTTTTCTGGTCCAAGCATGTCAGCATCTGCACTGTGCACTTACTTTAATGTTCAAATCTTAACAAAATGCTTTTGGCTATGCCTGGTGTATATCCATACACAGAGGCCCTCAACTGAGCCTTGGAATGTATCTGCTTACCCCCCCTATTCAATTTCCATTCTTCCACAAGATTATGGTAGGCATCTGTTTTCTTTAATAGAATTTTCCATAGCTACATAGTCATTTTCTTTTTGTAATCACTGCCTTGTTTCTCATCTTATTTATTTTCTTGGCTTCTAAATTACTCTGTAGAATTCTAGATATACAAAGAGAACCTTTGTTATGAGCGTTTCTTAACATCCTAAAGTTGGAAATCAGTAGAAGGGTGGAGATTTTAGGGAAGGAGGTGACGCAGGCCAAGCAGAGCCCTCCCATCAGGATTCACCACCCTTTGGGCAACAGTGCCAGGCCAGCTAACCCTAAGTGACCAAGGTTTCTGGGGCTCCCCCCTCACGAATCAGGTCTCCCTCTCCCACAGGGCACTTCTGTTTTCGGCCTGGTCCTAGGCAGCTGGTCTTGTGCAGAAATGACCTCAGTGATCTTGAGATCTAAACTGTCTAAAGGGAGGTTATGGGAGTCCTCATCTCACTGTTCACTGGGCACAGATTTCTGTACCGATCAGCCATTTCCATCAGCCTCAGCTTCATTACCTGGTGCTCCTATACACCAGCCGTGGTGAACCTTTCTCTTAGGTCTTCTTAGGTTAGTCACCAGAACCAGGCTCTTTCCCACCGAGCACCCCCATCCCTTTCCACCAGGTTCTCGTCCTCCTTCTGTCCCAAGGACCATTACCCTTGGGGTGCCTGTTATGTGTTACGATGCATGAAGATGCCATCGTGTTTGCATCTCTGTTCTAAATGGCACGTCCTCACTGACATACACCCCTTCAGGTACATGCCTACATCATCAGCTTCCTGAAGAAGGAGATGCCAAGTATGTTTGGAAAAGAAAACAAGAAGAGAGAACTTATCAGCAGGTTGCCAGAAATCTACATTCAGCTGCAGCGAGAATACCACATCTCTGCAGGGGACTTCCCCAAGGTCAAGGCCATGCAGGTATGGAAGCCCATCACAGCATCACCGGTGGGGTTGGAGGGGCAATGCCACCTTGTCCCGCTGGTTGCTGGTTTACATGTGGGTTTCATGGTTTAGAATGGAGGAGAATGCAGTGTTTTCGTCTTCCTAGTAATCCATGATTATAGGCACCTGTGAATAAAGCAGAAATTGCCTGCCTCCTGAAACATTTAAACAAAAGGGGGAAACATTTCAAGAAGTAAATTAAGCTTGCCTGAAAAAATCCTCTGAATAGCTTCCCTAGGCTGTGTTCAAGGTTATTTTAACACTGAGGTGATAGCTGTTTTATTAGAATCCCAGAGCCTTTAGGGAATTAGAGCTGAGAGTGACCTTGGAGGTCAGTTCCAGGGGCCTCCTCAAACTGGCTCTCCCCAGCACTGCCCCATGTGATTATGTGCTTGGGCAGCGTTGCCACTGCAGGCTCAGGAGCCCAGCTAGAAGCCGTGGTGGGCTGTGGCCGTGGCTGGGGTCCACTGGGGACAGCGAGCTGTGCTCACTGAAGGTTTCACTGAAAGGCCAGCTTCAGGCAGCCTTTGTCCTAATTTCAGAGTCTCACTGAGTTGTGTCTGGGCAGACCCAGATGGCCCCAAATGGATGCTACCACCCTGGCCTGACCAATATATCCACCTTCTGGCAGTGGTGGTAGGTAACCACTGATTTCAACACTGACCTTGTCCTCCCCACCTGTGAGGAGGGAGGCCAGTGAGGCCGCCCCACCTGGCTCCTCAGAGAGCCGGACCATCTCCTTGTCCGGTACAAGGACCCATCTGCACTGGAGGCCACAGTCCTCTCTGGAAAGCAGGCAACACAGTTCAGATTCCTGCAGCCACCAGCCAGTAGTAACTGGAACAAGTGAGGCAGGCAGGCCAAGCGAAAGGAAACCGGGCCATCCACCTCTTACTTTCTCACATTTGGTAGAAATGTGGGTTCTGAGGAATATGTCTCTACTGAGCAGAAGACGGTTCTGCAAGTGCGATGAGAATCTGTGGGGCCCATGGCGGGGGCAGATTGGGGAACACCTACTCCGTCTTCAGTGGGGAGGCCCTGTCCTCCCCAGTGGTCGCTGTCTTATGAGAGTGCAGACCTGGATGGTTCATGAAAAGCTGGAGATCTGGATTTGTATGTAAAGTCCCCTGGTTTTCAAATTTTGGCTCTGAATTTAAAAGAACACTATCTGGGCCAAAGAGAGCTTACAGCACACTGGCCGCCCCCTGGAGACTCTGGGCCTGTGAGTCTCTGGCCAGCCTGCAGGGAGGAGGGGGAATGGGAGGAGGAAGAATCAGTAGTGGAGGCAAGATCAGGCCTCAGGAGGGGCAGCATCAATCCTGAGGGGTTTGTTAATGTTAACTCTCTATCTATAACTGCTACTGCTAAATCACTTCAGTCGTGTCCAACTCTGTGTGACCCCATCCCTGGGATTCTCCAGGCAAGGACACTGGAGTGGGTTGCCATTTGCTCCTCCAATGCATAAAAGTGAAGGAAATGGCAACCCACTAAGTACACGCTAAATTTGGAGTGGGTTACACTTACTGTTGCAATGCCTGGGATCAAGGTGAATGCATCTGGTATATAAGGTCTGGTCAAATATGGTTTAGTCAGCTTAAAAGATATATAGAAATATATATATATACACACACACACACACACACACACACATATATATATATATATATATATATTTTAGAAGTGAAATTGATACTCCTGTACTGAGATGATGGATTGGATTTTTTTTTTTCTGGTCACAAGATGGATAATTTGAGGGCTCCTGGGGCCTCTTCCTGAGCAGGTTCTGCTTTAACTGGATTATGCCCTGCACCCCATGACCAAACTGAAGGACAACTGTTCCCTTGCGTCCTTCAGATATTTTGGAAGGGAAATCGATTTCTTGACTGAAATGGTAGCTGTGAATAAATACACTGCGCGCACAATGGCCTAATGGGGCATCCGTGTTTCCTTGTCTCCTGAGGCTCCTGCGATGCTCCACCCACAAAGCACTGCTCCCGAGACCTGAGGTCTCCCTGCCAGGCCCCCCTGCCTGTCCCCGGGGAACTTCCATACAGAGCAAGCGAACTCTGCGACCAGAGCTGCTCCTGAGCATGCTCGCCTGGGCCTGGCCAGTCAGAGGGCCCCAGGCCTCTCTGAGCTGGTCACCAGGGGCAGTCCCTCACCTCGGGTTTCGGTGGCCCATGTAGCTGGGTGACAGTGGAAGGGCCTGAACCCTCCCTGAGAACCCTGTGGTCAGCCCCACCCCAGGAGCTTTAGCACCATCACTGGACACCTGGGTGCCCTGTCACCTGTGTTGTTTTATGCATTCACCTAAGAAAAGCAACTAAGTCTACTATGGCTGATCACTGTTCTAGGCCCCTAGAATAAACCAGTGACTAAACAGCATAAAATTTAAAAAAAAACCCTCTGTCCCCGCTACAGAGGTCCAGTCTGGGTCACAGCCTGTGCTGCTGTGGCTGTGACTGGCAGTGACGTTTTGGCATCAAAGCCCTTTGTTGGGCCATGTGCTCCTTGTTACAATATAGGTGTCATTGAGCTTTGGTTTAATTAATTGATTCAGTGTCTTATTTAGTGCCTCCCATAGAAGGCTGTTACTCCATGAAGCCAGTGACCCATGTCCTTTTTTTGGCCATATCCCCAGCTCCTGGGGTGTTGCAGGCACTCGATGAATATGTGTTGAGTGAGTTAATAAGTTAGTGTATGTTTGTTTATATTGTAGCAAGCTCTAGGGTAGTGAGTTTCTCAGACCCTGATCTAGACCTGACTCTCACAGGGCTTATAGACCAGTGGTTTCTGAAGCAGACTCCTGGAAGTCTGCTTGGCCACCTGGCCAAGGATTCTTCCTTGGGAAGCCAGCCAGGCCTTGATCACATCACCCCAGTCCTTCAGGGAATCCCCGAGAAGCAAGGCAGGCCTGGAGCCCTGAGGCCATGCTTACTGCACAAGCTAGTTTGCTGTCACCCAGGAAGCTTTGAGAGTCCAGGTGTGGGTCAGGGTGTCTGAGCATCTATCTTTCCAGTCCCAGGCAGTCAGCCTTCCCGTGTATGGGACAGTGCAGGGGCAGAATGTTGGAGATAATAATGGTCTTGGCACATCCCAGGGTCTCGAAGAGAGCTCACCAGGGCCAGCTTTAAGTCTCTGCTCTCCCTGTGCTCTCATGGACCAAGCTAGACAGGGTGACTCTTCTCCGTAGCCAAGAGCTGATTGTATTTTGCAGGCTTTTGCCTGGTGGGGGGGGAGGCTGGTGACCTGCAGTGCACCTGCCTGTGTCCACCCTACAGCCACTGGGGAGGGAATCTGATTTGCTGCACCAGCATGTCCATCTGTGCTGCAGAATGAAGGGAGCGGTAGCAAGGCCACCTTGGTGGGTGGCACAGTTATCCTTCTTGGAGAACTGGGCCCCCACAGCAGATGAGTTGGCAGCATTTCAACAGCAGAGGGCAGCAGAGCCATCCCCATCTGCTCCAACCTTCCCAGGGCTTTCAAAATGCTTCTGGTACGTGCTGGGAGTGGGTGGGCAGGGGAGAGCCCAGCGAAAGCTGGGCTGGGACTGATCTTTGTCTCTTGGGAGGGAGTTCCAGGATCCCAGGCTTGGTGGCTTGGATGGATACAGTGGTTGATGGGTAAATCTTTATAAATTCCCCACTGTATGTTCATCCCAATAACAAGTCTTGGAGCTACCCTGGGGAGGGCAGGGATGGCGTAGTTTAACTTGGACCCCACCCCATCCCCGGCCAGGACTGGGCAGGCGGGTACCACACACAAGAGCATAGAGCTTACTTCCTGTGTGCCCTCCAGGGCGGGAATGGCTGCTGCTGCTGCTTCCTGTCCACCTCTGCAAATATGTGGCCATTTCCCCTGGTGTGTTTTCCAGAGATTTGCAGTCTGAATCCACGTCCCCTGCAGGCGGGTGGAAAGTTTGGGCGGGCACCACCCTCATTCGTCCGCTTGGCCAGACACAGAGGCTCTGTGTGTGCCCAGAGCTCAGGCTCATTCATGAGGAAATAGGGTAGGTGTTGGTGCACTCAGGGGAATCCAGACTTGTTTACCCCAGCAGCACTGGGATTTTTGTGTAGGCTGCCTGCTTTCTCTTCTCAGTCCCCTTGGCTGACCAGCCGAGATGCCAGCAGCTGGAGCCCAAACTGTTGGCAGCATTATTTGCTGCTGATGTTAGGGTGACATGCAGGTGACTATGGTCTTATCAGTGAGGGTGGAGGACATGAAAACTGGAAGGCACCTTAGAAACCAGACCTGTGCTGACCCGCTGCTCTGAGCTGAGCGCAGGCCACTGGCCGGGTGTCAGCCCAGCCCAGCCTGCTCTGACAGCCACAGAGTGTGCTGCTGAGAAGCGTGTTGGAGGCACCTCTCCTGAGATCTGCCAGCTCTGTCCTCTCTACCGTCTGAAGCTCAGGACTCCACTTCTGAATAACAGCACAGAATGTCTGCCCTTCCAACATACCCTCGAGACCCCAAATTTGATTGTCCATTGAAAACAATCTTGAGTGTCCAGCTACATGGGACAGGGTAAAGGAGGAAGGACCCAGCTATACAGTTCACTATCATGTTGCTATTAAGAATAAGGTTGTTTATTTTGTATATGGCGGTGTTATTCCCTTTCTCCTAATTTATCCCTCTCCCTTCTTCCCCCTCGATAACCATAAGTTTGTTTTCTATATCTTGAGTCTGTTTCTGTTTTGCAAATGAATTCACTTGTATTATTTTTTAGATTTCACATATAAGTGATCTCATATGATATTTATATTTCTCTTAGTTCATTTAGTATGATACTTTCTAGGTCCATCCTTGTTGCCACTAATAGCAATATTTCATTCTTTTTTGTGGTTGAGTAATAACAAGTTTTTGTTGTAGATAACAGGGAACTACATTCAGTATCTTATAACAACCTATAATGGAAAAGAATCTGAAAAACGTTATGTATATATAAAACCAAATCACTTTGTTGTCCACTAACACAATATTGTAAGTCAACCATAGTTCAACTTTGAAAATTAAATCAGATAAAATTTAAAATTTTAAAAAGGTTGTATAAAATTGATATCATAAAAAGCTATGATACATTATTTCTTTAAAATGCAGGTTGTTAAATAGTTTTCTTATTTCAACTAAAGAGTGTGTGTGTGTGTGTGTGTTTATTAAAATGGCTATAAATGTATCCCCCCCAAAATGTTAGCAAAGGTGATTGCTGACTGATGGTATTATAAGTGATTTAAGATTTTTTTGCTTACTAGTTTTTCCCTAGTTATTTACAATGAAAGTGTGTTATTTATGGTGACACAAAGTTGCATTTTTTTCCTAACTGCCTGTCCCATGACTTCTGTCCAGAACAGTCAGGTCCGAGGGGTATGTATGTGAAAACTCTTGCCCTCGGGAGTCTCCCTGCCTCATGTCCAGAAAACCACACCCCTGAATGGCCCCTCCAAGGCCCTGTGGGATTGTCCAAACAGAAATACTTCACATAGAGCCCAAATAAAAACCGCCATATCTGGAATTCTTTGCATTTATTTGGCAAAACTGCTGTTGAAGACATCTTCACTAGATTTTTCAGGCCCCTTTTAAAAATCCGCTGAGTGATTCTCACAGTTCAGGACCAGAGAGGACTTGTGTTTTGTGATAACCAGATGGTTTCTCCCCTCCGACAGCCAAAGGGTATGATCCCTGGGCCCCAGCCAGGGCAGCTGAGGAACATAGCTTTTCACAGCCTTCATTGTCTGATGTGATGACTCCTTCCCTCTTTCTTTCAGTTTCTTGGCTTTTCCCTTTGTTAATTACTTTATTCTATTTTATGTTATCATTGTTTCACTGTAAACTAAGTCAAGCCCTTTTTGCAATATGAGTTCCCTGAAGGCAGAGACTATGGCTTTTCATGTTTATATTCCTGAACAGGGCCTGGCCTGTAACAAATGGTCAGTAAATGTTGGATTAGATGGATGAATGGATGGATGGATGAATGGATGGAAGGAAGGTGAGTAACCAAGGAAAACCAAGGCAGGAAGGACTATTTCTACAAAGCCATTCACAGAGCCTCTGTGGCATGTACAGTCGGTTCCCATCCTGGCCACATCCACTAGGGCCGTCTCCAGACCCTGTGGTCTATCTGCTCCACCCAGCTCTACGGGGAGATGGAGCTGAGACTCACCCTCATCCCACTAATACCTCTCAGCTCTGTTGGCTGCATTTGTACTTGTCCTTCCCGTCCCTGGTGGCTCAGAGGGTAAAGAACCTGCCTGCAATGCAGGAGACCTGGGTTCAATCCCTGGGTCAGGAAGATCCCCTGGAGAAGGGAATGGCAACCCACTCCAATATTCCTGCCTGGAGAATTCCATGGATGGAGGATCCTGGCGGGCTACAGTCCATGGGGTCGCAAAGCATCGGACACAACTGAGTGACTAACACCATCCCTCCTCCTCTCTCTCTTACCAGTTTCAACTTTTACGTATTTGTACCATAAACCACATTTTTTTAGCTGGTCACCATAATCTTTCAGTAATCATTTTTGCTTAAGTAAGTTCTACAGACAGCTCTGTCACAGCTTCACGTTACAGCTCTAAGAGACTAGCCAAGTGGCAGGAGGCCTGGGCTCTGGTCTTGACTCGACCAGTGCACACACCCCTTGTGCTCTCTGTAAGTTACTAGTACCTGCCCTTCCTAACTCTCAGCATTGTTGTAAAGATCAACTAAACTATGTAAGGTATGTAAAACTCTTTAAAAGCTAAAATGCTAAATCTCTAGAGTGCTTAAAAAAAAGCAGCGTGAAGGAATTTTGTCTCAAAGCCCTGGGGGTTCATTGTCCCTCATCCTGTTGCCAGCCTAGGTCAGCTACTGCAGGAAAACATCGCCTCTTGTTCCAAAAGCAACTCCTGGTGAGTTCAGATATGGGGACCATACCAAAGAGTGAGCCCTGGACAGCCCAGAGTATGGGCTTCTGGCTTTAAGGGATCATTTGTCCCTCCAGCCACCCCTCTCCTGTTTGCTTCCTGCAGGAGGGCTTTAACCAAGTCTGTGGTTTCTCCTTTTCCAGGAAAAGCTTGAGAACTACGACTTCACCAAGTTCCACTCGCTGAAGCCCAAGCTGATTGAGGCCGTGGACAACATGCTGACCAACAAGATCTCGTCACTGATGAACCTCATTAGCCAGGAGGAGATGAGCATGCCCCCGCCACTCGTGCAGGGTGGCGCCTTCGACGGCACGGCCGAGAGCCCCTTCAACCAGGGCTACGGGGAGGGCGCCAAGGAGGGTGCTGATGAGGAGGAGTGGGTCGTGGCCAAAGACAAGCCCGTCTATGACGAGCTCTTCTACACCCTGTCGCCCATCAACGGAAAGATATCAGGCATCAACGCCAAGAAGGAGATGGTGACCTCCAAGCTGCCCAACAGCGTCCTAGGCAAGATCTGGAAGCTGGCTGACTGTGACGGCGATGGCATGCTAGATGAGGAGGAGTTCGCGCTGGCCAAGCACCTCATAAAGATCAAGCTCAGCGGCTACGAGCTGCCCAGCAGCCTGCCCCCTCATCTTGTGCCGCCCTCCCACAGGAAGTCCTTGTCCAAGGCCGACTAAGGGGCGGACGACACACAGGGAAGGCAATGTGGGCCGGGAATCAGGGGGGCCTGGGCCTGAGGCCCAGCCTGTCACCAACTCACTGAGTGACCCTGGGTGAGACACTGCCTGCCCTGTGCCGCAGTTTCCCCATCTGTAGGATGGGAAGGGCAGACACTGGACCCTAGATCAGGTCCTTTTACCTTAAAATTCCCTGAGTTTCTATTAAAATACTGGGGAGAGGGGATGGATATGAAGTTTGAAGGGTTGAGAACAAAGGGAGATTCCAGGAATGCTTCCAGGAAGTCCTTGGAAGCCTGGAGGAACTCGGATATGGAATCCCAGGAACCACGGAGAGTGAGCCAGGGGCACTGCTAGGCCCTGCTGGAATGTTCATTGTTATGAGCCCGGCTCTCCCTCAGAGAGCATCGGGAGGCAGCAAAGACCAGCTTATTTATTTTGTTCCCTGCTTTATTTAGAGTGAAAAAAAAAAAAACAGCAGAGGTTTCTGTTCTCTCCAAACTATCCACCAAAGAGAAGAGGGCTGTCCCGGCTTTGAGGGGAGGACACACCTTGTCTGCATGTTCCCGTCCCTCTGCTGGCCCGCGGAGCAGGCAGCCAGGCCACAGGGAGTGTCCCCCACAGCATCCACTGGCCGACCTTCCCAGGGCTCCCCCAACCCCAAAGCCTGCCAGCAAAGTTATATTTGGTTAGGAATTTGGAGCTCACAACCTTTACTAACCCTTGGCGAGATTTCTAGTATTCTAGTCACGTTGAAATCTGAAGATGAGCTTTACTTGTCTGTCCAATAGTTTGTAGCAAGGACTATCATTTAAACTAGAGGAAGAAAAGAGGTGGCTTTCCCCAGTCCTCAGCATGGTCACATGTCTCTAAGACTCCTTGGTCGATGGCAGGATTTAAATTCAGCAAAAACATGGCTTGGTGCATGCACTGTCCTGGCCCTGTGGACACAAAGGGAATGAGGGGCCAGCCCACCCTCAGTGGCTATCAGGTAGAAGAAGTCAGTCTACTAGTGTTAGAAACTATTTTTATAACAAGAAAATGGGCGTTTTTATCATGTCCAATTTTTTAAATACAGCTTCTGTATAAAGGATAAAAGCCTTTATGCAGAAACAAGATGGAGTCTCTCATATGAAGCCTTTTCTTCAGAAGCTGTGTGGTTCATCCCACGGATGCCTCATGAGGCAGGGTTTGGGCACTTCGCTGTCCATCAGCTTCTGAGTGTTCTCTCTCCCAGGGGCCCTGTGTGAGCCTGTCTGGACCACTCACCCAAATGCCTGTGACCGGTGGAGATCAGCCTCTATGTGGGCTCCAGCTGCGGGATGCAGGTGGCTTTCCATACCATTACTTATGCAATAAGAGAGACATGGTATTTCATCACTGTTGTGATGGCCACATGGCCTGGAACCCTGCCGGCACCAAGATGAAGGAAACCCAAACAGTCCCACCCAAGTCTAACCAAAGCCACATTTTTTTCCCCCTGATGTCATCAAGGGCAGAACTGCAGATTTAAAGACATTTATTTATTTAAACATTTTCCCAGATCCCAGCCCTCACTCTCCCTAGCTTACTTTCCAAATAATTTAGCTTTAAGAGAAGTAAATACATAACATGGTTTTAGTCTTAATGAGCACTTTTAAATTAATTAGACACACAGAAAAGAGACATTTGTGATTCCAGCACTGTAATCTGAGCAGATGGTTCTGGGAACACCTGAGGACCACCCAGGCATGCGAGCACAGTTGATCCAGCCAAGGACAAGAGTAAGAGAGAAGGAGAGAGAGTTCATTTGTCCAGAGGTTTGGAGATGCCAGAGTTAGCTGATTTCCACTCAGATTGATCTTGCTATGTTCAGCTGTCATATATAAAGATAAACATATACACACATGTCCCGTGAGTACATATTTTTGACACTTGTTAATGTGTGTATATGTAGATTTTGTCTATATACTGACATAGAGGAATATTGTTTTAGAGGAGCCGGAGAGGAGTTTCTGATGCTATGAGGATAGAAACAGCTCATGGGTGATTCCCCACCCCACCACCCCATGACCTCTGTCAGGAGATCATCTATCAGCTAAATGCTGAGAAAAAGAGAAAGGAATTTGAATGTCCATTTTTGTTAATATCTTCTCTTGAAACCTGAAGTCACCCATTGTGAAAAGTTGATAGGAAAGAAACACTGGAAACCATTAGGGATGGCGGCCAAGCGAGGACCCTTATCTCCCCAGGACCTGCACAGAGTTCCTTGAGTCTGGATCCAAAACACCCATTACCCCCTGACCCTGTGCAGCAGGGCTGGTAACACAGAGCCCTCAGGATCTGGACACCTTGGCCGACGGTGCTGTCCTCCCAGGACCACCCGACTGTCCAAGAACCCCCTCCCTAGAGCACTCATGGATGGCTGGGGGTTGGAAGCACCTGAACTCTAAAACTCTCCATGCTGTCCTTGACTCCACAGAAAAAACCTAAGGATCTCGAGTCTGTTTGTGTACAGCTCATGATCACAGAGTACAGCTCTGTGGCCACACGCTGATGTCCAGCCTGCTTGGCGTCCTACATGGATTCTTTCCTCGCCACATGCTTGGATGGCCTGGGGTGGGGCCAGTCTTTCGTGGGAGGGCCGTGCATTTCAGTTGGCTTTCGCTTCTCTGGGGCTGAACTGGCTTCCCTGGGACACTTGTCATCGTGCAACAGTAGCGCCTGGATTGGGGGCTGTGGCTCCTCCCACAGAGCGGTGGGCCTTAAGTAGCCGGATTCTTACTCCATATCGTGGGACTGGTGTCCAGGTGGGTCACCGAGCATGTGAGAGGAAGCCAAATGCCTCGTGCTCCCCTCCAACCCCCACCCCGCTTGCAGCCCACAGGAAAGGCCTCAGCAGAGCCCTGGCCCCACTGCTCCGACCTCGGTCCTTCACTGTGTCCACTGGGTCTCAATAGCCACCCCTGTAACACACTGGGAATGTCTTGTACTGGAGTCCACCATGTAGGAGGGGGTTTAACCACCAGAGTCATGGCTTCACAGCCACCACCAGGACCTTTCCACTTTGCAGCTCTGCTCCTTCCAGATGCCCAGAGCAATGCCATGGACAGATTGCCTTGGAGATAAGGAAAGTGTTTAAAGAGGCACTGTTTATTTCCTCCAGGGAACATGATAGAAGAGTAACTTTCTTAGGACAGATAACCACTGAGTTTTTTTCCAGGTAAACATGGGCTGAATTTAAGTGTAGCAGACGACATGTTAATTAGCCAAAAAATGCTATTAATACACAATGCTTCTATTTTTTTGTAATCTTGTTTCAAAACGTAGAAAAAAAAAATGTCTACTGATCAATAAACTACTGAAAAAAATCACTTTTCCCATTGGCTCTGGTTTTTCAATGACTGTGTGCCAGTTGTCTTGGGAATAAAGCAGGCATCCCTTAGAACCATTCTGAAACAAGGCAGAGGCGTTAAGGGATGGGTGTGCCCCTTGGCACACCATCCCTGTGACCCTTGTCTCTTTCTGCGTGTTCTCTAGGTGGGAGATGGGGGCTTCTTCAGCAGGAAAGCAGCTCCATCTGATGTGGGCAGAGGCCAAGTCTGGGAGCAGGCACCGAAGGAGGTTTATGCCCCAACCAAGAGTGACTGGAAGCCAAGACTGGAAGGGACCATTGAGGAGACTCTTCTGAGGCTGGGGACGGGGCGTCACTGAGCACTCACAGGAGATGGCCTCTCTAGCACTGAGGCTAGCCGGACACCTGAGGGTGCCATGGTGCTAGGATACAACCCCTGGCTGGCTGGCACTGCTCCTACCTCCTGCCATGCCTCGCAGGTGCAGAGCACCCATAGTAGACATCTGGAGTTTTCACACTGGCTCCCACCTACCCTTTTAGTGATCCAGACCTGGAATTTCCTTTTGCAGGCCACTCTCTACTTCCCCACCGTCAAACTGAATGGTGAAGTTTGGGGAGACCGATCCCACTCCTTTCCAGGATGGATCCTGATTGGCTGAGCCAATTAGAGTACTTCATCCACCTGGTCACAGAAATGGTTCAGAAATTGACATGTGATTATGAGAGGTCCCTCAGACTTCTGTTCCAACTCTCAGGAAGATGTTCTCTTTTCTAAACCATGCAGTTCAAAGAAGTGAGCCTACTGGTACAACAATATAAATAGCTTTGAAAGCAGTGCCCATTGGTGCTGGAGGATTGATGCTGGCAGCAACTACCCCATGGAGCATGAAGATGAAGGAGGCATTGAGAAAGGCAAAGGAAATCCAAACCTGTGGTGGCATCATTTGAGCTGCTGGATCAAACCTCACCTAAAGTCCTCCTGCCAGACTTTCCAGTTACATGGACCAATATGTTCTGTTCATATTGTTTAAACCCATTTGACTTGAAACTTCAGTTACTTGCAGCATAAACATTCCAAATTTGTATGACCAACAGGATTCTCACCATGGGTTGCAATCAGTCACAGCCTAGGAGAAGCTGGTCCTGGTATCATGTACAGTACGCTTTATTATAGTTGAACTTGGGGAAAAAGAAGAGCAATTTCCTAACAACCTACCCAACAACCTCAAGTACAACCACCTCTGTTGAGATATGTGTGCAAAGGGCCAAGCAGCTCCATCCTGTCCTCTGGGGCTTACATCACATGGGACGCCTGGGCCAAGGCTCTTGATGGGAGGTGAAACAAACTTATAGAGGTAGGAGGAAGGGGAACTTCCTAGAAGGAAAGGATTTCTTTTTTAATATCAAAAATTATAGTTGTACAATATTGAGAAATATAGAACAAAATACAATTATTGGAGAAAAATTGCTCTACAATATTGTGTTGGCCTTTGCCACACATCAACCCAAATCAGTCACAGGTATACATGTCTCCTCCCTCCTGAAACCCATCCCACCCCCTCTATGTTGAGCTGCGTTGAGCTCCCTGTTTTACACATAGTAATGTATGTGTTTTTATGCTAGAGTCTCGATTCGTCCCACACTCTCCTTCCCCTACTGTGTCTACAAATCTGTTCTCTATGTCTGCATCTCCCTTGCTGCCCTGCAAATAGGTTCATCAGTACCATCTTTCTATATTCCATATACATGCATTAATATTTAATATTTGTTTTTTCTCTTCTGACTTACTTCACTTTGTATGGTAGACTCTAAGTTCATCCACCTCATTAGGACTGACTTGGATGTGTTCTTTTTACAGCTGAGTAATATTGTATGTATGTACTACAATATCTGTATCCATTCATCTGTTGGTGGGCATCTAGGTTCCTTCCATGTCCTTGCTATTGTAAAAAGTGCTGCAACAAACATTGGAGTACATGTGTCTCTCAATTATGATTTTCTCAGAGTGTATGCCCAGTAGTGGGGTTGTTAGGTCACATGGTAGTTCTATTCCTAGTTTTTTAAGGAATCTCCATACTGTTCTCTATAGTGGCTGTGTCAACTTACATTCCCACCAGCTGTGCAGGAGGGCTCTCTCTTCTCCACATCTGCTTTCAGCACTTATTGTTTGTAGATTTTTTTTAATGATAGCCATTCTGACAGGTGTGGCAGTGATTCCCCATTGTAGTTTTGATTTGCATTTCTCTAATGATGAGTGATGCTGAGCATTCTTCATGGGTTTGTTGGCTATAGGAAAGGTTTTTAACTGGGGCTGATAAGAGACTGTGGGTGATGGGGTGCAGAAGAGACATTCTAAGCTGAGAGAAGAATGGATGCTCAGATGTGAGCAGGTAGCTGTGGTCCCCACCTGGCAATGGGGAGTCTTGCTCTGTGAAGGCATGGTGGGCTGGGCGTAGGCTGACAGGGAGACAGGGTGCTGAGCTGGGGACAGTGATGAGGACCTGCAGGGGCAGTAGGAGTAATCGGGTGGGGGGTGCCCTGTGGAGTGCCCGTTGGTGGGGCACAGCAGTGACGGCTGTTGGTGCCTGACTGGACCTGGGGCTGCGGGCAAGGAGGAAGCTCAGGTTCATCCCAAGTGCCGGGAAGCCAATCAGTGTCAGGAGGGACCTCCCAGGGAGAGGACAACAGGGGCAGGGGCTCCTCTTGGATATAGGGGATCTGCCCCCCACCCAAGGGCAGCATGCCCCTCACTCCCAGCCACAGGCCGAGATTCAGGTGTAATGGATCCCACCCAGCTCTGAAGGGCAGGCTCTGGCCACTGCCCCTCTCACTGGCCTGGACTGTGAGGGATGCCTCCCTCAGGATGGTTGCTGGGCTTCGGGGTGGATGAACCTAGGTACACAGCCTAGCCCCATGACTGTAAGCAGACAGTCCTGTGAAGCCCCCTGAATCAGAACTTGCTCTCCTTGTGTCATGCACTCCACGGTTGCAGCGGGGGGACGGGGGGGGTGTTGGAGAGAGGGGCTGGCTGGCTCCCGCACAGCCCTGCTTCCGAGCCTCGGGCCCAGCCGGAGCACAGGTGCTGGGGCCCCAAAGAGTGAACACTGTATCTCTGACTCTGGAGGTGACTCTTTCATTCCCACAGGCAGGCTTTGCGGGTGTGGGTTACCCCTTTTCAGGGGGAGCCCCCTTCAGAAAGCAGCCCCCAGGTGGAAGGGACCCCGTCATGCAGCCCTGGTCTGGGTTGGGTGTGTTTCCATCAAGCCTGGAAAGCCCAGCCCTGATCCAGTGCTTCCCTGTGGTCTATGGTGAGTTCCCCCAGGAGAGGGTGTGAGGGCTGTGGCCCCATGGGCTCACTCCCATCTCAGGCCCTGCAGGTGCTCACAGACCCTTGATGGGGTGCAGAAAGGCAGCCTCAGCCTGGGGTGTGGGTGCAGAGGCTCTGACCAGAGGCTCTTGAACCCAGACTGCAGCTCCCCCATGGAGCTCCCACCCGAAGCCAAATCGAGACCATCCCGTGGGACTCTTGTGTCTTGGGCACCAGGACTCAACCCGATCCTGAAGGCTTTGGCAGCAGGGAGATGATGAAGGAGGAGACCCTGGAGCATCGATCTGGAGCATTCTTGAGCCGCCCCCTCCAGGCCCGGGCCACGCCCTGTGGCAGGTGGGAGGACAATGCCAGCTGTGTGCCGTCACCCTGCCTTGCCGGCCCAAGAGGAGGGCCATGGCGCTACCCCAGCCTCAGCCTCTCTTGATGTCTCTCCCTCCCCGCCCAGCCCCTGCTATCTGCCATCTCCAACGGTTCAGCCAGGTCTCCTCTCAGGACATCAACAAGGTGAGCAGTTTCTTTCTTCCTTCCACCTGCCCTATTCATCCCGAGCAGCAGCAGCCGAATGCTGTGGCCCAGGGGAAACCTCTGGCAGCAGGAGCTCTAGAAGAAGAATCTGGAAAAGAGGGTGGGCCACTCGAGTGTAGGGCACCAGCCAGGAGCCCAAGACCTTACCTGGCTAGATCCCAAGCTGCAACCACCCACCACACGTGGGGCAGTCTGGCAGGGAGGGGTCCCCTGTTCCAGGGAGTCATCAGAATCCACCTTCCTCCCCCAGCCTCCAGGCCCCCAGTGTCTCCAGCTTAGGGAAATATCCAGTGGCTCCTCATCCCCAAAGGGCTCCGGGCCTGCTGGCCAGTGAGCGCCACAACCCCCAGCAGTTCCTTGGCACTACAGAGCACCTGAAGCAGGAGTCCAGCCGCAGACCTCAGGCTGGCTCTCCCGGTCCAGTCCCACCATGGACTCTGCGTACGAGATGGGCCACATCCGCAAGCTGCAGGCACGGCACATGCAGATGCAGGAGAAGACCTTCACCAAGTGGATCAACAATATCTTCCAGCACGCCCGGGTGAGTGCAGCTGGGCCCGCCCCACAGCTGCCTCCACTGTGCCCCCAGCTCCCCGGCAGGTGGACCCAGGGGGCTGACTTGAGCCCAGCTGGCTAAGGCCAGTGCTCCTTCCTCCAGGCTGGTGCTCTAGGTTTCACCACCCAGGTCCTGGGATGGAGCAGACAGGAGAGGCTGGGCTGACCCTGTGCCTGTTCCTCATCCCCTCCCAGGTGGGCATCGAGATCCAGAACCTGTGCACAGAGCTGGCTGACGGCACCCACCTGCTGCGGCTGCTGGAGCTCATCTCAGGGGAGGCCCTGCCACCCCCCAACCGGGGCCGCATGCGGGTCCATTTTCTGGAGAACAGCAGCCGAGCTCTGGCCTTCCTCAGGGCCAAGGTGGGCACTGGGGAGAAGGCTCCTGGGCGTGGTGCTGGGGTGGGCGGTGGGGACAGGCCGGATGACCGGATCATCTTTCCTGGGCTGGCCGCAGGGCCGAGCAGAGGGTCTGGAGCCGGAATCCAGGAGGAGCAGCTGGGATACAGAGTCCAGGAAGCAAAGCCCTACTTTGCACAGTTCACCCGGCTTAGAGGGCACCCACCCGGCTGGAGCTGGAATAACCATTGTCCCCAGTGGGCGGGAATGAAATCTGCCTTTGCCTACAATGGGAGATTGTGGAGTCTAAGTTGAAAGATTCAGTACACTCTTAACCTTCTCTTTTCATAAAAGAGGAAAATATTTTCCAGGCAAGGCCCATGACCAGCTGGTCAGCAGATCTTGGATGTGGGGGTCAGACACAGGGGAAGAGCCTCAGACACTACTGAGCCAGGCAGGGAAGGGAGGTGGTGTAGGGCTGCCTGGGAGAAGCTGGAATAGACAGCCGGGAGGGGCCTCCGCAAACAGGAGGGATCCTGAGAGGAAGGGACAGCCCCAGAGAAGTCGTCTCTAAAAGGAGAGGAGAGCTCCAGAAACAGGGATCCTCATGGCCCGTGTCGGGGGGCTGTGCAGGGGTCATTTAAATTAAGAAGCAGGAATTGGGAAGCCTGGGGGCTCTTGGCTTCATGTACTGGAGCATGAGATGGCTGAGCCTGGAGGATGTGAAGTTACAGCTGAAACTGGCTAGGCTGAGCCTGAGTCCTGGGATGTGGGTCACAGGCAGCCCCTTGGGAGCCTAGCGTGCTGGAGCGAGGCCAGGAAGGTGAGAGGCCAGAGCAAGGGATGGAGCACTGTGGTCCCTAGACTCATGGAAGAACAGAAAGCTGCCAGCCACACAATGCAAGCCCACACTACTTGGTCCCAGGGCCAATGGCCTGTGAGCCAATCACCTCCTCTCTAGAACCTCAGAAAGGTGCAAGTCCTGTAGCCCTTGTCAGAAGCTACTCAGCACCCTTCAAGCTCAGAGACATAATGTGTCACAGATACGTAGCCTATGAAGGTGACAGCCTTGTCTCCACTATTGCTTGGAAAGCCTGGGCTTGCCTGGCCTTGGGCCTGCCGGCTTCTCGCCTGGCGACCTCCTGGGTCAGGACAGACAGAACCCCTCCCATCTGGCAGCCAACCGTTTGGTTACTATGAGTCTTCTCTAGTACATGGGCATTGTGGCTGAGGTCAGAAAAATATGCCCACAGGTGCCAATACCCCTCATTGGGCCAGAGAACATCGTGGATGGAGACCAGACACTCATCCTGGGACTCATCTGGGTCATCATTCTGCGTTTCCAGATTTCCCACATCTGCCTGGACAGGGTATGTCTCAGCCCCCGCGCCCAGCTGCCCAGCCCAGCCCAGCCCTGGCCTCCCCTCAGGGTCCTGAGGACAGAGCAGTTCCACCTGACTGTTAGGATGCCCACAGCGGATCCTCGGCATCCACACAACTCCTATTCACTCTTCAACCGCAGGCAAAGGATTCAGAGTGTCAGAGAGGTTGTAATATGCTGAAGTAAGAGCTATTAATGGATTTATGGGCTTCAAGTTGGGTCTGGAACAAATCATTTACTAGTGAAGGGGGTCAAGGTGCCTGCCCACCACCTGCCTTTCACTGCTAATTTATTGTTTTCTACTTGCCACTGAATCCCTGTAACTTTCATTATCCCATAATGTACTATTGTGAGAAATAAAACATACAGGGAAAGCCCCAGCCCTGAAGGTTTCCAAATCCTCAGGATCCTGAAAACCAAAGGGATGGTTCCTCATCTTCCTCCATTCTACAACTGGGTCAGGAAGAGTGAACACATAAAAGTCCTTATATAAATGTTCATAGTTTCATGGTTTCTAAAACCCCACCAAAAACTCAATTCCAGTAGGTTAGGAAAACCAACTTGGAGCATGAAATCTTAAAGAAAAGAAGCCACAGATTTGGCTCGAATCCAGGAGGACCCTTGACACTCTTGATGGGATTGTGACCCCCAGGAGAGCAGAGGCCTTGCCTGCCTGCATCCCCAGGGCCTAGCACCCATGTGGCTAATGAGTGGATAGATCAACTTCTAGCTGACCTCAAGCCCTTCCAGAAAGCCACGCTCCCCTCCCCACCCCGCTAAGCCAGTTCCAAGTGCCCCTGCCACCCCTTCCTCAGGGGCAGCAGGTCTACATTATCCCCTGACTGGCCACCAGCTGGCCAGCTGGCTCTCTCGTCTGCAGCCAACTCAGGCCTTTCTCCCTTCGAAACTCAGATGTGTCTGGGACCAGGCTGACCCCATGCGCATACATGCTCACCCCCAAAATCACTCCTGGCTCATGTCTGCCAGCCTAATCCAGCTGCTCAGGGTTTCTGGGCTGGCCTGGCTCTGGCAGAGCCCAGCTCCAGGCCCTAAACTCCTTCCCCTCCCCCCTTGCACTGCTACATACTAGTCCCTTCTATTCAAGCTCCCAGGCCCAGAGGATGGGGAAGGGGATATAACCTGCTGTGCTTTGATATTCTGAGTTTTGGGGGTTTTTTTTGGAGTACAGTTGCTTTACAAGGTTGTATTATTGTACAGTGAAGCAGCTATATGTATACATATCTCCCCTCTTTTTTGGATTTCCTTCCCATTTAGGTCACCACAGAGCAGTGAGTAGAGTTCCCTGTGCTCACAGTAGGTTCTCATCAGTTATCTGTCTTATACATAGGAGCGTATATATGTCAATCCCAATCTCCCAAGACATTCTGAGTTTATAAACAGAAATTGGTGGAAGAATTGGAAGACGGGAGTTCAGTTCAGTCACTCAGTCATGTCCGACTCTTTGCATCCCCCTGGACCGCAGCATGCCAGGCCTCCCTGTCCATCGCCAACTCCCAGAGCTTGCACAGACTCATGTCCATCGAGTCGGTGATGCCATCCAACCATCTCATCCTCTGTTGTCCCCTTTTCCTCCTGCCCTTAATCTTTCCAAGCATCAGGGTCTTTTCAAATGAGTCAGCTCTTCGCATCAGGTGGCCAAAGTACTGGGGCTTCAGCTTCATCATCAGTCCCTCCAATGAACACCCAGGACTGATCTCCTTTAGGATGGACTGGTTGGATCTCCTTGCAGTCCAAGGGACTCTCAAGAGTCTTCTCCAATACCATAGTTCAAAAGCATCAATTCTTTGGCCCTCAGCTTTCTTTATAGACCAACTCTCACATCCATACGTGACCACTGGAAAAACCATAGCCTTGACTAGATGGACCTTTGTTGACAAAGTAATGTCTCTGCTTTTTAATATGCTGTCTAGGTTGTAATATTCCTTCCTTCCAAGGAGTAAGTGTCTTTTAATTTCATGGCTGCAATCACCATCTGCAGTGATTTTGGAGCCCAAAAAAGTAAAGTCTGCCACTGGTTCCACTGTTTCCCCATCTATTTGCCATGAAGTGATGGGACCAGATGCGATGATCTTAGTTTTCTGAATGTTGAGCTTTAAGCCAACTTTTCACTCTCCTCTTTCACTTTCATCAAGAGGCTCTTTAGTTCTTCTTCACTTTCTGCTGTGAGGGTGGTGTCATCTGCATATCTGAAGTTATTGATATTTCTCCTGGCAATCTTGATTCCAGCCTGTGCTTCTTCCAGCCTGGTGTTTCTCATGATGTACTCTGCATAGAAGTTAAATGATCAGGGTGACAATATACAGCCTTGATGTACTCCTTTTCCTATTTGGAACCAGTCTGTTGTTCCATGTCCAGTTCTAACTGTTGCTTCCTGACCTGCATACAGGTTTCTCAAGAGGCAGATCAGGTAGTCTGGTATATCCCATCTCTTTCAGAATTTTCCACAGTTTATTGTGATCCACACAGTCAAAGGCTTTGGCATAGTCAATAAAGCAGAAATAGATGTTTTTCTGGAACTCTCTTGCTTTTTTGATGATCCAGAAGATGTTGGCAATTTGATCTCTGGTTCCTCTGCCTTTTCTAAAAGCAACTTGAACATCTGGAAGTTTACGGTTCACGTATTTCTGAAACCTGGCTTGGAGAATTTTGAGCATTACTTTACTAGCGTGTGAGATGAGTGCAATTGTGTGGTGGTTTGAGCATTCTTTGGCATTGCCTTTCTTTGGGATTGGAATGCAAACTGACCTTTTCCAGTCCTGTGGCCACTGCTGAGTTTTCCAAATTTGCTGACATATTGAATGCAGCACTTTCACAGCATCATCTTTTAGGACTTGAAATAGCTCAACTGGAATTCCATCACCTCCACCAGCTTTGTTTGTAGTGATGCTTCCTAAGGCCCACCTGACTTCACATTCCAGTATGTCTGGCTCTAGGTGAGTGATGAAGAAGGGAGAAAAGGAGAGAAAGAAAGGAGATGCAGATTCCAGGATGTGAGGGGCAAGGCAGGGGGTGGATGGAAGGGGAGGACCATTGAGGGCAGGACAGGGACAAGGAACAGAAGGCAGGGAAAGAAGTGGAGCCCGGAAGGAGGAGGGAAAGCAGCACTGAGTAAAAGAGGGATGGGACGGGGGCGCGGGAGGTGAGGGGGAATGTGCGGAAACCGAAAGCGGCAGAATGAGAGAGATTATCAAGGAGACAGAAACCAGTTGAAGATGGTCATTTCCCAGTCTGAAGAAGCCATTGTGTGAGGGAGGCCTTGTGAGGCAGACAGATGGGCTCCGCATGTCAGAGGTTTCTAGGTCAAGAGAGACCCTCCCCTAATAGCCAGGGAAGCCTGGGCAGTTTCCTGACCCCTCTTACTGCACCTCCTGTGCTTCCTTAGAATGTAACTACTAACAGTGCCTACCTCTGGGGGCTGTGCCAGGTGGAGAGCCGCGTGTGCGGGCCTGGTGCCGGGCTGGCAGAAAGCCCATGGTGACCTGGAGTCGGTCTAGTGAAGCCCAGACTCAATTACGTGTGGCCCAGGGTTGGTTAGCACAGTGCCCGGCCCAGCCGAAAGGCTGCAGAGGGATTTCCCTAGTGGTCCAGTGGCTAGGGCTCTACCCTCCCAGTGCAGGGGTCATGGGTTCGATCCCCGGTCAGGGAACTAGATCCCATATGATACAACTAAGAATTCACATGCAAAAAAAAAAAAGAATTCACATGCTATAACTAAAGATCCCAAGTGCCACAACTGAGACCTGACGCAGCCAAATAAATAAATATTAAAAAAGAAAGGAAGGCCGAGAGAAATGGGAGCTACTGAGGCCATTGTCACCAATTGTGACTCAAAACCAGCTACTCAGAGGTGACAACTTTCAGAATGCCCCACTTCTTTGTAAGGACAATCTTTCTCTCGCACCCCCAATCCCTGCCCAGCACGAATAACAGCAAGTGCAGTCAGATGCTCTGAAGGACAGGCCATCCACACTGCCTCCAGGTGGGGGAGCAGGATCGCACTGTGCCCAGCCTGCTTCTCCCACAACTTGCGGCCTACCCCCATCCCCATCCCATCCCTGCACGGTGACCCACTGTCCTGTCCTTCCAGGAGGAGTTTGGTGTCAGCGCAGCCCTGCTGTCTGCCAAGGAAGCTCTGCTGGTCTGGTGCCAACGGAAGACTGCCGGCTATGCCAACATCAACATCACGGACTTCTCCCGCAGCTGGAGTGATGGGCTCAGCTTCAGTGCCCTCATCCATGCCCACAGGTGGGCGTGTGGGAGGGGACCCAGCACCTCCTGCCCTGGCTGCCTCTGCTTCCTTCTCAGAGGCCTTCTACCCGCTGAGCTAACTTCTCCAGGACTTGGGTCCTCCACCCACCCATTATCCCATATCCTTCTGGTCCCTTACACTGGGCACAGAAGTAAAGACACTGACCCTAAGTTCCTGGTCTGTGACACCCCTCCCCACTTCCATAGAACTAGCCAGGTTTGCCTTTGACCCCTGCCACCTTCTACTCTCTGTGTCCCTGATTCTCTTTTCAGTCCTCTTTCTGGCAAGCACCTGTCCATTTTGGAGCTTCCCCCCACTACCCAGGAGGCTGAGCCCCAAGCAAAATTAACCCTCCCCTCTCCCAGTCCTATTCCTTCAACCAGGGCCTTAGGTCATCATCAGGGGCAAGTTAGTGCCCAGCAAGGTGGGAATGACCCTCTTAACAAGTCCACATAAAGCTGAGCAGTCCCTGACTCTGGTGAAGAGCTCTGCCTGCTCTCTGCCCAGGCCAGACCTGCTTGACTACAGCTCCCTGCGCCCCGACCGCCCGCTGCACAACCTCCGCTGTGCTTTCCACGTAGCTGAGCAGGAGCTGGGCATTGCTCAGCTGCTGGATCCCGAGGACGTGGCAGCCCTACAGCCCGACGAGCGCTCCATCATGACCTACGTCTCCCTCTATTACCACCACTTCTCCCGCCTGCACCAGGAGCAGACCGTCCAGAGGAGACTCGTGAAGGTTGGGGACAGGGAGCGAAGGTGGCACTGCAGAGAGGTGGGGCAAACATGGGCTCCAGAGTCAGCACACCCTGTGACCTTTCCTCCCTGTGTGACCTTGGCCACATCATCCAACCTTCCTGTGCTTCATCTGTAAAATGGGAGTGATGATGCCTGGGTAACGCAATTAATTCTGGGTAACAGAACGCTGCTGGGAGTGTTCAAGGGAGCATGAGCAGACTTCCCGGCATACAGGGAAGCCCCCGGCATACAGGGAAGCCGGGTGAGCACCGCCTCTCCCTGACCCTCCACCCCCCCCCACCCTTGGCTCTTAGGTTGCTAAGCTCCTAATGGGATTAAAAGGCACAGAGAGCTGGACTCTGCAAGGACAAACACAGGGCAGCTCTGCTGGGCCAAGTCCATGTTTCTGGGGAGCTTTCTTACCCTCTGGGCACGATGGCAGAGGCTGAGGCCTGGGAGGGCTGTTCTCAGGGTTGGTGTCTCAGCTGGGAGTGGGGAAGGTGATCCAGGCCAAAGACCCTGAGTTGCTTTAGGGGTGTGGGGGCCTCAGGGAGGGAAAGAAGAGCACCTCCAGTGTTGAGGCCAAATGGGGTAAAATAAGAGAGGAAGGCAGGACGGGAGCCCCACTCCCGGGTCTGAGTGTGGAATGGAAACAGACCTTGCTTCTCTGGGGACTGGGAGCATCCCCACTTTAGCGTATCCTCACCTAAGAGCAGGAGCTACTGTGTACCTAGGCAAGCCTGGCTGGCACTCAGCACCCAAAAGGGGAAGGCCTCCAGGACCTGGAAGCCAGGGTGTGCCCCCCAGGTGCTGGTCTGAGCCCTTCCCCATGCCCTCCACCAGATCCTGCATCAGCTGCAGGAGTCAGAGGCGCTGCAGACCCAGTACGAGGAGCTGGTGGCCGACCTGCTGTGCTGGATTGCAGAGAAGCAGGTGCAGCTGGAGGCGCGGGATTTTCCAGACAACCTGCCGGCCATGCGCCAGCTACTGGTGGCCTTTGCCTCCTTCCGCACCCAGGAGAAGCCACCGAGACTGCAGCAGCGAGGGGCCACGGAGGCCCTGCTCTTTCGGCTGCAGACAGCCCTCCGAGCCCAGAACCGCAGGCCCTTCCTGCCACCCGAGGGCCTGGGCCCTGCGGAGCTGTCCCGGCGCTGGGCAAGCCTGGAGCGGGCGGAGGCCTCACGGAGCCGGGCCCTGCAGCAGAGGCTCCTACAACTAGAGCGGTTGGAAACCCTGGCCCGGCGTTTCCAGCGTAAGGCAGCCCTCAGGGAGAGCTTCCTGACAGACACAGAGCAGGTGCTGGACCGGGCCGCAGCCCCGCCAGCCAGCCCGGCCATGATGGAAGCGGCCGCCCAGAGGCTGGGCATGCTGGAGGCCAGTATCCTGCCCCAGGAGGGGCGCTTCCAGGCCCTGGCTGAGATTGCGGACATCCTCCATCAGGAGCGCTACCACGGTGGGACAGAGGTGGCCAGCAGGTGAGCCCCGGGCATGGGACAGTCTTCAAAACAGGCTAAGGCCTTCCTACCATGAGGGGGTAGGGGTGATTTATTAATTTGGGGCTCCCTTTTAAAAGATCTATATCTTGGGAATTCCCTGGCAGTCCAGTGTTTAGGACTTGGCGCTTTTACTGTCAGAGCCCAGATTCCATCCCTAGTCAGAGAACTAAGATCTTGCAAGATGCATGGCACAGCATAAATAAGTAAATAAAAAGATCTAGCTCCCACTGTTGCCTAAAACTCCAACCTCTGTCATTGATCCCTTTGGTAAAGCTCTGTTCTTTCTAGATAGCCTCTTATTAATTTATTCACTAAAACTAAGCATTTATTGAGTGTCTACTATGTCCTAAGTACTGTTCTAGGTGTTGGAGATTTAGCAGTGAAAAGGGCAAACAAAAATCCCTCCCCTCATAGAGCTTACATGCTACTAAGGAAAACAGAAACATATACAGTCTGTGAGACAGTGATTTTAAAAGATAATAAAGCAGAATAGGGGAATATGAGGTACCAACGTGGGCAGAGGGAGTTATACGAGTTATACTGAGTGGTCAGAGGAGGTTTACTTTTGAGCAAAGAGCACCGACTCAATAGACATGAGCTTTGGTAAACTCTGAGAGTTGGTGATAGACAGGGAGGCCTGGCGTGCTGCAGTCCATGGGATCACAGTCGGACATGACTGAGCAACTGAACTGAACTGAACTGAAAGAGCAGAAGGAAGTGAGAAACCATACAGATATGATGACGGACTATACTAGGGCAGTGTCCCAAAGGGACACATGGAAAATAACATGGAAGCCAAGTGAACAGGTTGTAGTTGAGGTCAGGGAGGTATGGAGGCCAGGGGTGGTGGTAGAGATCCTGCCAGACCCTGCAGGACACAGTAAAGACAGTTTTTACTCAGCAGAAGATAGGAAATCATGGCAGGACTTGAGCAGACAAGTCACACGATCTAACTTTTATTTTACAGTGATCATTCTGGATGCCACGACAGGAATAGACTGAAGGGACAAGGGCAGAAGCAGAGAGAACAGTCAGGAAGCTACTGCAGTAATCACTTAGAATAATAGAGAAGTGGAGATGATGAGAAATGGAGGGGTTCTGCATTTATTTTGAGTCCAGGGGAATTTGCAAACAGATAAGAAGTGGGATGTGAGAAAATGAGTCATCCAGTTCCTGGCCAGGGCACTGGGAAGGATGGAGTTGCAGTCACCTGTAATGAGGACTGGAAGGAAGGCTTGGGTGTCAGAGGAGGCCTGAACCTCCCAGACTCTCCCTTCAGTTTTTCTGCCTGTTTCTAAAAGGCAGGGACACTGCCCCTACCACTCCAGGGTAAGATGCTCACAGCCCCAGCCACAGTACTCAGGTTCCTCCAGTACAGACAAGCCCCCCAACCACCAACTGTGGACCCCAAGCTTCCCTGCCATGGCCCAGTGGACACCACCCTTATTCTTACATCCCCCAGGCAGCTGGAGATCACCCGGCGCTGGGAGCGGCTCCTCCAGCGGCTCCAAGGGCAGAGGAAGCAGATAGCGGGCATGCAGGCTGTGCTGAGCCTGCTGCAGGAGGTGGAGACTGCCTCCGACCAGCTCAATGAGCTTCAGGTAGGCCCTGGACCAGTGGACCCCTGGGAGAACATAGCAGCATGCGCCAGTCCTGGCACTCACAGCGACCCAGCACTCTGGGACGTTAATGACCACTCATCTGGCCCTGGCCAGGTGCTGGTCAGCTCCACGGCCTGTGGGCAGAAGCTGACAGAGGTAGAGGGGCTGCTGCAGAGGCATGACCTGCTGGAGGCCCAGATCTCAGTCCTTGGAGCCCACGTGAGCCATCTGGCCCAGCAGACGATGAAGCTGGACTCTTCCACGGGCACTGCTGTGGAGGTGCTGCAGGCCAAGGCCAGGGCGCTGGCCCAGCTCTACCACAGCCTCATGTCTCTTGCCAGGTCCCGGTAAGAGCCCACCCAAACTCCTCTACCCTCTCCACAACTTTTCTGTAATCCAAATTACCTCCTGCCCAGGTTTAAACATGCTGCCTGGAGACTTCCTCTGCCCTGACCCTAGTCTCCTCTGTTGAGTGATCCAGGGACAGGAGAAGTCCTATCTAAGGGGAGGTACCTGGGCCTGGTGGGGAATCCTTCCTTAAGCCACATCACTGCCTGATTCCCTCTGTGGCCCTTGCCATCCCTCAGGCGGGCCTCGCTGGAGCAGACCCTGCAGCAGGCAGAGCTCCTGCACAGCTGTGAGGAGGAGGAAACCTGGTTGAGGGAGCATGGACAGCTGGTGGAGGATGCATCCATGGGCCCGGATTTCAGCCAGATCGCAGCGGCCCTGCAGAAACACAAGGTGCCCTCTAACTTGCATCCTGCCTCTTCCCCTCTCCCTGCCATCCATCCCTTCCCTCACCCAGCTCCCTCCTCTGTGCTCCTCCAGGCCCTGGAAGCCGAGCTCCATCGCCACCAGGCTGTGTGCGCTGATCTTGTGCAGAGGGGACGCAAACTGGGAGCCTGTGGGCCCCCGACGTGGCCGGACCCCTGGGAGCGGGCTGAGGTGGTACAGGGCATGTGGCAGCGGCTCTGGGCCCGGATGGATGAGCAGGGCATGAGGCTGCAGGCAGCCCTGCTTGTCCAGCAGGTAGCAGGGCAGCAGGAGCTGGGTGGCCGGGCAGGGAGTGCAGGGTCAGCCCATGTGTGCCCAGCCTGCCCTCCTCCTCACAGTACTTCATGGACGTGGCGGAGGCGGACTCGTGGCTTCAGGAGCAGCGGTCTACACTGGAGAGTGCATCCTTTGGACAGGACCAGGTGGCCACCGAGGCCCTACTGCGACAACACCTGCGTCTGGAACGCTCTGTGCGCACCTTCGGGACCAAGCTGCATCGATTAGACGAGCAGGCACGGGTGGCCACAGCCCAGGCAGCACTCCTGGTACGTAGAGACAGGACAGGGACCCAAACCCGTGGGCCCCCGACACCAAATGCACACTGCACCCTTGACCACACAGAGGGTGGAAATGAGATGGCCTTTGTGGCCCCTGACGTGCCTTCCCCTGGGGTTGGAGGTGCCCACTCCTTCTCAGCATCATCTCCCCTGCTGTCCTAGCCCAGAGTTAGCAGAGTACTGTCTGCCCATGATGGAGGACATCAGAGGGTAGTTTGGCATTGCTCAATTAGCCCACAAGTTCCCAGGCAATGATCAGTTTCCTCCAGCAACGTCCCGTTACTTTGACCACTGGGCCTAAGGTGTCCTTTCACCCTTAAGCCCTATTCGGCTCTCCTGACTAGGCCTTTTTAGGCTTTGGGTGGCCAAATCACTACCCCAGACTGCTTTCTGAACTCCCTCCCTCAGTTTATTGAGCTTCCAGTTTAAAAAAGAAAAAAAAAACCACATACCTACATGTTGGGCAGGGTGGTTCAGGCCTCTGAGGGTATGCAGTTTCTTTCAAGAAGCTGGACATGTAGCTCAGGATGTGTAAATCACAGCCCTCAGGTCCTGCACTCACATTTGGTCTGTCTACCCTCATCCCACAACTGAAGCGACTTAGCATGCATGCACCCTCATGCCAAGGAAGCTCCATGTCCCGGGCGCCTGCAGACCCGCAGCACGGGTCCTCGTGTCTTGGAAGGGGGCCTGGTGGCATAGTTGGTACTGACCACCAAGACCAGACTACCAAAAGTCTGAAAGTTCTGTGCTTCTAACTTAGCTGAGGTCAAGCTATCTCTTTTCCTTTGCATTTGTTCCCTGGACCATATAATCAACAATTTTTGAAAATAGAACCACAACATGTTAGCAGTTGTCTGGTCCAGCACCCTCTCTTTACAGGTGAGGCAACCAAAGTTCACAGAGGCCAAGTTACTGCCCTCACACCTGCTGGAGTGGTTGCCCAGGACTGTCTCCCCTTTCCCTCCCTGTGTGGCTATAATATGTAACTCCTGGCACTTGCGTTATATTAACACTTGCTGCTTTTGGTATTGCTTTCCTTCTGTACTATGTGGCCACTTTCTCCAGTCTGAGTTGTTTAAATGAATGACAGGAGACGCCTTATCCTTCTTTTGTGGCCTATACTGCCCAGCCAGCCTTGGCATTGATAGAAGGCTTAGTTCTAATCTCTGGCATTTTCAGACCCTTTCTTTGCCCAGTGGTGGTGGAGAGGTACAGAGATGCCTCCCCTCCTGTGGGTGGGGAGTCACTTTGGCAGCTAAGCAGAGCCTTCCCTCCTCCATACAGAAGGAACCCCCAGAAGGCTGGAGCAGAACTGATGGAGATGTCACCAGGAGATCTGAGAATGGGACCCAAATTTTAGCACTGCAGGGCAGCCAACCACCATGCCCTCAGGTCAAGACAAGCTTCATCTACAGAGGTATAAGGCCAAGACCTTACATGGGCACCTTAACAGAGCATCAGGAATCTGTGTGGCTCTTGGGGGCATCCAAAGACTGAAGGGAAGAAGTTAAAGAGAGGAGGAAAGATATGAAGCTGCCTGAAATTCTGAGTCTTCCTTTGTTCCCCTCCCTTTCCAGTCTGTCTCTGTGCCTCTTCCTTTTCCCCAACCCCTGAGTGTCCAGCCTGGCGGCTGCTGCTGCTACAATGTCTGACCCCTGCCCCGGGCCAGAGACACAGAGGGACAGAGACCCCCCATCTGGAAGGCCAGCCTGGGCTCCCCACCCCCACCCCTCTATGCCCCAGCTCCTGCCACCAGAGCCACTTTGCCTCCCCCTCTGCAAATGCTGTTTCCCCAGCCAGGCTCACCCTGCCCTTGAAATCTTTCCCGACCCCAGCCTGTTCTGGCCGTCTTCCACTCCCTGGGCCCCCATAGTATCCATTTCACACACTGTGCATTCTGCTTACCCTTGCACAGTCCTGGGAAGTGTCCTAGGTCTGTGGGCATAAGGTCTTCAAGGGCTCAGGAAGCTCTGGCCTTCATCCTCTGGCCTGCAGGGCTCCTGGCACAGGACTGAGTAATGAATAATCTCCCCTGCCCATCCCCAGTGGCCAGCTCCTGGCTCAAGAAGAGGCACAGGGCCAGTGCGGCCCTGAGAACCTATGTTCCCACAGGAATGCACTTCACCCAGCTCCCAGGAGAGGCCCGGCAGCCCCCATGCCAGACAGACCCCGACACCCCAGGGGGCTGCCAGGCCACAGTGCCCCTCAGTCACATCATGGGACCGGAAGCTCAGGTACAGCTGCTGGCCCACCCTGCCAAGCCTTCTGCTCCTTGCTGGGAGCCCTTCCAGACACACTGACCTCTGTCCTGTGGGCACAGGTGGTGTCTGCCCTGAGCTCTCCGAAGATAGGCCCGAGAAACCCAGGGGCCTGGCATGAGGTTTCCTGCCACTCTGGTCTGTGGGGCACCCAGAAGATGGCCCTCCCAGATGAGCCTGACCCTGACTTTGACCCCAACACCATCCTCCAGACACAGGACCGCTTGAACCAGGACTATGAGGGCCTGCGGGCCCAGGCAGAGGTAACACTCCTTGTTCATGGAACGTTCGCTCCTTCAGTCTGGATCCTGGGCCATGAGCCCAGGGACAGAGCAGTGACAGGACGCATTCCCTGCCCTTGAGGAGCTTGGGTCAGGGCAGAGAAGATGTGAACAAGTCATTAGACGGAGCTGGGTGCAATGGGAGCGTGAAGGGGAGGCATCTCTGAGGGATGGACATTTAGGCCGAGACTTGAACAGTGAGAAGCTGGGAGCAGGTCAGTCAGGGGTGTGGCAGGGGGAGATGGTGGGGAAGAGTGTTCTAAGCAGGACCTGGGCAAAGGCAGGAAAGGGGCCCAGTGAAGGAGCGAGGGCCAGGGTGCCTGGAGCACAGCAGGGAGGCCTGGGAGCAGCTAGAGGAGAGCCTGCAGAGGAAGGGGCAGGGAGCAGGGCCAGACGCAGGGAGAAGCGCAGATTGTACCCAAGAGCGCAGGGTGTGAGTAGGATGGGAGCAATGTGCATGCTCTGCCGGGCCCTCTGCCAGAGAGGGTGGAGGGCCCAGCAGTGGGACAGGGACTGTTTCTGCGCCTGGCCTTGGACTCTGCGGGTTGGGAGGTGATGGGGGACCTGCTCTCAGCGCCCCATGGCAGGCACTGGCCCTCAACCCAGCCTCTGGGCTGGCCTTTCCTCAGCGCCGCAGGGCCCAGCTGGAGGAGGCGGTGGCCCTGTTTGGCTTCTATAGCTCATGTGGGGAGCTGCAGTCCTGGCTGGCCAAACAGACGACGCTGTTGCAAACGCTGCAGCCCAAGGCCAACAACTTGGAAGTCATGCAGCTCAAGTATGAGGTATGTTGCTGCTGAGGGGGTCTTGCCTGCTTGGCCCTGCTGCCTCGGGTGATTCCTGTCCTGCCCCCTCCTCACGCCTCTCCCTTACTCACTCCTGTGCCCCAGTGAGCTCCGTGTCAGCTGTGGTCCTGTCTGGGAGGAGGGAGAGGAAGATTTGGCCTCGAATTTTTTTTTTTAATTGAGGTATAATTAGCATATAACACTGTATTTTTTCAGGTATAAATAGATGTCATATATCGCAAAATGACCACACTGTAAATCTAGTAACATCCATCAGCATACATGCACAGTAACAAAAGTTTTATTTTATAACTATAAGTGTGTACCATTCACCCATCTCACCCACTCCCCATGCCTCCCCTATGGGAACCACCAATCCATTCTCTGAATCTATGAGCTTGGGTTTTTTTTAAATCACATATATAAGTAGGATCATATATGGTATTCGTGTTTCTCCATCTAACTTATTTCACTTAGCATGATGCCGTCAAGGTCCATCCACGTCATCCTGAATGGCAAGATTTCAATTCTTTCTTGTGACTGAATAATACTTCAGTGCTCACGTGTGTGTGTGTGTGTGTGTGTGTGTGTGTGTATTATGTTTTCTTTGTCCTTTCATCCACTGATGGACAATTAGGTTGTCTCCACATCTTGGTTTGTGTAAATAATGCTGCAATGAACATGGAGGTGTATATATTTTTTGGAGTTAGTGTTGTTTTCTTCAGATAAATACCCAGAAGTGGAATGGCTGGATCATGTGGTAGTTCTATTTTCCATTTTTTGAGGAACATCCATACTGTTTCCCATAGTGGCTGTACTAATTTACATTCACACGAGCAGTGCAGAGGGGTTCCCTTTTCTCTACATCCTCACCAATGCTTATTTATTGTCTTTTTGATAATAGCCTTTCTAATAAGTATAAGATGATATCTCATTGTGGTTTTAATTTCCATTTCCCTTATGATGATGATAAGTATCTTTTAATGTAACTCTTGACCATCTGTATGTTTGCTCATTTTTTAATTATATTATTTGGTTTTTTGCTATTAAAATGTGTAAGTTCTCTGTATATTTTGGATATTAACCTTCTATCAAATGTATGATTTGCAAATATTTTCTTCCATTCTCCCATAGGTTGCCTTTTCATTTTGTTGATGGTTTCCTTTGCTGGGCAGAAGCTTTTTAGCCACTTGTTTATTTTGTTTTTGTCCCTCTGCTTTTGGTGTCAAATAAAAAAAATCATTACCAGACCAATGTCATGGAGCTTACCCTACTATGTTTTCTTTGAGGAGCTTTATGATTTCAGGTCTTACATTCAAGTCTTTAATCCATTTTGTGTTAATTTTTATGTGTAGTATTAGAAAGTGTTCCAGTTTCATTCTTTTGCAGGCAACTGTTGAGTTTCCCCAACACTATTTTTTAAGAGACTGTCCTTTCCCCAGTGTATAGTCTTTATAATCGATAGCTCCTTGGTCATAAAATTAATTGACCATATATGCATGGGTTTGTTTCTGAGCTATCTGTTCCATTGATCTATATGTCTGTTTTTATCCCAGTACTATACTGTTTTGATTTACTATGCCTTTGTTAAAGAGTTTGAAATCAAGGAGCATAACACCTCCAAGTTTGTTCTTTCTCAAGATTGCTTTGGTTGTTTGAGATCTTTTATTGTCCCATACAAATTTTAGTCTTCCAATCCTTGAACACAAAATGTCTTTCTATTTATTTGTGTCTTCTTTGATTTTTTTTCATCAATGTCTTATAGTTTTCAATGAACAGATCTTTTACCTCCTTGGTTAAATTTATTCTTGTGCTGTGCTGCTGCTGCTGCTGCTAAGTCACGTCAGTTGTGTCCAACTCTGTGTGACCCCATAGACGGCTGCCCACCAGGCTCCCATCCCTGGGATTCTCCAGGCAAGAATACTGGAATGGGCTGCCATTTCCTTCTCCAGTGCATGAAAGTGAAAAGTGAAAGTAAAGTCGCTCAGTCGTGTCCAACTCTTTGCGACCCCATGAACTGGAGCCTACCAGGCTCCTCCATCCATGGGATTTTCCAGGCAAGAGTACTGGAGTGGGCTGCCATTGCCTTCTCCGTCTTGTGCTGTGCTAAGTTGCTTCAATCATGTCTGACTCTTTACAACCCCATGGACTGTAGCCCACCAGACTCCTCTGTCATGGGATTCTCCAGGCAAGAATACTGGAGTGGGGTGCCATTTCCTTCTCCAGGGGATCTTTCCAACCCAGGGGTCAAATCCACATCTCTTATGTTTCCTGCATTGACAGGTGGGTTCTTTACTACTAGCGCCACCTGGGAAGCCCAAAATTTATTCCTAGATATTTTATTCTTTGGGGGTTAATTGCAAATTTAATTTCTATACACTAATAAGGAACTATCAGAAAGAGAAATGAAGAGAACAGTCCCATTTTCCATTGCATTTCCAAAGAATAAATTTAAAAAATTTATTCCTAGACATTTTATTCTTTGGGATGCAATTGCAAATGGGATTCTTCATATCTCTTTCTGATAGTTCCTTATTAGTGTATAGAAATTGAACATATTTCTGTATATTGACTTTTGTATCCTACAACCTTACTGAATTCATTTATTCTAACAGTTTTTTGGTGGAATCTTTTTTAAAATGTTATTTATTTTTGGCTGTGCTGGGTCTTTGCTGCTGCTCAGGCTTTTCTCTAGTGATGGGGAGTGAGATCTACTCTCTAGTTGTAGTGCTCAGGCTTCTCATCATAGAGCCTTCTCTTTTGTTACCGAGTATGGGCTCCAGGGCATGTGGGCTTCGGTAGTTGTGCGTGTGGGCTCAGCTGTGGCACCCGGACCTTAGAGAACAGGCTCAGTGGTTGTGGCACATGGGCTTAGTTGCCCCATTGGCATATGGGATCTTCCCCCAGGAGACATGGGATTGAACCCGTGTCTCCTGCATTACCACGTGATTCTTTAGGGTTTTCTCTGTATAAAATCTTGTCATCTGCAAATAATGACACTTTTACTTCTTCCTTCCCAATTTGGATGTCTGGTCTTGAATTTTTAAAGGGCCCTCCCAGCCCTTTAAGGACACAGACCCCTGTCCTTCCAAAGGGATGCAGCTCAAACATCTCTGTAGCAGTGCATATCTGAGGTCATTCCTAGTATTAAGGGGACTGTAGGAAGACAAAAGGCCCCCTCCAGGCCTGGAATCTCCTTTCCCCAGAACTTCCTGACTGCCCTGGCTGTGGGAAGAGGACTCTGGACTGAGGTTAACAGCTCCGCTGAGCAGCTGAAGCAGAGGTGTCCTGGAAATTCCCCCCAAATCCAGCTACAGCAGGAGGAACTGAGCCAGAGGTGAGAATGAAGAGGGAGTGCTGCTGAGAGGACAAGGGTGGCTAATGCCCAGGCCTGAGTACTTGCTTACCTGACTCCTGAGATGCCAGGAAGAAAGACTAGAGGCATCAGGGATGGAAAGAGAGGGTATGGGGATGGCTGGCCAGCCAGCTCTTGTCACACAAGCCTTGGCCAAGGCCCCAGGATGGATGGAGAGGTGTCCCTGTGACATGACATCCCTGAGACAACCCTGTTCCCTCGGCCCAGGTGGGAGCAGCTGGAGACCCTGAAGAAAGAGAAGGAAACGCAGCTGGCATGCACAACGCATGTGTGCAGTTTTCTGCAGGAGTGTGGATCCACACGGGTCCAGCTGCAAAACCTGATACTCCAGCTGGAAACCCGGGAGCTGGGGAACTCAGAGGATGGCCACCATGTTCTGCGAGTGGGCCAGGAGAAGATGCTGGTGCTGGAGAAAGACATTCACTGCCTGCAAAGTGCGGCTAGCAAGTATGACCGGGATTCAGCCCAGCAATGCCCTGAGCAGGGCTCTGGAATGGGGAGGAGGACAGAAACTGAGGTGGGAGGATGGGTGGGGTATGCCATTGGAAGGGCAGGTCACAGATTGGGAAACGGTGTGAGAACATGCTCATGGTGAACCAGAGAGCGACCCATGCTCGCTGCCCCTCTATTGAGGGTGAGAGGGCAGTTCAGAGTTGCCACCACTTGCCCTAGGGAACATATGCCTGGGCCCAGGGCCAGGGACAGGGCACTGACTGGGCGGTGGGTCCTGTCCACAGGGTTGAGGAGATGGGCCCCGCAGAGAGCCCGTCCCTGCAGGGACAGGTGGAGACGCTGCAGGGGCTGCTGGAGCAAGTGCGGGAGCAAGTGGCCCTGCGGGCCCAGGCCCAGGCCCACCGGAGCTTCCTGCAGGAGAGCCAGCGGCTGCTGCTGTGGGCAGACAGTATCCAGGCCAAGCTGCACAGTGAGGAGGAGGCGGTGGATGTGGCCTCAGCCCAGCGGCTCCTGGGGAAGCACCAAGACCTGCTGGAGGAGATCCACCTGCAGCAGGAGAGGTCAGGATGAGAGGGCAGGTGGGGCACGCGTTAGGCTGGCCCTGGCCTGTGGGGACGGGGCACCAGGAAGGGACAGATGGGGAGCAGCGTGTCAGCAAGGGTGTGGCCCAGGCTGGTGTCCATCCTGGCACCTGAGGCAGGTTTACAAAGACGCGGGTGAAACCAAAGACTGGTCAGACATCTTGCATATATGCTGGGGAGGGACCCCAGGCAGAGTCTGAGCCTCCTGGAATGTTCTGTCCTGTCCAGGCCTGGCCACACCCCATGCAGGGGAGCCTGGTGGACTGCTATCAGGGTGGCTGAGCCACCTAACCTATTCTGGGTAATACAGACCCCACAGGCCCCTGGAGCAAAAATAAAAATGGCTCAGCCTCTTGCCCCACCCAGGACTAAGACAACACCCTCCTCAGTATGGCGATGCCTCCCCTCGTCCTGCAGGGGTGGGTGCAGTCTGTAGCCTGTGCTGCATATGAAGGAGCCTAACAGGTGGCCCAGTGGACCCTGAAATCCAGCCCATCCCCTGCTAACTAGATTCTACCACCCACTTGAGGGCTGCACCAGCTCAGAGAAGTGGAGCCTTTTCCTCACTCACACAAAGGTGTCACCTGTTCTCAAACTGTAAGCCTGGGGGTCACACCCGGCAGAGGGGTGGCTGCCTTTCCTAAAGCTTCACCCAGGCTTGCGGTGATCCCACAGTCGGGTATGTAGGCAGTCTGAATGATTTTTTTCTGGGTGCGCTGCCCAGCCATCCGCTGGCCTGGGCATCGCCATCAACATGGCCAGCTGGAGCATGGTGTGACATGCAGGGAGCACAGGAACTAGTGAGTCCCAAGTCCTGCGCTGGGCTTGTTACGTTTGCTGTCTCACCAGTGGCCCAGGGTATAGCTATCCCACAGGATGAGTGGATCCCTGGGGCTTACCCACCTCAGACCCCTGCCAGTTACCCTCACCTCAGAGCTCCCAGATGAATGGACCGTGGAGGCCAGACAGTAAGAAGGTTGGCCCAGGGTTTGACCCTCTGCCTGTCGTCCTGGACAGGCTGCAGCAGCTGGAGACAAAGGGCCAGCCCATGGCAGCCTCGGGCTCCCCAGACTTCCGAGAGGTGGCTAGTGCCCTGAGGCTCCTGGGCCACCAAGGCCAGGAGTTGAAGGCTGCCTGGGAGCAAAGACAGCAGCAACTGCAGGAGGGGCTGGAATTGCAGAAATTTGTTCGAGATGTGGATGGTTTCACTGCCTCCTGTGCCAACCATGAGGCCTTCCTACGGCTGGACAGCCTCCAGGTACAGAGCGGGGGGTGTGCAACTGGGATGCGCCTTCCCCAGGAAGTAGGAGCCTGAAGCCAGGCTGGGCGCGGGGCCCTGGGTTGGCAGGGGGTGAGAAGGTGCTGACCACTCCCCTCTTCTCAGCCTGACCCGTCTCTGTGTCTCCAGGAGGGCGTGGTAGAGACCCAGAGCCTGCTGCAGCAGCACCAGGAGCGTGGGCGGCTGCTGGATGCCCTTGGCTCTAGAGCAGAGGACCTACGGGCGCGTGGCGAGAAGCTGGCTCAGAGCCGACACCCCGCTGCATACAAGTGAGCCTGGGCCTGTCTGGGCAGGGCCTACACAGCCCATTACCCTGAGGCTGGGAGAGCGCCTGGGACCCTGGGCTGTGGTGGGTCCGACCTTTGTGGTGGGCCTCAGGCAGAGTGGAGCCTCCACATACCTCCTCCAATTGCATCTGCCCTCCAGGGTCAGAGAGCAGCTTCAGAGCATCCAGGCACGGTGGACCAGGGTCCAGGGGAGGAGTGAGCAGAGAAGGAGGCAGCTGCTAGCCTCCCTCCAGCTCCAGGTGAGGGGCTGCCCCCTGCCCCCCGCCACAGTGCACGAGACCGTCCCGGAAGGAATGCTCTGAGTCTGCTGCTGAGCTACAGCTGTGTGATGGGCGGGGCGCTGCACAGTTTACAAAGCACTTTCCTGACCCTCGCAGCACCTCTTGTGACCCTCCCAGCACCTCTTGTGAGATAGGTATTATGACTCTGATTTTTCCAGTTGAGGAAAACCAAGGCTCAGGCCACTCTGCTCAGAGACAGGGCTGGACCCAAAGCCTAGGCCTCTCCCTCGGCCAGCTGCTCCCCAGCCCCAGCATTTTCAGCCATGCTCCAGGCTCTTGCATGGGCCCTGGTCTCCAGCGGCAGAGCTTGACTCTGTTGGATGTCTGTTCTGCCCACGATGGGGGCTCAAAGCCGGGCTAGTCCACAGGCCTGGACGCAGAGGGCCATCCATGATCTGATGCACTGAATCAGGGGGCACCTGGCCAGACACACCTCCTCTCTGGGCACTGGGCGCTGTGAGGCCAGACCCTGATTCTCCAGGCTTCTTTCTGCTGCTTTCCCTGAAACAATTTTCTCCCCATCTCTCTTTCCTTGTTCCCACTTGGGAGCAGTAACCCCTGCCCCACACCCCTTCTGCACCCTAGGATTGGCTCCACATCCTGCTCTTCCCCTTGGGGCACCCTCAGACCCCTCTTCCATGAGGTCCTCATACCAGCCTCACCCCGCTCTGTAATAACCACCCTCCCCTGGTTCCCGGGCAGGAATGGAAGCAGGACGTGGTGGAGGTGCTGCTGTGGATGGAGGAGAAGGGGCGGATGTTGGTGGACGAGCCATCCCGAGAGCCCAGCAACATCCTGAGGAAACTCAGGTGGCACGAGGCAGCCACGCGTGAACTGGCGGCCACCCAGGGGCACGTGGAGGGCCTGCAGCAGGTGAGGGACGCTGGGCCCAGGGTGCGGGGTCTGCTCGGCTTCATGTTTCCACTACACAGCACATTCTCATGGAGCACAGTCACTGCAGGAAGAATGGATCTCAATCTCCAGGGCATTAGCATCCCTAGCTTCCTCCTTCATTCAGCGGGCAACCTCGGTCTTAGCATGCAAATCAGTCCAGAGAGCTTTTCTCATCCCTTCCCTTCAAGTCTAAGAGGCAGCCCCAGAGCCTGCTGCTTCTACCTGGACACAGTCCTCCCACCAGCTGTCCAGTGCCTGCTCACCCCACACTATTTCCAGGCATCAGAGGACAGCCCTCCCTCCAGTGCCCACAGATCTGGGGCCATGCGAACAGCTAGAGGAGTCCTTGCGACCTGTGGAGTGCAGCTTGCAACCAGTCACTCCCACTGCTGCCCCCTGGACCCAGCCCACCACAGCCACTCCCAGCACCAGCAGCTCAACCGGACGCCCCAGGCCTTTGTGTCCACTGCAGGTCGGGAGAGAGCTGCTGAGCAGCAGGCCCCATGCCCAGGAGGACGTGCAGGCCAGGCTTCAGGGCCTAAGTAGCAAGTGGGAAGAGTTGAGACGCAAGATGGCAGAGCGTGGGAAGCAGCTCCAGCAGGCTTGGCAGCAGGACCAGCTCCTGCGGCTGCTACAGGTGGGTCCAAGAGAGAGGAAGACCCAGGAGGGAGTCCGAGGCTGGGCTGAGTAGACAGGAGAGGAAGTGGGGAGAGGAGGAGTCGGGGCGCTCTGCTGACTCTGGCGTGGCCCTGGAAAGTCCTGCAGCCTTTGGAGGCCTCTAGCCTGTGGCCCATTGACCCCGGCTACCCACCATTGGCCGATCCAGGACTGCTCCCTGTGTGCCTGTGCGTGCTCAACACGACTTGAGTCTCCCTGAGCGGCAGAAGTGAGAGAGGATGGGGGCACTCCTGAGGTTCTGGGAGAAGGATTGGGTACTGTGGGTTGGAGGTGGACAGTGGTGAGGACAGGGGTCCCCAAATGGTCCTTGGTGAATCTGGCATGCTGCTAGCCTTGCAGCCTTAGCATCCAAGAAAGGCCACTTGCCAGTCTGCACACGGGCAGCCTAAGACAGCGCCCTGTATCCCTCCCCAGGAAGCCAAGGAGAAGATGGAGCAGCTAGAGGGGACCCTGCAGAGGGCAGAAATGGGGCAGGACCTGGGCTCCAGCCGGGGGCTGCAGAAACAGCACCGCCAGCTGGAGGCCGAGAGCCAGGCGCTGGCCAGCAGGATGGCTACCCTTGTCCCCGAGGCCCATCAGGTGGTCAGTTCCCAGGCCATTGTGGAGGAGACCGAAAAATACCTCCAGAGGTACTCAGCTGCTTGTCCCACCTCCACCCCACTGTGTGTAACTGCCACCATATGAACCTGAGGGCGTTTCAGCCAGTGGCCCAGCAGGGCAGCACATCAAGGCCCTGAGGCTGTCCGTGCCTCCTTCCTTTATGAGTGGAGTCACTTCTGAGGTAGGAGAGTCAGAGACCCCAGCCAGGCATCCTAAGCACCCCCCAGTCTGAAGCCAGGGAGGTCATCTGGGTGGGAGTTTGGGCCCTGGGCCTTTCCAGCTGCCTCCCCGTCTTCAGATGATGTTCCCTGGTCCCTGCCTCTTCCTTTGTGGGCCCCTGACTGGGATGAGGAAAGCGCTGAGCACTGGACCTCGCCTGTTCCCAGCCTTTCTGTCTCCTCTGTCCACCCAGGTTCAAGGCCCTGCAGGGACATCTGGCCACCCGGCGATGGCAGCTGCAGGCCTCGGTTGAGCTGTACCACTTCCACCACCTGAGCGACGCGGAGCTCACGTGGGTGGCAGAGCACATGCCTGCGCCCAGCCCCAGCTCTGCTAAGTACCCAGATGGTGCCCACCGCCTTCTCCACAAGCACGAGGTAATGGTCCCTGTTTCCTCCCAGGATCCCTGACAGCCTTTCCCAGAGCCTAGATGCCCTCCTCCATGACTCAGGGAGTGCTGATTTCCAAGTCTCTGCCCCCAGCCCTTCTCTGCCTGCAAGTCATCCTGGGCCCTGGAGCCACATCCACGGCTCTGTTCTGGGCCCCCTGTGGCTAAGGAGTGCCCTGAGGCGGCAGCCCTTCCACTGTTCTGTGGCAGGAGCTCCGGGCGGAGGTGGGAGCCCACCAGGGACAAGTGCAACGGGTGCTGGGTTCCGGGCGACACCTCGCAGCCTCTGGGCACCCCCAAGCCCAGCACATCGTGGAGCGGTGCCAGGAGCTGGAAGGCCGCTGGGCGGATCTGGAGCAGGCGTGTGAGGCCCAGGCCCGGCACCTGCAGCAGGCTGCTGCCCTCCAGCAGGTATGATGCAGAGGCCACAGGGTCAGGTTACTGCTGCTGCTAAGTCACTTCAGTTGTGTCCAACTCTGTGCGACCCCATAGACGGCAGCCCACCAGGCTCCCCCATCCCTGGGATTCTCCAGGCAAGAACACTGGAGTGGGTTGCCATTTCCTTCTCTAATGCATGAAAGTGAAAAGTGAAAGTGAAGTCGCTCAGTTGTGTCCGACTCCTAGCGACCCCATGGACTGCAGCCTACCAGGCTCCTCCGTCTGTGGGATTTTCCAGGCAAGAGTACTGGAGTGGGTTGCCATTGCCTTCTCCACACAGGGTCAGGGGAAGTAGATAAAGTTGGGCAGCCTCTTCGGGTGAGGTCTGTGGGACCTGGAGCTCTCAGGGAGCTGGGTCAGTGGTGAGAACTCAGGGCCTAGAGCTGCCTGGTCTCCATGGGAACAGAAGCCTTTTTTCTGCCTGTGTGATGTCCCCGAGGGGTGATGGAGGGTCCATCTGGAAATGTCAAGGTGAGATGACTCCATTCTTGCCAGTGTTTCCTGGACACATCAGAGCTGGAGGACTGGGTGAAGGAGAAGTGGCTACTGGTGAGCAGCCAGGACTATGGTGGGGATGAGACAGCCACCATCAGGCTCATTAAGAAGCACCAGGTAGTGTGTGCTGAGCTTCCCCGCTGTGGTCTGGACTGGGGTGATGACAGGCCATGAGGAAGTGGTCTATCACACACCAAAGGGCACATCCTGCTTCTCAGAGGCAGAGCCCTGCTCTTTCTTCCTGAAGACTGTCCAGCCCCTCCCCCCCACCCCCACTCCCCCCGCCCAAACCCTGCAGTGGCCCCTGTTCACCCCTAGTTGTCCCCCCTTTTCAGACACCACCCCTTTGAAGAGCCCACCCCCTTCTTGCATCTCCATAGTGGTTCACAGTCCTGTGGCCTCAGGATTTCTCTGCCTTCTCTTCTAGCTTCTTTTCCTCCCCCTGGCACTTTCCTGCTCTCTTGGGGGTCACCTGTTCCAGCCATCCCCACATCTTCTACAGGCTTCTCCTTCCCACACTTTGAATATCACCCTTTGAGTTAACCATCCCTGAAACCTACCCATCAGCATCCCCAATTAAAGTAAGAGAGGCCTGGAACACCCTCATCCTTCCTGGAATCTGACTCTCAGAACCGCATGTGAGCCCTGAATCCCGAACAATCCTGGTTTCTGTTACCACTGAAGTGTCCACCTGTCTGGGCTTTTTGTCTACCTATCCCTAGTGGTCAGTGTTTGAGGGTCCTGTGACTGAGGGCTTTAGGGGGGCCACTCCTAAGGGGTGTGCCCATAACCAAAGCCTCATGGAGCTTTCATGTCCTGGGCATCCTGGACCGCTCACTTGATTCCATCTATTTTCATCCTGGGAGACTGGGACCCAGTACCGGCCTCCCGTGGCCTCTCTTCCTTGGCCCAGAGGACCCAGCATTCACTGTCCTGCTAAATAGTGAGCCCTCTGCAGGCACAGACTGCGTTTTCACTTTCTTGGAGCAGTTAAGAACTCCCATCACTGTTGGGTAGATGAGTGATCGGTGTGTGAGTAAGCGGATGGGTCAGGGTGGGTGGATGGGTGAGTGTGTGGGTGGATAGGTGAGTGGAAGGAGGAACAGGATGGGTGTGTGATCAATGGGTTGTATGGTCAGGAGGGTGGGTAGATGGATAGATGGATAAATCACCCAGCCTGAGCCTTGTGTACTGGCAGGCCCTGCAACAGGAGCTGGCTCGTTATTGGAGCTCCGTGGAGGAGGTTGGCCGGAGAGCTCAAACCCTCGCTGGCCCGGAGGCCCCTGCACAGCTGGGTGTGGTGCAGAAGAGGCTCCGGGAGCGGCTGCAGGCCCTGCAGGAGCTGGCGGCCACACGGTGAGGGGCGCTGTACCTCTCCCAAGGCTTAGGCGACCTGGCCACGGTTGTTTCCATACCTTAACTCTGATTGGAAGGAGCCCGTGACCCCAGGTCCACAGAGCTGACAGATGGCTCCTTGCTGTGTATTGCTGCCTTCCTTTCATAAATTCTTCAGTGAGTGCCCGCTGGGCAGGAACTTGGGCTGCCAGCTCCCCATTTCTTCCCCCTACCTACACCCTCACCTGCCCTACTCTGGCCTTCTTATGTTTACTTCTCCCCGAATCCCCAGCCTCAAGCTTAGGCAGGAAACATGAATTACCTCCTCCTTCAGGCCACCCACTTTGGCTGGGTCCACTGTCCTCAGAGGTGTGGGCAACTAACTTCGGGGAAACCATGGGCTATCCCCACAGGGACCGGGAGCTGGAGGGGACCCTGAAGCTGCACGAGTTCATGAGGGAGGCTGAGAACCTGCAGGGCTGGCTGGCTAGCCAGAAGCAAGTGGCTGGAGGAGGAGAGAGCCTTGGGGAGGACTATGAGGACGTCCTGGTGAGAAGAGGCTGGGGGCAGGGGCCGGCTGGGCTGTGTGTAGAAGGGGGCCCTGGGTTATGAGTCCTGGCTGAGGACAGGCCTTCTGAGTAGTGGGGGCAGGAGCTGCAGCCATCCAACCCCCCATCGCCCAGATGTCAGTGAGGGGCCTCGCTCCCCGGTTCTGCTTGCTGTCTTGCCAGCTGAGGCCACCCTATCACCTCTTCCCCTCTCTCCTCAGCACCTCTGCACCAAGTTTGTCAAGTTTCAGCACAAAGTAGAGATGGGTGGCCAGCGGGTGGCAACCTGCCGGCAGCTGGCAGAGAACCTGCTGGAACGAGGGCACAGAGCAGCCCCCAGGGCACATCAGATGCAGCGGGATCTGCAGTGAGTGCCAGGCGGACCCAGGACATGGGCTTGGGGAAGGGTGCTGGACAGACAGGTCCCGGGGGACTTAGAGAGGCCTCATGTGCCCAAGGCCACACTTGCTCTGTCTGCCCTGGTGGGGAGGCACTGCTTTCACGGATGCCAAGCCTGCCTGGGGGGCTGTGCCACGGGTGACTGTGGGCTGTGAAGGGAAGCGAGGAAGGGTGTGCTGGTCAGAGAGCCCTGCCCAGACCCCCAGGGGCACTTTTCCAAACCTCTGGCTCTAGGACTTGGAGGGCCTGTGGGAAGACTGCCTGGCTCCCCACGGGCTGGTTTGAATCCTCCTCCAACCTGTGAGATTTGAGGCAGGGTCATCCAAGGTCATAACCCCTAGTCCGACCCAGCCCTAGGAGCTCAGGGAGAGTTTGCTGAGTACATCAGGAGTGCAAAAGAGAAATTACAATCTGACTGACTTATTGAGACTTGAAGGCACAAGATGTAAGGAGTATCAAAGAGCTCAGAAATTAGTAAAGTGTTGAGTGTGACAACAGCCGAGGACTGAATTCAAAGTAAAGGTAGAAATCGAGGCTCCTGGGCCGTGACCAGACAGGAGGGAGTGTTTGGAAGGGGTGTTGTGGGCCAGTCCTGGATAAAGTGCAGAGAGGAGGAGGGCTAACCAGCCTGGCGAGAGGTGAAATGAGGCGCTAAATCAATGGCTGATCTGCTACCCATCTCCCATGAGCAGGGCTGCCTGGTCGGAGCTGTGGGAGCTGACCCAGGCCCGAGGCCGCCTGCTCCGAGATGCTGAGACCACCCTCAAGGTTCACCGAGACATGTTGGAAGCCCTCACCCAGGTCCAGGTGTGAGCCGGGGATGGGGGGAGGTTTCTTTCTAGAAGTGGAACCTGACTTAGCATCCCACCCTCCATTCCTGATCCCCTCGGCTGTCTCCTTTCCTCAGGAGAAAACCACCAGCCTCCCCTGTGACGTGGCCCAGGACCTGCGTGGGCTGGAGGCCCAGCTGAGGAGACACGAGGGGCTGGAACGTGAACTCATGGGCACTGAGCAGCAGGTGAGTCCAGGTCTGGTGCCTCTCCCCCTCGGGGCCCCTCAGGCCTGCACATCTGCTCTGCAGCTTTCCCCCACTCTTGGAGCTGCCAGTCGGGCCCACTGTGCATCAAAGGCAGGGCCCCAGGGGGGACAGGGCAGGCCCTTCAGCCTCTAGGACATGACCCTTCCCTCTTATCCCCACCCTGCCCCCAGCTGCAGGAGCTGCTAGAGACAGGAAGCGAGGTGCAGAGGCTGGGGCCCAGGCTGCAGGCCCTTGTGGTACAGCAGAGGCAGCAGGCCCTGGTGCAGGCCTGGGAGACCCTGAAGCTGCGAGCAGAGCAGCGCCGGGCCCAGCTGGAGCGGGCATGGCTCCTGGCCCGCTTCCACGTGGCGGTGAGGATTCTTCCTTCCCCAGGGCTCTGTGTGTGTGTATGCGTGTGTGATGCTGTGAGTGTGCTTGCATTAATGAGGCCCTCCAGCTCTGGAGTCAAAACAGGTGTGAACAAGAGAAGGAAGTGCCCTGGGCACATGCTGTGGTCCGCCTCAGCCTGTCAGAGGGCTCAGTACGGGGGTGCAACAGTTGAGCCTTAGTTTTGGGTTGACACCACCTCATGTGTGACAGTGCAGTCAGGACACAGCGTGCCAGCCAGAGCTCAGGAGGAAAAACAGTCCAGGAAAGCCCATAACTAGAGACCCAAATGTCCTAGACAGTGACCTCTGATCAGCCAGCATCTCTTGTAACATCTGTGTTGTGCTCTCTGCTAGGAGCTGTGGGTGGGGAGAGGCAGTGATACAGAGCCTATGTAAGATGGAATCACTGCCTTCAGGGAGCTTGTCTACCTGGGAGACGAGCCTTGGGAGTCAGATTGACAGAGGGCCCTGACCTTGGGCTGTCCCAGTACCTGCTAGACTGGGAGACTCAAACTGTAACACAGCAAAAAGGCTTGAGTTTAGAGACCCACCTCTGCCACTTTCTAGCAGCGTGGGCTCGAGCAAGGCACTGACCCCAGCTTGTTACCCCTGTGTGTGAGTGCCTGGAGGTTACAATCTCCTGCACGCTCATTGTGCCATTTACCCTGCTGCGTCTGTGTACTGAGCTGTCAGGGCTAGGATCTAAGGCCCCTCCAGGGCTAACTTGTGTTTGTACGCAAATCAACAGAAGACCGTTTATAAATACGAAACCAGAGATTCAGAGGACAAGGCAGGCAGTGAGATGTCAGGGGACAGGGGAGTCTCCACAAGGGAAAGAAGGCCTTGGCCCTTGATGAACATGGAAGCTCGGAAGGGATGGAAGAAAGGAAAAGAACTTCTAAGCAAGAAGGGCAGCGAAAACCCAGGGTGGAGAGAAGTGCCAGGCAGGGCAGGGGGAGGCTGGCTTGGCCCTTGTGCAAGTTTAGTGACCTGGGAGCACTGGGTTGGATGACAGCGGAGGGTCCAGGTGACCACAGGCCTCACGAGCCTCATCTAAGGTCTGACCCGGGACAGCTTGGGCTGCTCCAGTGCGTGCGTGAGTGGATCCAGGCAGGCTGTGGTTGTGTCTCAGAGCCCAGTTCTCTGCCACCCAGCCCAGCTCTCCCTCCATCTCCCTGGGATCCAGGTGCGGGACTACACCTCCTGGGCAGCCAGCGTGTGGCAGGAGCTGCAAGTGGAGGCGAGCTCCCAGGAGCCCGGGAGTGGCCCACTGGAGCTCAGCACCCACCAACAACTTCGGGCCGTGCTGGAGGCCCGGGAGGAGCTGTACCAGCAGGCCGCCCAGCTGGGCCAGCAGGCGCTTCTGGCTGCAGGGACATGCATCAAGGAGGTAGGCCCCCTTTCCCGGTGCCACCCCCAGCCTCCATGAACCGAGCCTACACCTCATCCCTGTGCCCTACCCCACTGTGCCACACCAGTCGCTCCTTAGAGACTTCCCCTGGGGACCCACGTCTGTCCCATGCAGGCAGCTCTCTGGAGCGCAGGCTCCCGTGTGCCCATCCTCAGGTCCGGGACGGGCTGCAAGACCTGCGGGACAAGAGGGAGCGGGTGTTCCAGGCCTGGGAGCAGAAGCAGGAGAGGCTCCAGGCTGTGGGCCGGGAGCAGCTCTTCCTCAGGAAGTGTGGCCGCCTGGACGAGATCCTCAAGGCCCGGGAGGCAGGTGCCCTCACCCCGGAGCCTCCCTAGTTCTGCCTCTTCGCTCCTCTCCCCAGCTCACTCTCTTGCTTCCTGGGACCCTGGCTCTTGCCCTGATGTGGAGCTCAGAGGCTGTGCCCTGCCTCAGCCCAGATGGCTAGAAATGGGGGCAGGGGCTGACTGTCTGGACCATCCCTGGTAGCCTCTCTGACTTCTCCATGGACTGAAGCAGGTCCTCCTGAAAACTGGTGCCCTGGGGAGCTCAGTTGAAGAGGTGGAGCAGTTGATCCACAAGCATGAGACCTTCCAGAAGGTGCTGGCTACACAGGAGGAGAAGGTAATGGATTCAGGGAGTCAGAGGTGGGATGGGGGCAGTCTGGGAATTTGGAGAGTTCCAAGTGGGGGATGTGGGGGGCTTGGTGTGTACCCATAGTAACGCTGATGTATGGGGGTGGCCTGGGGGGCTAGGAGCCCCTGGTCAGAGCTGACTGAGGAGAGTGGGATGTGTGGCTCAGGAGCAGGGCCTGGGATAGAGTGGACCACACTGCAGGCACACAAGGCCCACGTGGCTCCATATCACATGGTCACAGGGGAGCCAAGGAGGGCGGTCTGGTGAAAGCAGGGCTGGTTCTGGCTTGCTGGGAGGACCAGCCAGCCCTAGGCCATGCAGTGCGAGAGCAGGTCTTCCCTGTGAGCCAGCCTCTGAGTGGAAGAGCAGCAGGCTTTGCTCCCTGACCCTTGACCCTGCCCACAGGAGGCAGCTCTGTGTGAGCAAGTGAAGATGCTCGGGGGCCCCAGGGCACAGGACCTGCTTTGCACAGTGCTGGAGCGCCGCGCTCGGGTGAAGGAACTGGTGGAGAGTCGGCAACACGCCTTGCACACCTCCCTGCTGATGGCTTCCTTCGTCAGGGCAGCCACCCAGGTCAGAGACCACCCTAGCCCAGCCCCATCCACTTGGGCCACATCTCCCAGTTCCAGATGATGTCCACCTTTGCAGATTGTTCAGGCCTCGCCACAGCCCTGTGATGAGGACACTGAAGTTTGGAGAGTTAAATTGCTTTCTGAGAGGCCATGCTGGAGCCTAGACATTTGATTCAAAGACCCTCTGTGTGGAGACCCAACTGCTTCCTAAGCTCTCACAGACCCAGGGCAAAGAGAGGCGCTGCGAGGGAACAGAGCGATCCAGGGTCCTGGGGCCAGCGAGCCTCACCTCCAAAATGAGGTCCCACCCAAGGTCCCTACCCAGCCCCTTCCTGTGGCTGGGGACCAGCTGGGCCCAGACTGCTGGATCTTATTTACCAGGCACTGCCCAGCCCTCCCCTCAGGCCAGCAGTGCACTGCCTGGGCACAGCTGAGGGCAGGCATGTGGGACATCTCTGTGGACCATCAGCATTGTGAGACTCACGTCCTCACCCCCACCAGGCCGAGGACTGGATCCAGGAGCGACTCCAGCAGCTGAAGGCGCCAGTCCCTCCTGGGGACCTGAAAGCTAAGTTGAGATACCTGCAGAAACACCAGGCCTTCGAGGCCGAGGTCCAGGCCCGGGAGGAGATCATAACCTCTGTTGTCAAGGTAACAGTCAGTCCCTCAGCCCCCTCCCTGCCCCACAGTGAGGACTCCAGGATGGCCAAGGGGAAAGGTCTGAGGCAGGGGGAGCCTGTGATGGAGAAAAAGCAGGAGGAAGAGTGACGATCAGCATCTCCCCTCTCTCCCCAGGAGGGCAAGGCTCTCCTAGCACAGAGTCACCCTCTGGTGGGAGAGGTCTCCCAGAGGCTGCGGGAGCTGCAGGAGCACTGGGAGAAGTTGAGGCAGGCAGTGGCTCTCTGGGGCAAGGACCTGGAGGACAAGCGGAACATCCTGGAGTTCCTGCAGAGAGTGGACGCTGCAGAGGCCTGGATGGAGGAGATGGTGAGACCCTGCTGGGCAGGGACAGAGCTGGCAGTGGGGCAGTGGCGCTGGCAGATGGAGGAGGGGGGCCCCGGCAGGAAGTTCCCCAAGTCACCACCTGCCCCAGCACTGCCCCTAGCAGCTGGGTGCCTGGGGGCTAGGTGCTCCCAGGACTGGGTGCCCAGAGTACAGCCTTCCCAACCCATGGCCCCAACAGGAGGTGATGGTGAATGTCAGCGACCTGGGCCAGGACCTTGAGCACTGCCAGCAGCTCCACAGGCAGCTCCGCAAGCTCCGAGGAGTCTGGGCTGGGGTAAGGTGCCCTGCATCAGGAAATAGTGACCAAGTGTGGGCTCTGGAGCCAGAGGCGGGCCCTCGTTTCAGCTCTGTGTTTACGACCTGCGCTTGCTTAGGCGGGCTCCCTCACCTTGCCAAGTGTTAGTTTCTTCATCTTTGAAGTGGGGATACTGCTTCCTTCATAGGTAAGAGAGCACATATGAATGGTGGTGGTTACAGGAGTCTATACATATGATAAAACTGCCTAGAGTGATACTTTTCCACACATACACAGATGTGTGCAAGTAAAAATTGCTGAACTCTGAATAAAATCTGTAGTGTAGTGAACAGTTATACCAGTCAATGCCCTGGTTTTCATATTGTACTGTAGTTACATAAGCTGTTACCATCGGGGGAAGCCGGGGGAAGGGTACATGGGCCTTCATTATACACTGGTGCAAATTCCTGTGCACCGATGATTATTTCCAAAAAAAACTTTTTAATGAATGCATGTATGGTTGGATGTAATGGCTAATCAATAAACTGCAGTGGCTCAGAACCCTCATTCAACATTTCCTCACCAACCCCCTCATACACACCACCAAAATCAATTTCTCTTAGGTGATATAGAAATTAGCCAAGTGTATTCATAATCACGTATTAAGAGCCCAGACTTGCTAACCTCACCCCCTGAATGAAGTATATGACTTTGTAAAAGTCTTTAGTGCTTCAATCTAAGCCTTTACTAGTAGGATTTCACAGCCACTGCTATTCCAGATGCTTTAGTAGAAAGAGTGCTAGATAGACTTCAGGAGCTGGGCTTGAGTCCTGGCTCTGCCATAAATTCACCATATTAGTCTCTGAGCTCTGCTTTGGCTTCTGTGAGAGAATACCCCTTCCCTTCTTACCTCACATGAGACACCTCTTGGGAAGCGCTTTGGAAATGTAGACCAACGCAAGGTGCTTTTCCTGGGGCAAGACACCTGCAGCCCTCCCACTCTCGAGGATCCTCTCCCCTTGTGGCCATGAGCTCCACACAGTAGCATTCTCAGCCCAGTGACTCCCAGGGACAGGGACACCCTAACCTAAGGAGGCTGGTGCTCTCGGTTTCATTCAGGCCCTTACTTGGCTTTTCTTACCCTGAGAAGATGCATTTTCACTTTAAAAGCTTCTGTTCACCAATGCATGCCTGCCCTCCCACTCCTGCCTGGTCCCGGTGGGCTTCCCCTGGGCTCCCTGCCCCAAGAGTATCTCAGTGCACCTGGCATGGGATGGGATGACCACGCAGAGGAAGCAGCTACCACCAAACATGCCATTCCTCAAGCTCTCTTGGGCCCAAGCAGACCCTCCAAGTAGAGACTGCAGCACAAAGAAGGGGCTCAGAGCTGGTGCCACCAATGCCCGCACCCTATGCCCCCACAGGACACAGTGAATGATGCCCGCATCAGGAGCATCATTGACTTCTCACCACAGCTCAATACCCAGGACACTGAGCAACTCAAGACCATCTGGCAGCGGCAACAGCAGCTCAACAACAGGCCAGTCCCAGAGCCAGAAGCAGTGGGGCTGGGAGAGGGGGCTGAGGGTCCACCCCAGACTCAGCCTTACACCCTCTCCCTCAGGTGGAACAGTTTCCATGGCAACCTGCTCAGATACCAGCAGCGGCTCGAAGCAGCCCTGGAGATACACGGGTTGTCCCAAAAGCTTGATGACATCACTCAGCAGGTCAGGGAGAAGGTAAGCAGTGGAGGAGCTGACGCAGCCAGGGAACAGTGCCTCCCACCCCTGGCCCACCTCTCCTCTTCAGCTGGGTACTTGGAGGCAGGTCACACCAGGGGGCCATCAGTGGATCTTCCAGGGACTCTTAGAGTCAACTCTGGACCTAGAAGCCCCCATTTGCTTCCCGGAGGCTGGCCTACATGCTTCCTTTCTCCCCCAGAAGCACTATGAGTCCAAAGGCCGGAGCAACCCCTCCTCCCCATGTGTCCTCTGTAGTCCCTGAGCAAAGCCAGAACCCGGGGGAGGTTTGCTGGGCTTTGTGTCACCTGACACATGGGAGACGCTGGCAGAGGCGGGAGAGTTGTACGCAGCCTGGGAAGCACCCTGTTAAGAAGGTGGTACACTGTTCTGGGCGTGCAGAGAGCTCTGTTCTTACTGCCCGTCTGGTTCCTACACAGCCAGGCTGTTCCATCTCGGTTCCCTGCAAAGGCATGAGGGTCAAGTGAGAGTGCATGTGGAGGCTCCACACCATAGAGGTTCTTGCCACTGGGGAACCTCCAGACCCAAGTGTCTTCTGGGAATCTTCCTCCTTCACAGCAGGAGGGACGTTTGGTCAGGGCCAGAGGCCTGCTCCAGCCTATGCAAGGCACTGAGAAGGGAATCAGGCCACTTGCTTTCCACACAGAAACCCTGTGGCCTGCGACCACTCTGCCATGAGGGAGGAGCTGGAACAAAGGCTGACAGTAATGCCCTCTTCCTCCCCAGGCTGCCCTGGTCCAGGCCCTAGACTGTGGGAAAGATCTGGACAATGTGCAGAGGCTGAAGCAGAAACACAAGGAGCTGGAGCAGGAAATGGGCCTCCTCCAGGCCCAGGTGGAGGTGTGCAGCTGGGGAGTTGGGGAGTGGGCCCAGGCCCAGGGTACAGCATTCAAAGGACCTTGGGTATCCATGGGTAGGTGGTGGGGGGAGCTGTCAGGAGGTCAGGACCTCAAGAGACAGCCAGGTCCTGTCAGTTGCAGGCTGGGCTCCCCTGAGCGCCCCCTTCCTCCTGGTCCCAGCCCCTGACCCTGGCTTTCCACACAGCCACTAGAACGTGAAGCAGGTCGAGTCTGCCAGAGAAGCCCTGAGGAGGCCCACGGCCTTGGCCACCAGCAGCAGGAGATGATGGACAGCTGGCGGCAGCTCCAGAGCAGTATCCAGAAGTGGTACAAACCCCGGTTCTCTTTCCCTCACCACTCTCTCTGAGCCAGCCCCTGCAACGTCTCAATCCCCAGCCTTCCCCTAAGAGTCTTTCTCTGTCGTTAATAACGATCGGTATCACCAGCCTATTAATTCCCAACCCCTGGGCCTTTCTTTGGCTGAAGGGATTCGGGAAGAGAAGGCAGTGGTAGGCACACAGGCAAAAAGGATGGGAGGCTCTGTGACTAGCTGATGAATCCTTTGGGCAGGAAGGAGTTGCTGGATGCCTTGCATGAAGCTCAGGAGCTGCAGGCAGTGCTGCGGGAACTGCTGGTCTGGGCCCAGAGGCTGCGAGCTCAGCTGGACTCCTGGAGAAGCCCCAGCAGCCTTGCAGAGGCCCAGCGCATGTTGGAGGAACACCAGGAACTCAGAGTGAGCAGCCCAGACCTTGGGGCCTTTCCCAGACATCTCCTCTCTGGCCTCCTCCCCCTTATTGTGACCACAATTTTGTCCTGGGTTCTTTCTGTGTCAGCTGCCTCTGCCTTTCCCCTTGTCCATCCTGCCCCCTCAGTTGTCTTCCCCACCTCTCCTTCCCCTTGACCCTCTTCCCTCCCACTCAGGGAGGGATCTGAGCCCAGTCCTCTTACAGGCCGAGCTGGACTCCCGAACAGACAGCATCAGCCTGGCCCGAAGCACTGGGCAGCAACTGCTTGCTGCAGGGCACCCATCCACCCCCAACATCCGCCAGGCCCTGGCTGGTTTTAATCAGGAGCTGAGCAGCCTGGAAGGGGCCTGGCATGAGCACCAGCTCCACCTGCAGCAGGCCCTGGAACTACAGGTAGGCAGCCTCCATCCCACCCCCACCACTGGTGCCTGTGCTAAACCCACTGCCCCTGGTCAAAGCCAAAGCTAGAGAGGCTGCTGTGCCAGGGGCCTCCCTACCACCCAGCACTCATCTCACCCACTGCAAACCTTGCCTGCTGTGACCCCTTCTGCGGGGCCAGGCCCCGGTCCTGGATTCCCACTGGGCCACCAACAGAGTCACTCTTCCTGCCGTGACTGGACCCTCTGCTCACTTTCTCCTGACTTTTCCTTTCTCGACAGCGGGTTCTGAGCTCCGTGGAGCAGATGGAGAGTTGGCTCTGCAGCCTGGAAGCCTGCCCAGCCAGTGAGGGTCTGGGGGTAGGTGCCCAGGAGGAGTGAGGGAGGGTTTGCAGGAGCAGCATTAGGGATCAAACCAGCCAGTGCTGTCTGAGATTTCCAGTCCAAGGGCAGCTCCCAGCCCTCAAGCCCTGGAAATTCTAACACTTGACCCCTATCCCTCATACCTTTCCTGGTTGAGAATCTAAAGTCAGATATAGCCTAGAGGGATTGGGGGGATGTGTTTGATAGGAAAGCAGGTAGCTGGGGACTGGGAGGGGCAGACCTGTAGACAGTATTGCCTCCCAGGACTCTTTGGCCAATGTGGAGACCCTGCTGTGGAAGCACAGGGTGCGTGAGCAGGACCTGGAGGCTCAGGCGGAGAAGATGAGTGCGCTGGAAGCCACCACCCGCAGCCTGTTCCAGGGCGGACACCCCGAGGCCCAGGGTGTGCTGAGCCGGTGCCAGGCCATGCTCCTGAGGTACCTCTGGCTCAGGCTGAAGGGGCTGTGGTTGGTGGGCTGGCACAGGCATCAGGCTCTTCCCCTGCCCTTCTCCCCTTAGCCTGGGCTCCCCTAGCCTTTACCAAGCGCTGAATTCAGATGCCAGGGCCCCATTGTCCCGACCCTGCGGTGTGTCAGCCTGTTATGGAATCAGACAGCACACGGTCAGTCCACTGAGATAAAGGTGACTTTTACAAAGAAGTACATACTTGAGAAACTGAGAGAGAGACAACCTCATGAAGAGGCCAGACTGCTGGGTTTCTGTGCAGCCCACTCACGATGGGTCTTGGGGCCCATTCCTTACTAGTCCCCTGTCTACAGTGAAGGGATAACAATACCTGCCTCTCAGGGTTGTGGTCAGGATGGGGAAGGGACCCTTGATGTCCTGGCACAGTGCCTGGCACACAGGCAGGTTGGCAGATTTCTTATGCCTGTTTAACCGAGGCCCACTTGGCTATGAGTCTCCAATCTCTGCTTGTTTTCCTCGTAAGAGCCTTTATGGTTCAGCAGCCTGTCCAGCCCCTCAGACTTTAGACCAAGGCATATTTGGAAAAAGCTGGATCCCAGATCAGCGGGGGCCTCCATCCTTCCCAAAGAGCCCACTAGGGCCCACAGTGTTGTGGCTCCTGGGCTGGTGCCCTCTTCTCCTCTCCCCTGCACATGGACCTCACCTGGGTACCCAAGGTCTTTGACAGATGGAAAATATTGGTTTGCTGGTCTCTATCAACATTCCCTCCCCCTAGTCCCCTTGGATGGTTCCCAGCAGGCCCAGCTGCACACCCCAGGGCAGTGCCACCCAAATCCCTCCCTTTAAGTCTTCTGGCATCCTCTAGGGGGCTGTTTTCATTCCACCAAGACTTTCTGCATCTCTCCTATTCCCCTTACACCTTTTGGCAACCCCAGCAGGAAGAGACAAGGGTTCACATTCACACCAGCGTGGGGACTCTGCTGGTGGGAGGTGTGTATGGGTCCTGTTAGGGTGACTGGGGGTATTAGAACTTCTTTTCCTGTCTCTTTAATAGATCTCATTCCTAATTGCTATTTTTGTTCATATGGTAATAGACTTACTATATTGGTCGAGAGGTATACACATATATAAATCAGTATGTATATGTGTGTGTGTGTATATATATCTATACACACACACATACACATGCACCCATACAAATGCATACCAAAAAATTCTTACTAATAGCAGTATATGATCAAAAAGTGGTTTAGACACTCAAATTAGTTTGCGAGGCTGCCATAACAAGATACCACAGACTAGTGGCCTAAACAGCAGAAATTTAATTATATTTCCAGAGGCCAGAAATCCAAGATTAAGATACTGGCAGCACTGGTTTCTCCTGAGGCCTTCCTTGTCATCACACACTCTGCGCATGTCTGTGTCCTAATCTCCTCTTATAAGGACACCAGTCATATTGGGGCCCACGCTAATGACCTTGTATAATTTAATTATTTCTTTAAAGGCCTTTCTTCAAAAACAGTCATATTCTGAGGTACTGAGGTACTTCACCATAAGAGTCTGGAGGACACGATTCAGCTCATAACAGGCACTAATAAGGGGAAACAGAGTGTATCTCTAAAGTTTAAAGGAAACCCCAGATTCAGGGTAAATTGATACACAAGAAAGGCTGTCCTGGTATGGAAGCAACCTGAATGTCCATCAACAGATGAATGAATCGATAAGATGTGGTACATATATACAGCAGAATATTACTCTGCCATAAAAATGAATGAAGCTGGTCATAAGATATTACTCGGCCATAAAAAGTAATAAAACTGGATGAACCTAGAGTCAGAGTGAAGTAAGTCAGAAAGAGAAAAACAAATATCGTGTATTAATGCATACTTATGAACCTATTTGCAGGGCAGGAATAGAGACACTGACATAGAGAATAGCCTTGTGGACACAGGGAGGGAAGGGGAGGCTGGGACAAATTGAGAGAGTAGTGTTGACACATACATACACTACCATGTGTAAAGCAGATAGCTAACGGGAAGCTTCCGTATAGCACAGGGAGCTCAGCTCGGTGCTCTGTGATGACCTAGCAGGGTGGGGCTGGGGAGTGGGAAGGAGGCTCAAGAGGGAGGGGGTATATGCACACACATGTTGTATGTATGTGTACATACAGCATCCACGGACAGCAGAAACTAACACAACATTGTAAAGCTATTATCCTCCAATTTTAAAAAAGCAATTTTTAGAGAATGGGGAAAAGGGCTGTCCTGAACTGGAAGGGCACATTTGTGCGCGTGTGTGTGCATGCGTGCACATACACACGTGTAGCAGCTCCGGGTCCCAGCAAGCAGACCTGAGATCCCTGAGACCCTCGTTCTGCAGGAAAGAGGCACTCCTGGAGCGAGCCAGGACCCGTTGCCGCCAGCTGGAGGAGCTCAGGCAACTGCAGTCTTTCCTGCAGGACTCCTGTGAGGTGGGCCATGGTTGGGAGCAGCTGTGATAGGGGGAAGGGGTTGCCCCAGGGGAAAGCCACCCTTCTTCAGGGCAGCCCAGGGATTAGAGAGAAGGAAAGCCCTAAGCAGCAGAGTCTCGTCCTCCCCGTCTGCCCAGATGGCTGCCTGGCTGAGAGAGAAGAACCTGGTGGCCCTGGAAGAGAGCTGGTGGGACCCAGTGGAGCTGCAGTCCCAGTTGCAGCAACAACAGAATCTCCAGGCAGAACTGGACACCCGTGCACACCGCCAGCAGAGGCTGCAGATGGTGAGGCCCTGGGTGCCGGGGACCGGCTACAGGTCAGAAAAGGAGCTGACCCCTGGCAGCTGGCCCTGAGTCACAGCTGGGGTGGCCAGCTTTTGAGTACATTGTATACAGATGCCATGCAAGGCACCAATGGGTAGTGAGACACAGTGGCTTACCTGGGGCCCCCCTCTCCAAAAATATTGCCTTTTCAAGAATTTTAAGGGTAGTGTTTTGGCGTGATAGTTTTAAAAGTTCTTGGAAAGATGTCAGAGGACAGAGTCAGGGCACAGCCAGCAGTCCTGTGGGTATAGGAGTCAAAGCATAGCACCTTTTAAATTTACCCTCTTCCACCTACAAAGAGCATGCCCTGATCCCAGACTGCCTCCCTCTGATATAAAGTGCCCTACCAAGTATCTGAAATGTTTGATCCCATTTAAACAAAATACCCATGATTATCACCATTATATGGATAAGGAAAATGAGCTCAGAGAGGTTAAGGAATTTGCCTGAGATCACACAGCTAGCACTCAGACTCTGAAGCAGTGGGACTGGTGGCTAAAGGCAATCCCAGTGCCCTGAAACCAGCAGTCCTGAGTCCACGAGGCATGTTCTATGTTGTGGCTGTAGGAGGGGCAGAGGCTGCTGCAGGATGGCCACTCGGCCTCAGAGACCATCCAGGAACGGCTACAGGAGCTGAGAAAGCTCTGGGAAGAGCTGCAGGCCCAGTGCCAGAGGAGGGCAGCCAAGCTACAGGAGGCCCGTGAGGTGAGGCTGTGTGGCAGAGCGGGCTGGGTACAGCTCTCGGCCTCTCCTCCTCACACTCTCATTCTGCCCCAGGCCCTGCATCTGCGACGGAGCATGGAGGAACTGGAGAGCTGGCTGGAGCCTGTGGAGCTCAAGCTGAGAGTCCCCATCGGGGGCCCAGACCAGCCTGGGCTGGACGAGCTCCTGGGGGCTCAGGGGGAGCTGGAGGCAGCAGTGGACAGGCAGGTCGGGCGGGCACAGGCCCTGCTGGGCCAGGCCCAAGCCCAGGCCTGTGTCCAGGAAAGCCACTGCCTGGCCCGAGATGTGGAAGAGCAAGCCCAGCGGCTGCTTCAGAGGTAACCCCTGCCCTCCTCCCTGTCCCCCAGCTCAGCTCCTCAGGGCCTGCCCAGCCCATGGCGAGGGACACAGAGCGGGTGAGCAGTGTGTGGGTCACAGTCTGGCCCCCGATCCTGACAATTGGGGTCCCGCCTGCTGTGGGCCTGCCCTCCACTGCTGCAGGTTCGAGAGCCTGCAGGTGCCCCTGCGGGAGCGCAGGACAGCCCTGGAGGCCCGGAGCCTGCTGCTGCAGTTCTTCAGGGACGCCGACGAGGAGATGGCCTGGGTGCAAGAGAAGCTGCTCCTGGTGGCCACCCAGGACTGTGGCCAGAGCCCGAGTGCCCTGCGGCGCCTGCAGGAGAAGCACCAGGTGTGGGCCTAGCGGGGCAGGCGGGGCTGTCCACAGTCGCCTCTGGTTCTGGGAGCTTCTGCCTCCAGGAGGTTCTGGGGGTCCTAGGATTCTTTGTTGTCAGGAGGCAGGGTTCTGTCTGGGGGAATCTGTGAGGTCCCACTGGGCTTCAGACATGACTCCCAGGTCCCCCAAGGAGCACCCAGGAGCATGTCCCATGCCACCTTCCTCTGACTCCACAGAGCCTGGAGATTGAGATGAGCAGCCACGAGGCTCTAACCCGGGCAGTGGTGGGCACAGGGCGCAAGCTGGTGCAGGCTGGGCACTTTGCTGCACGAGATGTGGCAGCCCGTGTGCAGCAGCTGGAGGACGCCATGGGCCGCCTGCGGGCAGAGGCTGCACAGAGGCGTCGGCGGCTACAGCAGGCTCAGGAGGCCCAGTCCTTCCTGACGGAGGTAAGGGGTGCTGCGCGGCACGAGAGGGTGGGCATGAGGAACCCAGAGTGTAGGCAGGCCTGGGACGTCACCTGCAGGTGGGGCTCTAGGCTCTCTGTGCATTTTCTGTCACCTCCACTACGTGGTCTCCGGACCCCGAGGTCTTCCTTCAGCATGTTTCCCCGAAAATGAGCCCACTGGCTTTGGTTTGGTTTGGTTTTGCTGTTTTGTCTAAGCCAGCGATTCTCAATCAAGGCTCTACATCTGCATCACCTGGAACTATTAAGCAGTGCTGACACTCAGCTCCATTCCAGACCAAATCAGAATCTTACGGGGTGAGAGAGAGGCAGAGCGAGTTGTTCAAGCTCTCTGGTGATTCTCACCAGCCAGGTTGGGAACCACTCACTGCTATAATTCTTGAGGCATGAACTCAAAGATGTGAGTCCTGGAGGGCACCGCCTAGGGAAAACTGTGCTCTTTGTCACCCTAGCTCCTGGAGGCAGAATCCTGGCTGGAAGAACGGGGCTGTGGCCTGGACATCAAGGATATGGGTCAGAGTGCCGAGGCCACACAGGCCTTCCTGCGGCAGCTGGAGGCCACCAGGAGGGACCTGGAGGGATTCACCACGCGCATTGAGAGGCTGCAGCAGACAGCAGCCCTCCTTGAGAGCGGGCAGAACCCAGAAAGGTGCGCTGGAGCCAGGCCCAGGAGGGAGGAGCAGGGAGGGGCCCCTCTAAAGAGGTGCAAGGCCTAAGAGCTCCAGGGGGGTTATCTTTCCTGCTGCAGCCCCAAGGTGCTTGCCCAGATGCTTGCGGTAAGGGACGCCCACTCAGGGCTGCTGCAGAGAGCAGAGGGCAGGGGGCAAGGCCTGAGGGAGCAGCTGCAGCTCCACCAGCTGGAGCGGGAAGCCCTGCTCCTGGATGCCTGGCTGGCCAGCAAGGTGGCCACTGCTGAGTCCCAGGACTACGGGCAGGACCTAGAGGCTGTCAAGGTGAGTCACTCCTGAGTGAACCTGGAAGAGAGGAGATTGAGTGGCTCTCAAGGACAGAGTGGGGTTGGGGGGCACATGGGAAGTGAGGGGTCTCTGGGCTCTGGGAGGACCCCCTGCAGTTCTAAGGGCAGGGCCAAGGGATATCAGAAGTGGCCGATACTGCCAAGTCCTTCGTCAGCTTTGAGGGTTGCTGGACACCACCTCCAGAATGACCTCCCTGGTCCTGTATCCTGCAGCTGCTGGAAGAGAAGTTCGATGCTTTCAGAAAGGATGTCCAGAGCCTGGGGAAGGCTAGGATGCAGGCCCTGAGGGAGCGGGCAGGCTCCCTGGAACGGGCAGCACCCAGGTGCTCTCCCCAGATTCAAGCACAGAGGAGTCGCATTGAGGCCTCTTGGGAGAGGTTGGATCAGGCGTTGAAAGCCCGCACACAGGTAGGTGCCCCTGGGCCCGGTAGGGGCAGACAAGGGGCAGGGACATCTGTGCCTTCTTCCTGGGCCAGGGCCAGGCAGCCATGCCAGGTGTGTGTGTGTTCGTCTTTGTGGGGCGGGAGGTGGCTGCCTCTAACTCTGTGTGTGCACACGTGCATGATGTGTGCATGCCTCTAACTCCTAGTGGCAAGCAGATCAAGTCTCAGTCTTCCACCTCCAGCCCTCTCTGAGTTTCTCCACTGATTTGGTTCTTCCTGGTATAGTTCACACCTCCAAGGAGAAATAGGGAGCCTGTCTGGCCAGCTCTTGACCCCCTCTAAGCTCCCTCAAGCGCAGACTTCAGGTTTATTAAGACACAGACTAACTGCGCAAGATTTTGCCACCACTTCCCTCTCCTCATCTAAACGTTCTGAGCGGATTTGGGTGCCAAGGAAATCTCAGTGCTCCTCCACGACCTTCACTCTCAGCCACAGCTGGTGATTTCTAGGGAGGCTCCCAGGTCCCCGAGGCCCTGACAGAGCCCACATCCTAGCGATGCTCTCACTCAGGGTCCTGGCTGGGCAGACTCCTAAGGCAACCCTCTTCATCTCAGCCAGATCCCCCAAACCACCCTCCTCCCCACCATGGACTCATTCCCACCTGATTCCTAGTCCCCTGTCCCCCCACCTGGCTCATGAACTGGGCACTGATGACCCTGTCATGAACTGGGCACTGACGACCCTGTCCCCACAGAACACCCCCAGGGCCCTACCCCATCATCAGCAACGTCATGCGCTCATTGATCAGGGGCCATATTGGGACATTGTCTGTACCCGGTGTTAATGAATGCATCACCAAGCCCCATGGACCTCCATGTTTGGGGGCCACTTCTCTAGGGAGAGAGGACCCTGGTGAGAGCAGGCCCTCCCTCTCTTCCCAGAACCTAGCTGCCACCCGTGAGGTCCGAAGCTTGGAGCAGGCAGCAGCTGAGCTCCAGGGCCAGATGCAAGAGAAGGCCACCCTGGTGGCTAGAGATGCCTGCGACCTTAGCCTGTTATCAGTGCAGACTTTGCAGCAACAGCACAGATGTCTAGAGGTAAGGGTCAACCCCCGGGGCCTGCCCACCTGACCTCTTTCCCTGCATAGGGGGACCCCAGAGTTGGGAAGGGAAGGGAGGGCCTCCTTGCCCAGGTCGGGGAGCTGTCCATCCGGAAGCAGAGCCTGACTCCTCAGGATGGCTGCTTCCTGAAGAGAAGTGGGCATCGGGTTGTGGGGGGATGAGGCTGATTCTGTGTTCTAGTAGCAGAGGGAACTGGCAGCGATGGAGAAGGAGGTGGCATGGGTGCAGACGGAGGCCTGCCGGCTGGGCCAGCTCCACCCTGCAGCTCAGGAGGGCCTGGCCAAGCAGCTGGCCGGCGTGCAGGAGGCCTGGGCCACCCTGAATGCAAAGGTTTATGAGCGAGATCGGCAGCTGGAGGAGGCTGCCCAGGGCCACGCCTTCCTCAGACGCTGTCGGGAATTGCTGTAGGTGGCATCCGGTCGTTGGCTCAACTCTGCCCTGCAGGGTGGGGGTCACCCCGTCCCCCAGTGCAGCTCATGCCCTGCCTGCCACCCCGAGTCTTCACCCCTGGCCCTGACAACAGCTTCCCCTCCTCACCCCGCAGAGCATGGGCCACAGAGAAGCAGGCCCTGGTGTCCTTGGAGGAGCTGGCTGGGAATATAGCTCGGGCCGAGGGGCTCCTGGCATTGCATGAGGAGCTGGGGAGAGAAATCAAGGAGTACAGCCTTCAAGCCCAGAACATACAGCAGGAAGGGCAGCGGCTGGTGGACAGTGGCCACTGCATGTCCCTGGAGGTGCGAGCACAGCGACGAGTCTGGGGCTGAGCTGGGCACTCAGCCCCATTACCCCAGGCCTCGGAATCCCCGAGCAGGAGGAGAAGGCCAGGCAGGGGGCAGAGAGAGGGGGAGAGACCGGGAGGGTCTGGACCTCATGGTCTTCCCTCGACACGTCTGCTGGGCACTCCAGCCTGGCCCCACCCTGTGGGCGTCTCACCCACGACACCCTCTCCCGCCAGGTCACTGGGTGTCTGCAGGATCTGGACAGACAGCTGCGGGTGCTCAGAGAAGCCTGGGCCCTGTGCCGGGAACGCTGCGAGGAGCGCTGGCATCTACAGAAGCTGCGGCAAGAGCTGGACCAGGCTGAGGCCTGGCTGGCCTGCCGGGAGGGCCTCCTGCTGGACCCCAGCTGCGGGGTGAGCCAATGCCCTGCCCCTTAGCTGGCCGTGCCCGCGCTGTCTAGCAGCTACAGCCCACTCTTCCTCTCCCTGGCCCCCAGGGCTGGTTTCCAGGGAACCGCTCTCTTCACCCCCACGGGCAGGGCCTCACCCTGGCTCGCTTCTCCCCAGCACTCCGTGTCTGATGTAGAGTTGCTGCTCTGCAGACACAAGGACTTAGAGAAGCTGCTGGCCTCCCAGGAAGAGAAGTTTGCCCGACTGCAGCAGGAGGCAGCGGTGAGCAGAGGCTGGGGTGAGGGGGCACCAGGAGACAGGGGTGTCCTGTCTCAGCCTGAGGGTTGGGCTCCCCCCAGGCACTGAACCAGCATTTGACCCTTGGGGAAAGCCCTGTTCTTTCCCTTGCCAGCTGCAGGGTCCTGTCACCCCACATCTGGGTGGGCTGGGGCACAGTGTGGACTGGGACAAGAGAGGGGTCTTCTGAGCTTGAAGAGATGAACAGTGAGGAGACAGGCGCTCTCTCTGGGTGGGAGGGATGTGGGGAGAGGCTGGGGTGTGGAGCCCCCAGAGCCTGGTCTGACTCATCTGGCTGCTCCCCTCCCCAAGGTGGACCAGAAGCAGCAAGTGAAGGGGCTGAAACCCTCGGGAAGCTGGTGGCCCAGAGCACAGCTGACTGAGACAGGGGACCCGCAGCCATCTGTCCCCATTGGGTCTTGCATACACTTCACCACCGTTTCCCCAGAGTGCACAGCAGGGACCCTGGGGGTAAGGAGTCCGCAGCCTGAGCCAGCACTGCAACACCAGGGGGTCTGTCTCCAGGGATGAGAAGGTCGGAGGCGGTTAGGTGCCTCACCCACTTTCAGAGAGGGCCCCATTGTCTGTGCTGCTCTTGATGTTTCCCAGGCCCCTTCTTGCATTTTCAGGATGCAAAAGGTGCCCCCACCATGGAGGGAATTTTGGAACTTAAGCACCAGCTCCTGCCTGGGAGGAGGCAGGTGAGTACCCGGAGATCACTTCCGCAGCAGCTGCCTTGCAAGAGCCACGCGAGGGCTCAGAGGGCCCTGGGGGGCAGCTGAGCCTGCTCCAGGAGGAGGGTGGGTGGGTGGGCAGAGGACAAAGAAGGGCCCCCAGGGAAAAGCAGAGACGGTAACATTCCCCCACCCCTCCTCAGAACATGGCTTCTACAGCTTCCCTCGACCTCACAGGAGCCGGTGAGAAGCCGGGTGATCACCATGATGGAAAACATACCTTTTCCTTAAGGTGAGGGCCCTGTCGGGGGAGAGACCCCGGGCCCGGGACAGGCTCGGTCTCCAGGAGCAGCTGAAGGGGCTGAAGGCAGGGGTCCCCACTAACGCAGGAGGCAGAGTTTGACGCGTTACTGTCTGGGTGGCAGGCTGGCTGCGGGAGAGACCCTGTCTGCAGCGCCACCTGCAGGGCAGACTGGGAACTGGCGGGGCGCCCTGAGCAGCTGGGCAGGTAGGTCCAGGGGAAGCGGGGAGGGGCGCGGGGGGCCCTGGTTTCCTGGGCCCCCAGCTGCTGGTGTTTAGTGCATCCTTGGATGTTTAACATCTAACCTCTGTGCCTGAGGTAAGTGGGAGTGCCTTTTTTCTTAATTTGAGGCCCAGAGAGGGTAAGCAACTTGCCAGAGATGACATAATTAGAAGCGGGGCCAGGTTTGATCCCCTGATGGCCTCCAGGTTCTGTTCCACCCACTGTGGAGTCGGACTCCCAGAGCCCTTCCCTCAAGGATCTTCACGGGCTTCCCCATGCTCTTCTCTGACACAGGTCTTTTCTGCCCCAGTCTTCCTACAGCTCTGAACGCACCTCCCTTGGGGTATCTTGTAGACAGTGGCCAGGCCCAGTTCTACTCTTGGAAGGACTCAGAGAGCACCCTTTGGACCAGAAATCTATTGTTATGGTGGTCCGACAGGCTCCACATGGAGGGGTTGCTTAGGGGCCTCACTTCAGACTCCTTCCGGGTTCCTGGCTCTGTTCCACTGGGATCTCCCTGAGGCCGTCCTTCCAGAATTCCAAAGGCACTTGAGTTTCTCCAGGATAAGCCATTCTGAACCCATTGGCATTCAGTCTTCCAGGAGGCTGGATGCACTGGGGAGCCTGCCCCTGAGCCCTGGGCCTGGGCCGCACCTCCACATGGGCAAGGCTTGGTGTATGCCAAGCCTCCAAAAGCAAGCGTCTCTGAGGCTGTCTGGGCTGCTCTAACTAATCGACGACAGACTGGGTAGGTTGTGAACAGACATTTATTTCTCACAGCTCTGGAGGCTGAGAAGTCCAAGATCAGGGTGCTGGCAGGTGAGGGAGGTTGCAGGAGGCACCTTCTCGCTGGCTTCTTACGGTGGAAGGGGCAAAAATACTCTCTGGGTCTCTCTTTAAGGGTTCTACCCTCAAGGCCACAGCTCCTCCTCCCAGCACTGTCACCTTGAGTTGGGACTTCAGGCCACGGCAAGAAGGAAGGGGCAGGTGTGGAGCCTGCTGCCACAGATGTCCTAGCACCCAGGCCAGGCTGACCACCTTTCCCCCTTTGCTCCGCAGCCCCCAGTCTGAGCCCAGAGCTCCAAGCCAGACCCTCGGGCTCCCTGGCCGAGCGCAGTGCTGAGAGGGTACCTGGCATGCCAGCTCCACTCAGGTAGGCCTCCTGGATCTGTAAGTGGGAGTCCTGAGGTCCTAGGACTTAAACTATGCTGCTTGGGTGCGGGGCCACCCCCACCCACTCTCAGTAGTGGCAAGAGTCTACACCTGAGGCTCCCTGTCCCCACAGATTCCACAGCGGTCCCCCGCCCGCCTGGCTGCAGGAGATGAGAGTGTGCACCTACAGCTACCCACAGCCCACGGGGCTCCCACAGACGGCTGGCCCCACACAGCAAACTGCAGAAGGCTCCCGCCGACTGTCCTGCTCAGGCCAGATCCATGGTGAGTGAACCTGGCTTCCCTCTGCACATGCCAGGAAGCCTGCCTGACACCCACACCCCCTCCCTCTCCAAGATGCAGCGGCCAGACCCCTCCTGCACTCTTTCCCTGCCTCCATCCTCCCTGGTTTTCCCCAGTCCAAGGACCAGCTCCCTGCAAGCAGGGAGGGGAGGAGCCTTACTGTCCTAGAGAGGCTGGGAGTCAGGATGTCACCCAGACACACGCCCATGGACCAGACATACACACACAGACAGTGCACAGACCCTACACGCGGCCTTGTGCCTGAGGGATCACTCACATCATGACAGGGGTGGCAGCCACAATTGTGGTATCTGGATAATTACCCACTCCTGCAGGGCCTACAGGTTCCCATGTAGGATTCAGATGATGTGCTGCTGAGTCAACAGGCTTGGTCCAGGACACAGTGGCTTCTACAGTGATCAGGGCAGCCATTTTTCCTGGTCTGTGCCTCCAGTCACACACCCAAGGCAGACAGATGCAGTGAGCCGGATCATGGGAACCAGTCATCCCCCTTTCACCCCACACATCCTGGTCTCTCCTCACTCCCAGTATCCAAATCCCACATCAACATGAGGAAGAGGTGAGGTATTCCAAAGGAGGCCTGGGGCACCAGTGCTTGGAAAAGATTCTAGGGTGGCTAGGCCCTAAATTCACTCCACCTCTCTGTTCTCCTGACAGGTCCAGGCCTTGAAGCAAATGCAGAGGTGGCACCAAACTTCAGAGCTACAAGCGAGGACACCCTCGAGGGAACCAGGAGACCCACCTATCCGGCCCCTTAGGACAAACTTCTGGAATAGCTGGCTCCTCATCCGGAGATGGGCCCCACCAAGGTCAGAGCCTGCTGAAGTCACACCCTTAGCACTGTCTATCTGGCTCATCTGGTCCCACGTCTGGTCGCCCCTACTGTGGGACAGGAAGCAGCCCTTCGACTGAGTCCCCGGGTGAGGAGGATGGGGTGCTGGCTGGCATTACCTGTGAGTCATCTGGGCAGGGCCAGGGCTGCAGCAGCAATATGGCCTCCTCTCTGCTTGAAGAGAGTGAGCTTGGGTGGAGCAGACACGGCCATGAGCTCATAGCCTGCTCTGCAAGGCGCCGCGGGAGAGGTTTTGTTTTCTACACCCATCCTTACCATGCCTAACCAAGAGGGGGAATGACCTGTCCCTTTTTGGCAGCAGTAACAGTAATCTGTCACACCTCTTGTTTGTATGCGTCTCTATGATACGTAAAGTGCTCTATTTCACCCTGTACAGCTACTCAAGGTAGCAAGGAAGCAAAAGGACACACAGGTCATGGGGCTCCGTGTGCTTACACAAATATGGCCCACACTGCCCAGAACCTCTGAATCTTCTCTGGCCACATTCCTGCAGACCAGGCCATAGCCTCTGTTTAAAACCCTCCACCAGGGCGGAGGACCCCAGGGCGTCCACAGCAGGGGTGCTGGTGAATTCAGTGTCTGGATAGTGCCAGGCAGTGCACCCTGGTGAGCCCCTCGGAGGGCTGGAGACCACAACTGGGCTGTCCAAACCGCTAGAGGTTCTGGAAGCTGGTGACCACCCCAACTCAACCAGAGTAGCAAGGCAGCCAAGAAGTAAACTTAAAGAGAGTCGGGGGCCGTGGGGCCAGACGTGGCCCCTTCCCGCCCATCACTCGGGCCGGCGCTGTGTGCGCTGCCTCCGCCTCTGCACAGCCTCACGCAGGGCCTCCAGCAGCCGCTCCTGGTTGTTGCAAATGTTGTACTGCGTCAGGCGGAGCAGCTTGTCCACATCTTCCAGGCTGTAGGTTACCTTCGAGTAGTGGTAGGGGGAGTCTGATGCAGATAAGTTCACCTCCCCAGCTGCCTGCTCCTCAGCTGTCCGCCGGACCCCTGTGGGGAGAGTGCAGCCCGGCCATGGGGGATGCCCGCTGGGGGTGGAGGGTGGGCTTGGGGGTCACCTGGGGGGAGACACAGAGGAGGGAGGTTTTGGCTCACCGGGGGCAGAGTGGTCCCTGAAGGAGGCGTTAACCAGAGGGAAGTGCAGCACGGCAGGGATGTCGGGGCGGGTGGGGTCCGAGAAGAGGTGGCACTCTTGGGGCTGGCGCTGCTCCTCAGGGCTGGGCGAGATGGGCGGGAACGGGATGCCCTGCTCCTGGCAGAACCGACCCAGAAGCTGCAGCTGCTGCAGGGTGGGCAGAGGTGGGCTCAGCAGGAGGGCCCCATGGGTTCCCAGTGTCCTCCACACTGGATGGACTACAAGTAGAGGTCTGCTAAGACACCGAGTCAGACACTAGTGAACCCAACAGGCCAGAGATCAATGCTCTAAACCAAGCAGCCCTTCTGCAGCAGCTCCTTTGGGCTCAATGAAGCTGGGCTGCTAACAACCTCCAGGTTCTGCCCCTGGGAGGCAAAAATCCTTCCTGGAACCCACATAGAAAGAGTCTCAAAGATCCAGGACCCAACAGGGGTACAGACACAACAAAGGAGACCCAAATAGGAAATACGTTTTAAAACCTTGCCAGCTTCCCCATCACTCCATCTTCCTGAGCAGAGTAAGTTCCCCAAGGAGAGAGTTCATAGAATCCACAGCCTTTCATTCATGCGGTGTTGCGGTCACAAAGGGAAGCTGGCCCAGAAACCGAACTCCAAAGCAGGTCTCTCCGGAGTCAAGATGTCAGACCACCTGAGGTCGGGCCTAGGGTTGCCCCACCTCCCAACCCTGGCCACAGCCCACCTGGAAGGCTCCATGGAGATTGTAATCTAGCGACAGGATGAGGTCCACGTCCCGTGTGGGCGGCAGGAGGGGTGGGCAGCTGGTATTGACAAGGTAGCCAACATCCAGCAAGCAAAGGTAGGGCTCTGCAGGTGTCAGCTCGTTGGGGAGGCCGTCCAGTTTGGTAGCTGGAAAGGTTAGGGGATCGGGTGGGGAGCAGCTGTCACTGGTGCCAAGAGCACCAGCCCGTCTAGCCTAACGTTGCTGCTAAGAGGAGGCTCTTCCCTCTGCCTCCTGCTCTCTGCTGTCAAAGCAGAGCCTCAACTCCCGAGGTCCCACAGATGGGCCCTGACCCCAGCATAAGGAGAGGAAGAGTGGCTCTCGCTCCAAGTAACCCAGAGAACTGAGCTCAGAGGGCGTGGGACTGAGGGACTGGAAAGAGTGGATGTCTGATCAGGAACCCAAGGCTCAGATGGCCATGGGAAGATCTGGGAGAGCAGGGAGCAGGGGGAGAAGAGCAGGTACCTTTCCAGGCAACAAAGTGAGGATGCTGAAAATAGTCCTTGTGGAAGGAGAAGCCACGTAGGAAATTGTGGGTGGCCTGGGCAAGTGGACGCCGCATCAAAAGGTCAGTGAAAACCTCTGCTATCCTGCCAGCCACCGTGGGAGGCTCTTGTATCTTCAGAAGGGGGACCTGCTCCTTGTCTGCAGTTGAGAAGAGGGTACAAGGGGACTCTCAGACCTTTATTCCAGCCTCTGCAGACGCACAAAGGTCTGAAAGCCACCCCACATTCCCCACAAGCTGCCTCTCCCATCCTGGTGAAAGAACCCAGGCACCTACCCAGGCTGGCCTGAGCTTGTGCCCAGCGGTCCCAGAACTGGCTGGGCTCGGATGACCAATACAGGCTGTCCTGGAGGTTGGCTGCATACAGGTTGCTCCAGATACCTGAGCAGGAGACCCAAGAGGAAGAGAGTCCCCCACCTCACCAAAACCTGACCCCACCACCCACCCAGGGCCAGGACATGACTGAGCCGAGACAGTCAACCCCACCATCTTGCCCAGGCCCATTCTCCCCAAGTCCCCAACTTCTCCCACCCCGAAGACCCCCTCACCTTCCAGGAAACAGATGCGGGACTCAGGAAGCTGTTTTGTCAGGCGCCCCATGAAGAACTCAGAGCCAAAGAGCTCAGGGGGGATGAAGGCGCCGTACTTGGGAAAGCCGACCTCATAGGGGGAGAACTCACACCACTCTGTGAAGAGCCACACGCCCTCACGGAGGGGCCCAGAACCTGAGGACTCTCAGGCCCAACACACCCACCACGGGCCCCGCATCAGGCAGCCTTGTGACCAGGAGGCTCAGCTCTGTTGCTGGCACCCTGGGTGAGGACCCACGGCCCCGGCCTCTGTCCCAAAGGCTGAGTGACTCTGGGGGGATGACAGGCTCTTGGCCCAGCAGAGGGGGGTGTAACGCCCACCTTTACGAACAGGCTGGGCTGCCTCTCACTCCGCCAACTGTGAGAGCATGGGTCTCGGCTCCAGCAATACTCACCCCCAAATTCAAAGGTGGTCAGATTCTGCTCCTTGGTGTTGAGAGCACAGTAGATGGGCATGGGGTTCTGGCCTCGACTCAGGGCCTCCCGCTGGTCTGAGAGCTTGTGGTCATGAGGCTGGGGGAAGGGAATGAGAACTTAATGCCATGGTCTCCTGGGGCCTCTCCTGCCCCCTACTGCCCAGAGCTGCTCCCCATCTCCAGATGGTGCCCTGGCTTTGGCCACCCCACCCTGCCCTGCTCCTGCCCCTCCCCACACCTCATCATGTAGCAGCGCCTCATTGATGAGGGCCCACAGGTTGGTGAAGCAGGTCGGGTGGCCCAGGCGGGCGCGCTCAGCCAGCTCCTGCTGGTACCGCAGTAGCTTCCCGGGGGCTAGCACGCCCAGCTTGTTCTTGGTCACCTGGGTCTTCAGTGACTCGATGGGCCCTGCCAGGTCCTTCTGAGACCACTCTGGATCCTCGTAGAGGTTGGCCAAAGCCCTGGGAAAAGCCAAAGTCAGACGGATTGTCACCGGAACCCCACTGCAGCAGCTGGAAAGACACCTTCCACAGTCCCCGGAGCACCTTTCCAACTGGGTCAGAGAGGCCTGTGGAGTTTGATAGAACCTTACCACCCCCGCTCCTGCCATAGCCCAGCTAGCCACCTGTAGGCTCTGGCACTCAAGCTTACCATGTGGAGCCCGAGGCCCCCGTGATGTAGGAGACACAATCCAAGAGGCCGAGCGCCTTTAGGCCAGCCAGCTGGCCATACAGTGAGGTCATGGCCCGGATACCACCACCGGTGGCCATAACAGCAACCACTGGGATCTAGAAGAGAAGACAATGGGGCTCGAAGAGGCCCTAGCGAGAGGGAAGGGTCAAGCCACAAGAAGAGGCGGTAGCAATCCAAGGGACCACTCAGCACACCCACAGCTCAGCCTGGTCAAGATCTAATTGGAGTTCCTGGGACCAGTTCTAGTCAGACCTGCTGAAGAGGCTCTAGTCGGAAGTAGGCTTGCAAGGGTCAGGCCTGTCTGGTTTTAAGAACTCAGAAAAAATGGACAGGTTCCAGGCTTCATCTCCACACCTAACCCCTAAGGAGTCTGGTGATTACTTTCTTGAAGCCCCAGGGTCACCCCAAAAGTCTCCCACATAGCCACTCCGCTCCCTCTTTCAGGAAGAGATCATTTCCCTGGGAGCGGCCCCAGTCTGCCCTGAACTTCTAGGGACTGCCCCAGGCCAGCAGGGGGCCCCCAGGCTGTACACCTCACTGGTCAGTCACCCGGAGCCTAGCCTCAACACCTGGACCAGGCCAAGGACCAAGAACAATAAGAAGGCAGGTTAGCCCAGTGGGGAAGCTCACAGGCTCCTGGTGACTCAGGCCATGCTCTGCATTTGATGCAATCAAGCTCCTGACAACATCAAATGCAGGAGGCAGAGCAGGCCTGGCACCAGTGCTGTCTGGGTAGGGCACATCCAGTGCCAGCATCCAGCGCTGGGCTCTGGGCCCAAAGACACGCCCCTAGTCCCACACAGTCCCCAGACCTCATCTTCCCGCAGGTCTCCGTCCAGCTGCAGGGCCTGCTGCAGGGCCTTGGCCACCACCTGCTTCCTCCTGCTCAGGAAGGCCTGCTCCTCAGCACAGGGCCCGCAGCCCAGCCGCACAGCCAGTTCCCTGGGTCTGGTGGGAAGGAAGGGAACATGAAGCAGCTCCTGGGCTCATCAGAGAACGAAGCTGGGCCTGTCCTGGAAAGCTCACCACCATCCTTCTCACCTCTCTTCTCCCCAACCCTTGCCCCACCTCTAGTGTCCTGACTGACAGATGATGTGTGGATGTGAGGGGAGAAGGCGACCCCAGACCCTGGTGGGGATATCCCTGGGGAAGCAGCACTGCAGAGTCACAGACCAGGAAAGGGGTGGGACCCAACACCATCAATCTGCTTCCACCTCTCAGCCCCTCTCCCTCACCCACCCAGAAATGGCTCCAGAGGGAGCAGAAATGATGTTCCCTCCTCTCCCTGGTGGGAGCTGGCCTCTCAGGCCTGCAGACGGCTAGTGTGGGTGACTCTGCCCATCTCCTGCAGCTCAGCTGAGGCACGCCCACAACAGCTGCCCCACAACGGGCGTAACTACCCTTCTCTGGGCTTTCTTGCCCACTCTGCACCTCTAACCACTCTCCTGGCTTCCATCTGCTTTCCCAGCCAAGCATTTACCAAGTGCCTCCCAGGCGCCAGGCACCAAGCTAGGTACACACCCCTCTGGCTGAATCAGAAATGAGCGTAAAAAGTCAGCAAGAGCCATCATCGGCCAAATCTCCCACATCTCACATGCCACAATGGGAGCAAACCCCTGAGCCTCTGAGAGAACTATCAGTGGTCTGTCCCGCTAGGGGCTGCCCTGTGTCCCCTCACTCCTCCAGGCTGAGTGCCCGGCATCTGTCCCCCGTGACTTTTCCCAGTGCCCAGGTGGCCTCTCACCCTTCTTCATTTTTCAGCTCCACTTTCATCAGGGGCTCCTGAAAACCATGAACACTCCAGTCATGAAGATGGGCCACCCCTCCAGTCATGAAGATGGGCCACCCCACTCCCCTCATCCCAGCCCCATTCACATCCTATGATGGCCCAATGCTCCCTTGGGCCCCAGCCATCTCCACAGGGGCCAGGCCTGAGGACCCCTCTCCCTTAGCCTGGCCCTTGTCCAGGGCAGGGGCCAAAGACAGGAGCTGCTACAGCAGCACAGGTCTTCAAGGCCTGGGCCCACAATGTGCATCTGGCTTTCTTCCTCCGGTGACCAGTACCTGGGATGTAGGGAAGACAAGTCGCACCACTTGGCCAGAAGGCAGGGCCCTCAGGGGCACCTTCAGCTGCTCCTGGGGGGCATCCTGCAGGGAGGATGAGAAGGACCTAAGACTCTCTACCCTTCCATCCCAGCAAGGCCTCACAGATTGCCCTAGGGGTGACCCAGAAGCAGCAGGAAGGGGACAGGAGGCCGAGGTCGCCCCACACCTCTCAGGGTGCCTGGCTGCCGGGGGAGCCGGGAGAAGATGGGGGTGAGCACAGAGATGGCACCCAGGCTGAAGCGGGCACTACCTGCAGGTGAATACTCAGCTCCTGCTCCCAGCAGGCCGGCCAATGGAAGCGGAAGGAGCCGGCGCCCACGGAGGCCTCCTGTGGACCCTCACAGGACCCGTGAACCACAAGCTGAACTCTGCCCTCTGACTCTGGAAACAGGAACCAGAGCAGAGAGGCTGGGAATGTGATCTCAGCCCACAGAGGCCCCTGTCTCACTTAAGAGGTCTGGAGTGGGGGTGGGGGCACGTCCCTCCCCCTACGAGATGGTGGTCTGGCCCAGAGCTAGGCTGGGAGATGGGCCCCACTGCAGTCCTCTGAGGACTGAGGGGAAAAGCCCAGTGGGGATGCATCCCCTGCCCCCTGCTCCTGACTGAGAGTTGGCGGCGACGAATACAAGATCCGCTCAGAAAGGGGATGACAAAGGCTGAGAGCTGGGGGGGCTATCCCGGTGGGTCCCAGAAGGTCAGGGACTCACCCTGCAGGTCCCCTGCCTTCTCCAGTCGAACATGCAAGCAGGAGAGCTCCCGGGCCTGGGTGTGAAGAGAGCCCCTCAGACTCGAGCCCCTCCCCTGTAGAGACCCCACCCCCTCCCAGGACTCTGGTTCTTGCTCTTTGACACCTTTTCACCTTGGCCCTGAGTCACAAACGTTTGCTTGGGGTGCGATCCTCTTGAACTGAAATCCCAGGGCCCCCCAGTAGCTGTACCCAACCCCTGCTGTGGGCCTGGGAGGAAAGCAAGCAGATGACATGGCGGGGTAGGCGGATGTTCTAGACTCACCACTAGGATGCCATTGCTGAAGAGGCACTCAGCACCATCAGTCCTGGAAAGAGCCCCCAGTGACCCTCAGCAAGAATCCACATTCCCAGGTTCTCACTCCTCAAGGAGATCTGGACTTTCCTCCTCCACCCCAGACACCTCCCAGGGAAGGGGTGTCAGCTCTGGGTGTGCTGGGCTCTGTCCTTCCCAGAAGGAATCACTCCCACCTGGGAACTGCCCCACAGGCCGACTCACAGATTCTGCAGCCGAAATTCAACTTCCAGGCGCTCTTCACCCTGGAGGGAGAAAGAAGCAAATTAGAAACTGAGGGGGGAGAGAGAGAGAAAGTGTGTGTGTGTGTGTGTGTGTGTGTGTGAGTGAGTGAGTGGAGAAAGTGTGTGTGTGTGTGTGTGTAAATCCCCCCCGACACCTGGGCTGCTACGGCCCCAGTAGTGAAGAGAATTACTGCCCACCCTCCCTGGACTGCTCCAAGAACCCTGCCCTTGGCTTAGGGGCCAAGACAGAGGTGGGGACAAGACTGCCCAGTAGCTCCTGGCTGACAGAGCCTCTGGGACTCCTGGATCACTCACTGGAGAAGAGAGCCGCGTACCTGGCGACCCTCCGAAGCAGCCCCTCCCTGGGCCAAGACCCTCCATGGCCCCACACACAGCCTTACCTGAGGGCTCAGCGAGAAGCTCTCGCGCCGGGACTCCCCAGCCCGCAAGGTCCCCACGTCAAACAGCACTGACAACACAGGGTCATCCGTGGTCAGAAGGTCCTGGTCAAAGACTCTAAGATACACGATGTTCTGAAAGGGAAGTAGAGTCAGGGGGCTGCAGGAAGAGGGGGTGAGGCAGGGAACAAGAGGCTGGGAGGCAACAGTGCGGGGACAGCGAGCAGGGCCAGGACTGACGCCCATCCACCTTGATCTGGCTATGGATTCGGAAGTGGAAGCTTTGATTCCAGACGGGGTTTCTGCAGTTCTTGACTGTGCGCGTTTGCAGCTGGTGGCTGGAGGCCGTGGGCAGCCACAGGGTCACGTAGCAGTCAGAGGCGGTCACTGCGGGGAGGAAGCAAGGGTGGCAGCTGAGAGTCCCTCCCAGCCCAGCCGCCCAGGGCCCTCATCCCTCTATCACTGGCTGCCCCAGAAGACCCAGAGAACGGGGCTAGTCAGGAGGCAGGGGCCTGACCTTGACATTCCATCCAGTGCCTCCTCTCTGAACCCTCTCAAGGAGCCCCCCACACACCCAGCCTACTTGTGTCTCTCCCCACTGCCCTGGCTGGCTCTGAAGTTGCAAAACCACTGCCTCCCCAGGCCCAGCACTCACCGATGTCCTTGGAGGGCAGGCCATGAGCCTGCAGGACACGAATGGTGAGTAAGCAGGTCCCAGGCACCTTTGCCTGCGAAGGATGGAGAAACAGGCTTACAGCCAGCTGGTGGGCCCAAAAGGGAGGCTGGCGTGACACCTTGAGGCCTAGTCTTGAACCCAAAGCATCAGCCCTGCCCAGCCCTGGGCCCATCCTCCCCCCACCAGAGTCCTGAGCCAAAAGGAGGCTACGGTATCTCCCGATGACGCCTGCCAACACTTACACAACACTCCACACCGGCTCCACTCCAAGGGCTTGATGCAGCCTAACTCGATTTAATCACACAGCCATTCTGTGCGTGGGGACTACTTATTATGACCAAACCCACAAGGAACTAGAAGTGCTTGCCTGAGATCAGGGCCAGGACTAGACCAGGCTAGCTCGACTTGTGCTCTCAACCCCCACACTTCCCTTCAGTTCCCGGTACAGTACCCTTACTCTTTCCACCCCACATCCCTGGCTCTTCTTTACTAAGCAGTCTTGAGTCTCATCTTGGGTAGCAGGGGCCCCAGGGTGGCAGAGGTATAGATGTAAGACTACAGAGGGAAGGAAAGAGGTATGGTGGGTCTCTGCCCACATAGGGTGGGTCCCTCTAATGGAGCTGTTCCCATACTCCCCATCCCTGGCCAGAAGTTCTGGAAATGGGCTCTCCACTGGTCTAAGGACAGCAGTGATCAGCTCACCCACAGGCTGACTGGTCCTCCAGGTCCTACAAGGTCAGGCTAAAGATGGTCCCCAGGTGGCTCCATCCAGACCCACAACCCTGGATCTGGGGATTGGACACCCTGTATTAAATCCATTCTTCCTCTGACCTTCAGCCTTGCCTCAAAAGGGCCTTGATGGCATCCAGGGGCAGAGCTGGAGAAGCTCATCCATCACAGTCAACCCTGGGGCTCCCACACCCCCAAGCAACTGAGTCAGAAGCAATGCCAGAGCAGCCGCGGCCTCTGGGGCCCCAGGACAGCAGCTGGGTGCCTGAGTTCTCAGGGCCTGAATCCACCATGCCAAGGAGCTCTGCCTGGAGCCCACCTCTAGGGCAGGAAGAACACTGAATGATCCTTCGTCCCAAGACTCTGCCTCTTCCCTGGCTTCTGCTCCCCACCACGGTCCAAGGCCGGCAAACACCTGGAGAAGCCCACCACTTCCTAAAGAAACAGCGCTAACCAGGCTGCAGGAACCAGTGCCCTACTGGGTCTTACCAGAGCCATGAGGCAGCGTCCTCAGGAGGAAGGAGTGATGTCAGTGTCTGCAAGACTGAGGACTGTCAGCTTTATCACCCAGAGCCAGCGATGTCCCAGCGGGCAGCAAGCTCCTCCCCTGTTCCTCCCAGCCACCTCTGCTCCACCCAAGACCCACACCCACTCCTGGACCAGCCATCTGTCCAGGAAATGAGACACCTTAAACCTACACGGAACCATTGATGCCCTCATGATGGGGGCTCAACACACCTGAACACCCATTCTCTCCAGCCAGCACCATCTGGGCCTTGCCCCAGCCCTGCTCTCCCTGCCTGGACCGTGACGAGGGCCCCCAGGAGAGCTGGCTGTCAGAGGCTGAGCAGCAGGCTGGAGGTGGGGTGGGGGGTGCAGGAGAGACTACTAAGGCCTGTAAAGTGGGGAGCAGGCCCCAGGACAGCAGCAGACCTAAGAGCCGTGTCCCCCGTCACAGGTCTTTTCCCACCCTCCTGCTGCTGGTGTGACAGAACCACCTGGTCTTGACAGGAGCGTTGGCCAATCTGAGAGAAGCGCCCCGTGCCCCAGCATAACCAGGCAGGGCTGTGGCTTGTTCTATGGAACAAGCCCTTCAAAGCTGCGTGCCAGGGACTTCCATGCTTCCACTGCAGGGTCACATGGTCATTCCTGCTCAGGATACCAAGATACATACTGGGCAGCTAAAACATAAAATGTGCTCGTTGTGAGAGAAACAATGGTGACCCCCAGGACACCAGACCCCACCCGCTGCCCTAGAGCTGGAGGAGAATAAACAGGGCCAGAGTGAAGCTAGGAAGAGCTTTGCGGGCTCTGGGGCCATGAGCTCCACACCACTGTTACAGCAAGGCTGGGGTTGGCCTGAATGCCCCAGAGAGGCTGTGACGGCTGTAGTGGACAGAGGGGTCTTGTCCACAGGCCCAAGCCTAGACCCAGCCCTCGCCCCAACTACCATCACTCCAAAATGTTCACCTGTACCTTCTAGCCCTCGGCAGACCATGGAAGGCAACTGCAAGGGAGTCTTAACACACTTGAGTCACAGATGCCTTTTATTGAACACTTCCTCTGTGCCAGGCCTCTGCCATCCTCACAGATAGCACCGCCAGCACTCCGTGAGGTAGGAACCATCATTATCTCCGTTTTACAGACAGGACACCACTGTTCTGAGGCAGTAAGTGGCACAAGGTCATGGGTCACGGCACTGATGAGAGGTGTGCAGCGCCCAAGCCCCTTCCTCTTCCAGAGCAGGATGCTGCCTCACCTAGGCACCAGCTTCCTGGGCGCTCACACCCAGACCTGCCCGGCACCTCCTGGTCCTCCAGGCCGCCTCCCAAGCCTCTGGAGCTGACCCTAAGCCCCACTGGGCTGACAGCCAGCACCTCTGACTCCAGGCTGCCTCTACAGTTGACTGGCCTGGGAGAGATGTGGCCTTTTCCACGGGTAGTTCTTGATGGATGTTCACCAGGGCTCGGTCAGTTGAGGCCCGAGACCTTAGTGAGGGAGTCGAGCAGCTGGAAGTAACTGTACTTGAGGTCATACTCCATGTCGTACCAGAAATTCACTGTAGGGGAAAACAGAAATCGGAGCACAAGGGTCCCCCTTCTGACAGACTTTCCACTTCCCCACCCACCCCCAGGGACCTGGGCCGCCCCTTACCAGCAATGCAGCCATGGGACTGTTGGACGTGGTGGAACCACAGGGCTGGCAGGTAGAGCATCTCACCCGCCCGCACCGTGCAGCGAAGCGCCTGGGCCTGGCAGTAACTGGGGTACCGGGCCAGATCTGGAGCCAGGGGGTCCAGGGGGATCCATGGCACCTGGGGACATGGCAGACTCCAGGGAGCAGGCCCAAAGCCCCCAGGCTCTGAACTCTGTCCCTGGAGGTAAACGCCCCGGACCCCAGGGAAGTGGGTCCACTGGGAAGCCCAGATGGAGGGATTCTTCAGCAAAGCGCCACCTCCCCACCTCTTTGGTGCCTGTTCCTCAGAGTCCAGGCTCCTTGCCTCCCCCTCTCCCAGAGCCCAGAAACAAGGCAGACACCTTCTCCATGGCCTCTTCATCCACCATCTTGAATGAGCCCTCTTCGGTTAGCTGGTAGGTTGCCTGTGTGTATAGTTCTGAAACCAGGGGGAGAAAGTCTGAGGATCCTCAAAAGGCCTGGAGTGTGCCCACCATTCCCTCATCTTCCCTGAGTGCAGGGGCATGGGGGCCAGGGGTCCTAGGGCAGTGGAGATGCTGTGTCCCCAGCCCACCCGGGGCTCCCCACTGTCCTCCCTCCACCATGCGGCTGGGGACCCCTCCCAGGCTGTATCCCCTACCATAGGGGATGAAGGGCCGGTCACTGGGTGGATGCAGCAGGAAGCGTTTCTCTCCTGAGACCACACAGTAGAGGTTCTCATAATGGTCCTTATGCACTGCCAACACAGAGGGCCCAGTGGGCAGGGCCATGAGGAGCAGGCCACAGGAGGGCACAGACGATTGCACTTGGGGCCCTGCACCCCAAGAAAGCTTATGACGTGACAGAGAGCACAGAGTCATAGCAGGCTCAAGAGGACGCCACGACGGGAGTCTGGCAGGCCTTCGGGCATCTCAGATCTCTGCCTACCAAGGGACTAGACACTCGCCAGGCCCTGGGCTCATCTTCAACAAGAGAGAAAATCACACAAACAGGGTTCTTGTGAGTCTACCCTGACTCAGCTGGCCTTCAGCACTTTCTAGGGACCTAGCAGAGGCAGTGTCCCCCAGGTCCAATGCCGTGGGCATCTCCACCCACCTGAGCTGTCAGGGAAGGCCCTCTGATGGATCTGAGCCCCAGAATCCCAGAAGAAATTTTAAAGATCAGGCAGTCCAATTTCCATCCAAGGTCAGCCTTCCACTCTGCACCTCACCTTCCTCCCCACAACCTCCTCCCCTGCTCTGCACTCCCAACGCCTACACGATGTCACTGCAGCTGCCTCTCCCAGCCAGAAGTTCACAGCATCAGGCATCTTCCCTGTGGGTCAGAGGTCAGAGGGCGAGTTAGGAGAGGCCAGGCTGGAAGTCACCACCAGTGATGCTGCGTGGGGAGCAGTGGGGTCCCAGGGGAAGAGTGGGGGGAAGGGGCAGAGGTAGGCAGGCATGACAAGGGGCCTCTGTTCCCTGGGGCAGGTGAAAGAGCAGCAGTCTTCAGTGATTCATCAAAATGAAGTCAAGGCCTAGGGATCTGTGGGGCCGAGAACGGGGGCTGCCATCACCAAGGGGAGAGAAACAGCAACGAGGCTGCTCCCACCTTCCCGTCTCCTCCCCACGGGGCCCCGCCTCCACTCACCCAGCGCCTCAGAGGCCCAGGGCACGTGGGGCTCCACATCAGGCAGCAGCTGGGGCAGCTCGGTGGGCAGGTTGGAGCACTGCTTCTGCACGTAGAGAACCCCAGGGTGTCGGGCTCGGCCCTCCAGTACGTCCAGCACGTGGCTCAGGGGCAGGCGGCGCTCAGCAGGCATCACAAAGCGGTCCCCTCGCACAGCATCCGCATAGCCATCTGGGGTCACTGCCACACTCACCTCTGTGGAGCCCACGGTGGCCCTGGAGGAATGGACATTCAGCCCAGCCCTGGAGGCCCCAGAGCACCACCCACACCCTGCCCAGGGCAGCCCCCACCTGAGGTAGGGGAGGGACCACTTCCGGAGGGCTGGCCAGTGCTGCAGGGCGTTTCGGATGATGCAGGGCCTGTTGGGGCAGACCCAGTCCCGGTAGAAGTGGAGGGGACTGGGGGGCTCATCCAGGTGGGGAACAGCAAGAGGCACGCTGAGCTCTGAGAGAGACAGAGAGTTGGGGGAGGGGCTGAAACCAACAGAACCCAGTGGCTGCCCCACTGCCCACATAAGAGATGCCCACTCCAACAGGCCACTGTGCCACCGATCAAGGCCTATCGGTGACCAAGGGACCCTGGACAGCCAGGAATAGAAGAATGAGGAGGGAAATTTAAGTAAGAAAGTGTGAAACACCCATAAACACACCAGGATGTCCACAGGGCCCAACCCCAATGCTCCACGGGGCCATGTCCGGCTCTGCCCAGGGGACCCCTGGCCTTCCCACTGTGGAAGAGCCAACCTCCTGGCATCCATTAGGAAAGGCAGCTATGGAGGCGGCACTGGAAGCTCCAGAGTGAGTAGAGCTGAGGCCCCAAGGCCAGCGCTGCTATGAGTGGGCCGAGGATCTCTGGGAAGCACCTAAAATGTGCTCAGTCCTTGCCTCGGCATCATGGAAGTATTAAGGGATGATCTGAGCACCATCTCAAGAAGCTTACAACCTAACTGGGGAGACAAGCTGCTACATGAAACCATCAGGGAAAAAGTAAGGGCTGAACTGTCTGCTCTGTCTTACCGAACAGCATCACCAAGCTCAGACCCCCAAGACTGCTGTGTGCGTGTGGGCAGACTGCGGTGCCCCACCTGCGCGGGTATCAATAACGGCCCTCTTTCACCCTTGACAAAAATCTCTTTTGACTCTTCCTTCTCCCTCACTCCTGGCATCCTACTGATTATCTCTAACTGCTATTGATTCTACTACCTATGTCTCTCAGGCCACACCACACACCCCTTTCCTCTGCTGGCATCCACAAAGTTAGCTCATTTGGGTCCTCAAAGGTCACTTTGGTGAGGCTTTCCTTCCTGGCCACTATTTTTAAAATTGTAACCTGCCCTCAATATCCTTATACCCCTGTTTTTGTTTTTATTTCTATCATTTATCACCATCTTACACACTATATATTTAACTTATCCCAAATATTAATCAGTTTTTCTTGCTAGAATGTTTGCTCCATGAGGACATGGATGCTTGTCTTATTCACTGATGTATCCCCAGTACCTGGAACAGTACCTGGCTCACAGTAGGTGCTCAAAGTATCTGCTTAATGGTTGAATGTAAGTCTCCAACATCTTCCGGCTGGATGATTGCTGCAGTGAACTAACTGGTTTCCTTGGCTGAATTCCACTCCTTCTCAAAAAAAATCCCTCATCCAGGTCCCCGTCATCTTCCTAAAATACAATCTCATCTTGTCACACCCTAGTAAAAAGTCCTTTGATGGCTAACCACTACTCCTGACGAAACACAGTCAGCCTCGGCACATATTCAAGGTGCTCTGTGATGAGACCCAACCTACTATTCCAGTCCAGCTTCCTTCCGTCTGGGGCCTGCCCCTCAGCACACACCCTACTCAGGGGGTGCCCAACTTTGTTTTTGCTGCTCACACAGGCATGCCTTCCTCCTGGCTTTTACACACAGCGTGAGGCTTCGCTGTGTTATTTTCATCCCTGCGGTCTAGCCTGAATGTCTTCGTCCCCAGTGGGCGTTATGACACGCTCTCCCAACGGCCACTGCACTCATTTTCACCTCTGGGCTCAAGCTCTCACAACCGCCTCTCCACACCGGTCATCCAGGCCTTGCAAACAGCTGGAAAGTGAAATGGTGTTAGATCAAAAATGGAAACTGAGTGGGAAGACCCTGGGGGACCCAGGAAAACTTGAAAAGGAAGTGTGCTTACTCCACTGGCTCAAAAAGCAAGATGGAATGTGCCAGGCAGATATGGGAACAAGGGGGAGGAATCTGGCAATGGTCTCCCCAGTCACGCCAGCCCATCCAAGCAGTCACCTTATGGGGCTCAATAAATCTCCCTGTTCTGTTCTGAAGTATGGTTGATTTACATAGCCACTTGTGTTATTTATTTTTCAGCCATGCCATGTAGCATGAGGGATTCTATTTCCCCAACCAGGGACTGAACCCATGCCCCCTGCACTGGGAGTGCAGAGTCTTATTAACCACTGGACCACCAGTCAAGTCCCTATTACTCTCACCAGAATTCTTAAATGATGTGGAAACTGCTTTTTTTTTTTTAACCCTTTGTATTTCCTGAAATTATTTCAGTTTCACTTTTTCACCATTTAAAGTTCCTTTAAAGAATGGCCAGTATTCTCTCCTGAGGTTTCAAAGGGAGAATTTCATAAAGGACCCAAACAATTCCTTTGGTCTGACAATTCTTCTGCTAGGAATTTAGCCAACAGAAACATACATGTGCACAGACTCTGCTCCAGCCACACCGGCCTCCTCACTGATCCTTGAACACACCTGGCACACTCCCACCTTACAGCATCTGACCCGCATGCCCTTGCTTAGAATTCTCTTCTCTCAGGTCCGCTTGCTCACCCGCTCCCCTCCTTCTTCAAGCCAGTGCTCAAATGTAGCCTTGTCAGAGGCCCACCCTGACTTTCTTATTTCAACTTGTAATCTGCCCGACTGCCACATCCCGAGTCTCCTCACTCTGCTTTACTTTTTTACCCCACACTACTTATCTTCTAACCCATTTTTCCCTACTGTATGGTTTATTCATCTAATGTGCCTACAGTTAACTGTCCCCTCACTTACAATGTAAGCTCTATGAGGGCAGAGATCTGTTTTAGTGATGTACCTTAAACATACTGAACAGAGTCTGGCACACTGCAGTGCTTACTAAATATCTGTTAAACGAATACTCAAAGTATTGATTGCTATATTAAAAACAACAGATTGAAACTGACCTAAATGCCTGCCAGAGGGGGTTAATTAAGCAAATTACAGCATTAGTACACAGATGTGGAAAAGACTGAAGCAGATTTAGATGGACCTAAAAGATTTAGGGAACCAGAAGAATGTGCTTAACAAGCTACCATTTGTATAAAAAGGGAGATATCCAGTCATAGGTGTGTGTGTGTGGATATTAATAAGAGTACTGCTGGAAGGAAGCAACCTGGAATGGGAAGGAAGGACACTTACTTTACATAAGCCTGCTGGTTTTTAAACAACGTGCCCATGTTACTACTCAGTGATAAGACATTCCTTAAAAATAGAAAGAGTAAAGGGAGAGAATGAGAGGGGAAAAATAAAAACCAAGCAAGGGAAAAGCCAGGGATCTCCAATCCTCCAGAAACTCTGCAGCGCTCCTGGCTTGGAGGCGTCTCCTCTTTAAGAAAGAGATCCAGCAGGGGTTCGCAGAGGGAGAAACTTTAAAGACTTCAAAACAGAGAAGGGTGGAAAAGGCAACAACAGAAAACCCCCAATTACTCGGTGCCGGCTGACAGTGGGAAACAGAACAGCGCCAGAGTCAAGACTGGACCGGGCCTTGGGAAAAGATGAAGAGTCACCCCAGGAAGCCACGAAGGTGTGGGAACAAGGGAGGAGGGGAGCTGAGGACCCACCCAGGGGGCTGGGGGGTCAGGGTTGCGGAAGAAGATTGACGACAGGGGCCATCCACGTGCACGAGGTTCCAAGCTCCTTGAGGCCAAGAAACAGGGTGCACCCTGGTATCAGCGACCCAGGAAGGACCAGGGCGCACCCGGCTCTGGAACCCGGTTCCCGGCAAGCCCAAGGCCCCTCCCGCGTCTTGAGGTTGTTTGGCAGTCAACAAGCCAGCCCACTCACCCCTTGCCGCAGCCGGGAATTCTCGTAACTCCCTCCGCACAGCGTCCAAAGCCGCCTCCGCCATGACGCCGCCGCCGCCGCCCCGAGGCCCCGCCCCTCCTTCCTCAAGACTCCGCCCCAGCCCTGAGGCCCCGCCCTTCTCTGCGGCCTCAAGCCTGAGCTCGGGCTGCGTGCCCGAGGCCGCCTAGTCGTCCCGCCCCGCGGCTGCAGTCGGAGCCGCCAACTGCCCCACCCCCACGCGACCACAGATTCTGTTGCCCGCCCAACTCGCTGACAACCCAGAGTTAGCAAATGATTGTGTTTATTGAGTTCATACATCAATACAAACGGACATGTTAAAAACAGCCTCTGCCCTGTGAGACCTGGGGATGTTGGGGAAGCGCCATGGCCTGGGCAAAGTATAAAAGTTATAAATAAGGGGCTTTCAAAACTGGGTCAGGGCAGATCTGAACGGGGGCGGCAGTTGCCGGTGGCCTCAGACATGCAGAAGGGGACGGGCGCCGACCACATCCCCCCACGCTGGGCGGGGGTGGGTAATCAAAAGGGTGGCCACCTTCCCACAAACCTCGGCAGGAGTGTCGCTTCATCCTCGTGAGGGATAGACTGGCTGAGGGTGGCCAGGAACCCAGCCCCGAGGGCCAGGCCTGAGCGCCACTTGCAGTGGACTGCGGCTGGTGTGCTGGTTAGGGGTACATGGGGAGCGGATTTCTAACTATGACAAGGGCAGCTGCGGCCTCTTGGGGTCCACACTCAGCTCTGAGAGTTCCTGGGCCAGGATTTCTTGGCAGCTTGGCCATGCAGGCGGTGGTAGTAGAAAAGAGGGAGGGTGAAATAGGGTTCACCTGTTCAGGTGACTAATGCAAGCAGAGCTGGGCACCCTTGAGAATCCAACTTCAAGCCTCCACCCACAGAGCCAGCAGAGCCCATAGGGACACACTTTCCAGCCTGGAGCTGTAGCAGAGCTGCCCTGACTTACCTGAGGCAGCGGAAGCAGCAGGGCCTAGAGACACGTTCTTCACCCCAACTCTTCCACAGCTGCTTCTGTACTTGGTCCTACTCTACTTGCCCACAGTGCCCTGGCTCCCTGCCCTCACCCCTAACACTACCCTCCTAACTCTATCCCCTCACCTCTACCACTTACCTGGCCCACCTACCACCTTTCCAGTGTGTCTCTTGGCCCCTGCTGCAGCCCCATGGGCCTCCCTCTCTTCAACCTCCAGCATCCAGCACACCTGGTGCCCAGCACCGCCCTTGAGGAGGCTCCTTCTACCCAAAACGGATACTCTGGGCCATTACATATCAGCTAGGCTGTGAAAGCCAGGAATCCAGAATCCAGGCTTAGTGCGTTCCATCCCTTTTCATATTATTGATAGGAGCCAGGGTGATGAAGCCAGGGCAGGATGTGAAAGGAAAGCAGGCACACATCAGCCAGCCAAGTGGTCTAGCAGTGAACACTCAATGTGTGTATGTGCATGTGTGTGTGCATTTGTATAGGTTTCTTCTGTGGCCAAGGTCCTTAGAAGGTGGGCCGGCGCCCTGTAAACTACGAGGGAAGTTCCAACACAGGCTTCTGACTGAGCATTGCTCAGGATGCATGGAGAAGGTGGCCTCAGGTTCAGCAGCCTGTTGGGGACCAGGGCTGAAGAACAGGGAAGGCCAAGGGGCTGAGGATAGGAGGCCAGGGCTTAATGTTTGCCCAGCAGAGGGCTTTACCGTCCTGCAGCAATGTCCCACAGCTGGCTCCACAAGCTCCGGCCAGGAGAGAAAGGGGGCACGGGAAGAGACAATGCTAGGCCCCCCTGGAGCGGGGAATGGGAGTGGAATGTGGGGGCTCAGGCCTTGACACCAACTCAAGCCTCCTGATGGCTGGGCGGGCTCCAGAGGGCCAGAGGGCTCTGCCTTTCTGAACTGCCAACAAGTAGGAAAAACAGACAACCCCCGCTCTGGCAACCAGGGGAGTAAGCTGGTGTGGGAGGGGGCATGGAGGTAGAGGTGAAGTTCCGCCGTTGGCCAGAGGGCAAGGACACCAGATCACCTCTCACCTCTACCTGCCCTGGATACCCTGTGTGTGCTCCACCCCAGGGAGCTGATCCCTGCAGTAATTTCAAATGGCTTCTAAGAAGGGAGGGCAGGCTGCCCTCCGACTCCTCACAGCACCAAGATGACAAAGACCAAGATCTGCCCCTGCATGAGCCACCAGATGGCTGTGGAGGCAGGAGTTCGAAGAGAGTGAGGCAACAGTCAGGGAAATAAATTAATAAATACAGGGGTCCCATGAGGAACAGCTGCAAAAGCCATGGCCCCTCTGAGCATGGATCCCTGCTCTCCACTCCAAGCATCCTTGCAGGTTTTGGTGAGTGGAGGAGAGATGCAGTTTGGAAGGGGGGTAGCATTCACTGGGGACAGGCTTCTGGAACTCAGAGTCTGCGTTCCATGCGCCGCTCCACAGCTCGAAGCAGCAGCTCTGAGTATTGCTCCAGCAGGGCCTGTGTCTGCTCAGCCCCCACAGCCCCAGGGCTCCCACCCGGGCTGGCCAACACCGCCCCGGCCAGGGCCTCCAGCTCCTGCCGCACTGAAGAGAAGGTGTTTCTGAGGAGCTGGGTGATGCGACTTTGTTCCACCGAGGGTGTCTTGCAGCTGGCCACCTGCAACGGGACCCCTGAAGTGAGTTGCAGGAACAGTGGAGGGGACTGTCAACGGATACAGAAAAGGGAGGGGCCCCGACTGTGTCTAGCCTGCCCCCAAGAAGGGACTGCATGCCCTGCTGGGTGTGGCCAGGAGTTCCACACGCCAAGATGAGCAAGTATGACCAGAGGCTAGGGGATGGAGGCACACCCTGGGGGTAACTATCAGATGTGGCACCATCTACATCTCATTAGCAATTCCTCTTTCAAATCTCGGCCCCTGAAAGACCGTCCCTTATGTTCAGAATGGCCAAATCGTTTCTGAATATGCAAAGGGATACTATTAATAATTATACTTGGACAACAGGCATAAGCTAGACGGTCCTAAGCAAACTAGGACATGAGGGCTCTCTACACTGTCCCCTCCTGTCTGAGGATGTCTCCTCCAGCTGTTAGCCAGAAATGACTGATGTGTACTCAAGTTCAAAAGGCCTGGCCTGGTCTGTAACCCACTCACCTACTCAGAGTTCTTAACTGTTCCACCCACTCATCAGTGGAAGAGCCTTAGCATTATGTGCTAGATACTCAACCACCACTCCTGACATGCTCTGTTGTCCTGCTGGGCAGACGGGGAGAGGGGAAGAGGGGTACCAACACATACCAAGTGGTAGAGCTGCACGGCCTGGCGCACACTGCCCTGGAGCTCAGCCACGAGCTGCTCACACTGCTCCAGGCTCACTGCTGGTTCTGGAAGGGACAGACGTGGCTCAGCAAGGCCCATAAGAGTTGTCATTTCCAACCTGTCCACCCAGGGGCCGCTCAGAGCAAGAGAGGCCTATCCCACCACAACCCCCAACCCTGTCCAGCACCACATGCCCTGAGTCCCTTCCTCTGGCCTCCTTCCTTCTCAACACTCTCCCAATACCACACAGGAAACATGGTCCAGAGAGGGCCAGCTCCAGCCCCAGGGGCTAGAGGGCACTGAAGGGGAAGTGGGTCATAGAGAGGTCATAAAGTTTAGGCAGAGTGTCTCACCATCAGGGGTGGAACTTATGGACCGAAACAGGAGCAGACAAGATGAGAAACGCCAGAGGCTGGACCCACAGAAATGAGATGGAGCCAGAGAGCGGCCGACAAGACGGGAGAGAGAGGATGGGGCGGGAGATGAGAGCTGGGGAGCGGTGCACACCTGAGTCCCGGCTCAGGGTTGCCCCTGGCCTGGCACATTCCACAGGGCTAGGAGTCTTCTCAAGGGGTTGCACGTTCGCAGGGCCTCGGAGGAGGCTGCTGACTGGTAGTTGCTGGGCACGGGGGCTGTTGGGCCCAGGCTGAGCCTGGCACTCTGTCCTAGGCTTGGGAGTGGCACCCTCCCCTGAACAGGCCCGCCTCTCAGCTGTACTGTGAGCCTTTCCTAGCCCCGCTGGGCAGCTGGGCTGTTCTGCCTCACCAGGGGCCCGGCCCTTGGTAGCAGGTGAGAAGGTGGCCAAGGTGGGACGATCAGGCAGTGGCTTCGGGATATCCAGGACCAGGTGAGCTCGGCTGGGCAGGGCCAGCTTGTTGAGTGGTGAGATGCGGATGGGAGCAGGAGCTTGATGTTCAGCAGCCAGACCCAAGTTTTCCCCAACAGAGATGCTGCGGGCAATCTTGGCCATGGAACTGGTGGTGGGGCTCTGGTACGAGTGGGGCCGAGACAGACGGCGATCAGCTTGGGGCAAGGAGCGCAGGCAGCCCTGGGCCTCCCTCTCCTGTGAGAGCAACAGGCCTGGTGGAGGGGCCTCATCTGCAGAGAAGACAGAGACACACACGGGTTAGGGGGTGAGGAAGACATCCCGGGTGCTAAGGCTCAGCTCCCTGGGAGCTGCTGCGCCCTCACACCCACTAACGGACACCGACTGGAAGCCCAGTGACACATCAGGGCTCCGTGAGGCCACCTTCCTCGAGCATGACCAGGGGCTCCACACACCCCAGCCCTGGAGCTGAGCCCCCCGGGTGCCTCACCCTGTGGTACCAGACTCTGCACCGACTGGGCTTTCTGGAGTCCACCTGTGGGGCCGACTGCAGCCACTCTCTTGGGGGACCAGCCACTGTCCGGGCTGAGACGGCGTCGCGGCAGTAGCACAGGGACTGCCTGCTGGGGGCCAGGGTTTCCGGGGGAAGGCTCCGCCTCTGGGGGTGCTCCTGGAGGATTGGCACCGATGCCTCTTGGCTGCTCACCAGAAGCCTGCAGCCCCTGGGCTAGTCTTGACGTCACTGCCAGGCTTGAGGAAGATGGGGACGGTTCCCTAGGAAGGAAATGTGGAAGAAGGCCCAGAGAAGGCTCAGGGCTGCTCCCTGACAAGGCAGGGAGCAGGTCTCACAGCACTGAGGGGCGCTGGGAGAGAAGGGCAGGCACCAAGTCAGCCAGGACAAAGCTGGAAGGAGCAGTACTGCTGGGCAAGGAAGACTGAGCCTTGGAGAGGAGAGGGCTCAGTCTGCCCTGGGGCAGAACAGGCCCTACTGGGAGCACTGCGAGGTCAGGAGAGCTTGGGCTCCTTGTAGGAAAGCAAGCTGCTGTGGGGAGAGTACCTGAGTGGGGGGCTCTGCACTTGCAACAGGAATCGTGAAGAGATGCTCCGAGACTCGGTCCGCTCTGGCACCCGGACTGGGCCCCCTGCCAGGGTGACAGAAACCATGACTTGAAGCAAGCCCTGGCTCCAGACTCTGCCTCCCCTAGAAAGCCACCCCGGGCATGGCCTGCCTTTGGACCCTCCCTCTCTGCTGGGCAAGGAGGAAAGAAGGGAGGATTGCAATGACCAATCTGACCACACCTGGAGCAGCCCCGTTGGCCAGAGTCTCAAAGTGCTGTTTTAGAAACTGCTCCTGGTCTGGAGTATGGGGGCTGCCCTCCTGCACCTCATAGGGGCCAGTGCCCCCCTCGTCTTCCTCTTCTTCCTCATCACCCTCGGCTGGCTCTTCAAGGTCTGAGGAAATGCCGTCCACACTCAGGGGCTCCGTGCTCTCAGAGTCTGGATGTGGAGGAGGGGGAGGGAAGCATCACGCTGCACCAATCTGTCGCCAGAGCCTCCGCTCCCATCGGCGTGCTCCTGGCCCTCCCTGGGGCTGCAGCCTCACCTTCATTGGGGTGCTCAGGGCTGGAAAGGCGGCTGCTGCTGAAGTCCACAGAGCACGCACTGTCAGGACTGTGCTTCTCTGAGCCCCTGCCGTCTGCATACACTCTTCCCAGGGTCCCTCGGCTCGGTGCCTGCACCTGGAACTCACTGCCAGAGAGGCCATCAGGGAAAGGAAGAGGTGGTGAGCAGTGGTGAGCAGCAGCCCCATGGACTCCTGCCTTCCTCCTGTCCCATGAGCAGGACTGGAGATGAGGCAGGGTGCAGTGGTGGGCAAGCCGAGTGCCTGGAGCCAGCCCCCCACCCAAGTACAGAACACTGGGAGGGAAGGGAGACATGGGAGAGGGGTATGCATGGCCTCAGAAGTCTGTAAGACCCTTGCCTGGTATCCAGGGTGGGGCTATCACCCGGCTCCGGGTAGACAATACCATCTTCCATAGATGCGGGCTCCAGATCTTGGGCAAAGAGCCCTTCCTCTTGGGACAACAATCGGATGATGTGGGGGCAGGAACAGGGTTGGGAAGCCTGAGGCCGGGGGAGCTTTTCATTCTGGAAACACACAGAGCGGCATCACTGGGGTTGCTGATGTGAGCAAGGGTCTGGGAGAGGAGGTGCAGGGGAGCAAGGATTCAGTGGGCACCAACTCTGGGGGAAGCTCCGACTCTGAGAACAGATACCAAAAAGCCAGGCTAGGTTCCAACCAGTGTTCTTGAGCCTCTGGAAGAACCACATTAGCACTCTGGGCTGCCAACCTCCAGCCACTACTTTATATCATGAGCCCTCCAGGGAATCCCACCCAGGACAAAGGTGACCCCTTGCTTTTCCACCCAAGGGGAAAAGTGAGGCACAGACTCACCAGCCCCACCTGACTCTGCAGGTCAGGTTACCCATGCCCCACGGGGGCAGAGCAACCACCGCGGGATGAACGCTCAGGCACCACTGTTGGCACAAGGCTGGCTCAGCCAGCTTGGAGATCTGTAGGCTGCTGAGAGAAAGCGGGCTCACCTGGCTCACACTTGAGGTCTCAGGAGCCTGCTGACTGTGCTTTCCAGGACCTGAAGGGGTCATGGCCGGAGAGTCCTGGTGAGGGCCCCGAGGTCCTGGGGCCAGTGTCTCCAGCTGCCTCAGATCCAGCATAGAGCGAACACTCAGCTCCACGCCTGGCTGAGCCCAGCGCCCCCTCCTTCTGGGTCCTTGGTTGGTGTCAGGAGCTGGGTCCAGGAACTCCTCTGTCTCCTGTGCCTGGTATGGGGTGGGGGTGGGAGAGGAGTAACAGTAACAGTCAAACGATAGTATCAGCAAACACTCAGCCGTCACCTAGTGTGTGCCAGGCACTTTACATGTATTGGCTCATTAAATTCTCACAACCACCTTATGAGGTAGGTACTGAAGGGAAAGTGAAGCATATAGGGCTTCGGTAACTCGTCCAAGTTCCACAGGCAATCTGCCTGCAGGTTCTAGCTCAGGTAGCCTGGCTCCAGAGTGCGTGCTCTCAGCTTCACTCCATGTGCTGTCTTAGACGACCTTCCAGTCTGTCTTCACCAGCGTCATGGACACCTCAGACCTGGGAGTCTCTAAAAGGCCCCCACTCAGAGTACAGCCCCAGGTCCATACACAGCACCAAGGACAAACCAAGAGTCCAGGCTTGAGGTCCATGGCCTGGTCAGAAGGCGTCAGACCCCACACCACCATCATCCCATGAAGCTGCTGCTGACAGTGAAAGGAGCTGATGCTTGAAACCCTGACATGGAACAAGGGAGGGCTGAGCCGCCTCTGAAAGCCTCTCTCCTCCTCCTAGTCACCCGGAAGTCACCATTCAGTTATTGATCCTCTTAAGGCCTTTGCCCCCTAACTATTCTGGAAGTTCTGAGCTTACCTCCTAACCTTCTCTAGTACTAAAGTTTCTCCAGATTTCATTCTTTGGCCCTTTGACTTTCTTGAAATTTCCTTCTAACTGGTCAGCTCTGACCCTTTTCTAGTCCCCAGCTCCACCAGTTCTTTGCTCACATTTGCTCCCAGGGCCCCAGGTGGCTGAACAAGTGAAGTGCTGCCCCTAGTGGTGGCTGACCAATGTAGGCCACCTCCCCTGGCCTCACCTGGGCTTCACCCCTCACCCGGAACCATCCTTCGGGCTTCCTTGAACGCAGGGGGCGGGCACCTGGGCAGATCCGACGCCCAGATGCCTCGCCAGGTGTAAAGAGCCCCGCTTCCACCATCCTTCACCCCTTGTAACCTTAGAAGAACATTTTAACGATGATGACTCACCCGACTCATCTCCCAGTGGGACAGGCTTCGGGGCAGGGCTGGGCTGGGCACCGAGGCTAGACAGAGACAGGCAGTCAGAGAGCACGGCTCCCACCCACTCACTCTGAAGTGCCAGCCCCTACCAGCCCATACCCTTCAAAGCCTCAACTCCCTGCTCTCACCCCCTAGTCCCACTGCCCAACTGGTGCCTGCCTGGCCCCACCACAGACTCGCACAGACCTGGCTCTTTCTTGGTGCCCGTGGCAAGGATGGGCAGGGCTGGAAGCTCCTCCTCTTCAGTGCCCTCGTCTTCTCCCTCCTTGTCGCTGTCTGAGGAGAGAGCTGGTCCGGGAGACAGCATCGAGGGGGCCTCAGGCCTGCATCCAAGACAAGGAAGGTCACGGGGAGAGAAGACTCGGTGGGTGGAGAGGTCAGCGGCGTGGCTCTTCGAGTAAGGAACAGGTACAAGGAGACAGAGCTGCTGAGCGGCAGGTCCATAGGGAGGAGGAGCGGCCTGGAGGCCCACCCGCCGGCATCCACACCCACACTCTGATCTCACCGGTTGGGTCCAGCGGCCCTCTGGGGAGAGGACGATCCTTGCTGCTTGCCCCCACGCTGGCGCTGGCGCAGCTCAGCCAGTCGCTGCCTCATGCTGATGGTCATCTCCGAGCTCAGGCGCCACACAAATATGCAGCTGGGGTGGAGCCACAGAGCTGGGTGAGGGGCGGGGGGACTGTAGGGGGGGCAGCACCGCTAGCGCCCCTCCTCCCCGGGCTGGCAGGGAGATCAGACCCACCCTCCAGGGCCGGGCCTGTTCAGCCCTACTTCCCAAGACATCACTGATGTGGAGAGAGGGGACTGACACAGGAAGAATCTCAGGGAAGCTGGCTTCTTGCTCACCTGTCCCCTGATACAGAGATGAGATGTTTGCAGTCATTACTAAACTTCATGCCAGTGACAATCTCTGTGAAGAACAAATATGGCCGATGAGCCCCCCGCCCGAAGTCCCAGCCAGATGTCTTCTCAACAGTGGAGGTCGGGGGTTGGCTGGAGGGAAGGGACAGACAGCTCTGCTGGGACCCAGAAAAGGCCAGGGAGAAACGAGAAGGTTCCAGTGGGAGACTAGCAGGGCTATACTCACCTGAGTGGCCAAACATGGTAGCCACGCACTCGCCTGAGGAAAAGTCAAAAATGGAGAGGTTCTTGTCGGAGCAGCTGGTAGCGATGTAGATCCCTGAGGGGTCCGTCTGCACCTGAAGAGTGGACACACAGCAGGATGAGGCCACCCAGCACCCTCCGCCCCCATTCTCTGGCCCGGCACCTATCCCACTGAGCCCTCACCTTAATCAGAGTGCCATCCTCACCCTGCGACCCTTTGAACAGTTTCTTCTGCTTCCCACTGCTGATGTTAAAGATCCTGTGAAGATACACACTCATCACATGAGCAGGAACTCATGGTCGCTTGGGGGGCAGCACAGCCAGCGTTCACCCCCAGTTCTGTTCTCTCTGGAAGCCACTCCCCAACACCAAAGGGGCCGCCACCTCTTAGGTGAGGCAAAGTCCTCATTCTGTGGGCTCAAGGGGCACAGAGTCCTGGACAAGAAGATAGACACCCGAGAGCTGACGCCCTCGGGCCTGAAGGAGAGCAGTCAGATGGTCTGAGAAAGGGATGCCCACCGAATATTCCGATCCTGGCAGCCGATGGCTGTGTACTTCCAGCTGGGCTCCACATCCATGTCGTAGAGGGTCGTCTTCCGCACCACGTGGTGTGTCCGCGTAAACTGCACTCCATCTCCAGACTGCAGGGGTGGAGACCCCACGCCCAAATGCCTCACCAGGCCCAAGGAGCCTTGCTTTTGCTTCCCCTCACCTCTTGTGACCTCAGGGAGGGGAATGGTAGTGACCCCACCCCTCATCCCCAAACCCACTGCCCCATTCAGGGACGCCTGGTCACCTCACCTTCTGCGCAGTGCGGAAGTAGATGCTCTTGTCTGCTCCACAGCTGATCATGCGGACTTGCCCATCGCTGGCTGCAGAGGAAGGGGGACGAGCTGTTCCCACTGCTCTTACCACAGTAGATCCAGTCTGCCCTCTGCCTCCCTCAACACTTTCCCTCTGTGAGCTACTCGACACAGCTGGGACCACCCATTAAATCAGGATGAAGTGAAAAGTGAAAGCGTTATTCACCCAGTCACGTCTGACTCTTTGTGACTCCATGGACTGTAGCCCACCAGGCTCTTCTGTCCATAGGATTCTTTAGGCAAGAATACTGGAGTAGGTTGCCATTCCCTTCTCCAGGGGATCTTCCTGACCCAGGGATGGAACCTGGGTCCCTGCATTGCAAGCAGATTCCTTACTGTCTGAGTCCCAGAGAAGCCCTAAATCAGGATGCTTCTCTTCAAACCTGGGCCCTCCTTTCTCCTCATCCTCAGCAAACCTGGTTGGTAAGGATTCCCTGGACTAACGGTCTATATTTCACCTGTCTTCCCATCCAGCCCCAAGCCAGCCAGCTGCTGTCCCACACTCCCCGTGACTGGCACCCCTTCTAATGGAGGCAGAACGCAGGGGGCAGTAGGGGGCAGGGCGTGTCAGTGGTAGGTGGCAGAATGTATCCCAATTGCCCTGCCACTACCTGCAAACTTCACAGCAGTGATGGAGGATGAATGCTCGTCCAGTGTCTGCTGTAGGCTGTACTCCCGTCCAGCATCCAACACGTGGATCAGCCGGTCCCGGCTTGCTGACGCTAGGAGCTTCAGACCTGGGGTTGGAAGAACTCCATCAGCTCATGCATGCCCAGAGCACGCCCCTATCTGGGCCAAGCTAACAAGAACTGAGCACCATATCCCTAAGCCAAGCCAACCATGGAGATGGAGCAGAGCTGCCCTCCTCTCAATCTGCAAAGACACCAAATGATTCAAAGGATTTTCAGTCCCACATCCAACAGCCAGGATCGATGTAAGTGGCACTAGCAGGATAAGAGGAGCCTAAGCCTCTGGCATGGGTACCAGACATCCTCTTTACCTGTATTCGGCTTAGAGTACTCCAGGCACAGGATTTCCGAGTCATGGGCCTCCACCTTCAGCATCTCATTTAGGGACTGCAGTTCATGCACCCTGCAGAGATAAGGAGAGGCAGGAGGAGGTCACTGCCGGGCTGCAGGAAGACAGACTCACTCTGCTTTCTCTGTTACATCCTCTCTCCTGACCTTTTTTAAAATTTATTTTTGAACTTTCAGGTTAGAGAAAAGTTGAAATAAGTACAGAGAGTTTCCATATTCCCCTTACCCAGCTTTCCCTAATGTGATCATCTTATATAACAACAGTCCACTTACCAGAACGAGGAAGTTTACATCGGTACAATACTAGGATCTAAAGGTTCTACTTGAATTCCACCAGTTTTCCCACAATGTCCTCTTTCTGGATCTACAATCCTATCCAGAGTCCAACTGCATTGAGTTATTATTTCTCCCGAGTTTCCTGTCTATAACAGTTCTTCAGTCTTTGCTTCCCTTTCATAATCTGGACACTTGGGAAGAGTACTGATTAGTGCAGGTGCTCGGTCATATGTACCTCAGTTTGAGTTAGTCTGATGTTTTCTCATGATGGGACCGAGCTTCTAAAAGCAAGAATACCACAGAAAAACTGCTATGTCCTTCTGTAGAGCATTGTATTATGGGGTTTATGATGTTGATATGCGAATGTAAGCCTGATTACTTGATTAGAACGGTTTCTGCTGGGTTTCTTGACTATAATTATCTTTCCCTTGTATATGAATATCTTTTCCCCAATCTTTTTGAGCCAAGCTTTTCAAAAGCTCTATCCTTGGGGACCTAACTCCCCCCAGTCACACCACCAGAGGCAGGTGGTACCCATGCCAGAGCTGGCTTTACCTGAGAGTGCCCACACGGTCCCCTGAAGCGAGATGCTGTCCATTGGGGCTGATACACACAGAACGAATGCCCACGCGGGGATCCATCAGGGACCCATCAGCTTTGTCTCCCCCGGGCAGCTCAGTGTCCAGCAGGGCCTGAGTGTTCCCATCCACATAGATGATCTTAATGAGGTCCTGGTGGAGCAGGTCAGAAGTGGGTAAGACAGGTCTGATCAGTACAGGAGCAAGAGGAGAGGAATGCTGGACAAGACAAACCCCTGACTTGCAGAGGAAGGCGACATAAGAACTCAGAGGTCAAGTCTGGGGACCCAGTTCCTGAGAAGGAGCATGAAGGCAAGGGAACACAGGCATTCGGCATGGAGGGGCCCAGGCTCACATTGCTGAGGATGTTCCGGTGCAGCGTGGAGCCATGCACCCCGGAGCTCTCTGTGTTCCACAGGCGGATGGTGTTGTCGGAGGAACAGGTGATAAAGGAACTAGGGGGCAGGCAGGCCTGGTTACTGTCCTTCACTTCGGGGTAGACCTGAAGGGGCAGAGGGTACAAAGTCGGAGCTCCAGGCAGGCAGCAGTCGCTTGCCAGCCCACGGAGACAGAAGGGAATGAGACTAAGGAGCTGTTGTTGGCCAAGGCTGAGCCCAGAGTCACATGGTAAGCAAACTGCAACTATTAGATATTCTTCAAATCACTGAGGGAAAGCACATTCACCAAATAGCAGGTACTCTTCTATGCTTACTATGAAACCCTCCACTCACAGTTTTTCACTTAATTCTTAAAACAATTAGATGAATTAAGTACATCATTGTACCACTGAGGAAACGAGACTCAGGTAAGTTCAGTAACTTGTTCAAGATAATCCAGCCTAGGACAAGGCAGAGCTGAGGATGGACAGGGGCCCATTGGAAGAAGCCTGAGACGTTTAAGCACTAAAATTCAAGATCGATCCCCAGGACCCATCTGAGGATATGTGGATACACAGGGCTGCTGCTGAAGAAAGGAGGAGGGAGCAGGAACACAGTGTTCTGCTTGGGGATCCTCACTCTCCATCCTCACAATGTGTCCAAGCCAGGTCACCTACCTCCACACTCCAGACGCAGGAAGAATGATACAGAGCTGAATACACCTTGCCCACTTTCTTGGGGTCCCTCACATCCCAAACATAAATGCTGTGGTCGTTGTACACACAAGACAGCCACTGATTAGTAGGATCGAAGGTCAAGGCGATAGTGTCTGGATATCTGGCATTGGCCGCTCCAGAGAAGAGGCGACTGGGGAAGAAGACAGTGCAAAGTGGTGAGTGAGGAGCTGTGGAAATGAGGGAATGAAAACACAAGCCAAGCCACAAAGCAAGGAGCAGAGCATGAGAGCCCTCTCCAGACCCACAGGTTTAGAACCAGCTGCTTGAGAGGAAAGCACTGCTCTGACAGCTCTCGGCTGGGAGCCGCCCCAGCACGAGCTGCCGGACCACATGCTCTCCTGACAAGCACGGACCAGGTCTCAAAACACCAACGGCAGACAAGGTGCCTGTGGCCACAATGGAGCGAAACAAAAACAAGACCACTCTGCAGTGGTTCTGAGACAGATGAAAACAAGATCACTGCACCAGCCACAGAGAAGACGGACCATCACCCTTTCCCATCTTTCGGGACTGACTGCTATTCCTTTACCGATCAGTTACAGCTTTAGCACCACACCTTTCCTTCTACCTTTCAGACATAAATTATGAAATGTCCAATTGTGGAATTGCCCCCGCCCCCCCCTGCCAGTTCCTCACAGCATCCAGCCGAAGCAAAACATCAGTCCCTGAACCAGTCCTAAAATCATTGAATGCAAACCCAAATCTGACACTAAGCCCCCCCTGACGCCTGCATACAGAGATACTCCATGGTCCCCCGCGATATTCCATGTACTCATACAGTCAAATCTGTGTTTCTGCAGAGACGTTCCTGTAATCTTTGGGGTGCTGATACCTTCACCTTGAAGCAGAGGCAAAGAAGGCTGGGTGCAGAATCAAGTTCTGAAATGGAGGCAGGGGTCCCGCACAGCTCACCTGGCCTCCGTGACACTGGCGATGTCTGTCCCCAGGGCGTGGGGCCGGGGCAGGGTGCTGAGGAAGTGCAGGTTGGAGGGGTTGAAGAGGCGCACGGTGCCATCAGCGCAGCCACAGAAGATGTAGTCCTGGCTCACGGAGATGCAGTGGGCCACGGTGGTCTGCAGGCAGAGGGGCTCGGCTCAGCAAGGGCCACCCCCTCAACCCCTCCTCAACAGTCACCTGCCTAAAGGAGACACCCACCAAGGCAGGGGCGAGGGGAAAGTGGCCCAGCTGCACAGGCCTGAGCCCCTTAGCTGTTCCCTAGAGACACCCGCCCTCCAGCAGCAGGTGGCCAGAGGGCCCACATCCACGTGCGGACTGGGGATGGGAGTCTGGGAGCCTTGGAAGGCACCAGTGGTTTTGGCCAAGAGGACAAAACAGGAAAAGCCCAGCAAAGAGAAAGGAACAGCATGAGAAAGAGGGGAAGAGTCTAGTACCACTTACTGTGAAGCTGTCTGTGTTCTGAGCAGAAGAGGAAAGCAAGGGAAAGAAAGACAGAAAGAGAGAGCAGAGAGGAGGCAGTTACACCCATCTGCATGGGCTGGAACCCGGCCAAGCGCTGGCCTCAAGCTTCCTCCTCCTGGGGACCCCTCCCACGTGCAGGCCCCGCCCCTGGGGCGGAGCCATGGGCAGCAGCTCTGCCCTGGGCGAAGACCCGGGCAGCCCCCACCCAGCTGGACAGAGGTACTTACTCTCAGCTCCACCCACTTGTCCAGAAGCCTCCGGTCACTGAACTCGCACAGCAGCCCTGAGGACGTGATGCAGAAGGTGCTGTCTGCCTTCTTCCCTCTGCCACAGGCCACGTCAGTGAACAGGTTGTTCCGCAGCTCGCCCAGCAGCCCTGAGCGGCCCAGCAGGGGCACGGTGGCGTTAACCTGTGGAGACACACCGCTGCTGCCCACCCATCCACCCTTCAGCCACCCCAGAGACTTGGCCTGGGGAGAGGGTTCCAAGAGACACAGCAAGTCCCCCCACTGCCTGCCCTTTGAGACTATCCCTAGGCGCAAGCAGCACCTGATTCATCCAGAACTTTTGGGTGGCTGGTGAGCAAGCAGAGAGGGGGCCCAAGGGAGCAGCGTCTCCTGGGGTGGGTGAGCAGACCCTGGCCCTGGAGGCTATTTCCAGCCTCAGCACCTCACCTTTGAGGTCTTGCTGTCATCAAGGTACCAGAATTTGATATGCCGGTTACCAGCAGTGACAAAGTAGCTGCAATCTTCAGAGAAGGACACCGCGGTGACCCGACTGGACACCTTATTGGAGGCCACCACGATGTTTTTCTGGAGAGAAAGTCAAAGGAAGAATCAAAGTTCTGCCTCTTGGAGTGATGAAGAAAGAGGCTCAGAAGATAGAGGAGGATAAAATAGGATTTGTACTTTAAAATGTTTCTTTCTAGGATTTGGACTTCCTTGGTGGCTCAGGTGGTTAAGAATCTGCCTGCCATGCAGGTGACCCAGATTCGATCCTTGGGTCAGGAAGTTCCCCTGGAGAATGGAATGGCAACCCACTCCAGTATTCTTGCCTGGAGAATTCCATGAACAGAGGAGCCTGGCAGGCTACAGTCCATGTGGTTGCAAAAAGTCGGACACGACCGATCAACTAACACTTTCTTTCACTTTTCAGGATTTACTGGTCAGAAAAAGAGGGGAGGAAGGAGAATCCTTTTCCAGAGGAGCTGAAGACATTCATTTCCTCCAAAGGTCCTCGGAGGCATAAAGCTAGCCTCTTTCTACCAACACACTTGGCTACACAGTTCCTCTTTTCTGCTTCAGGTCATTTTCTAGAATGTAACTGAGCAGCAGAGTGGAATGAAGGGACTCAAGTCAATAGCTTCCTGACTCCTCAACTGGCCCTTGGACCCCCCTGCAGGTGCTAAGCCAGCCCAGCCGGGGCCACTCACCTTCCAGGCCCAGACATTGACGATCATGTCATGCTGGTAGCCCACAGAGACGATGTACTTGGCGCTCGGGGAGAAGGCCACACAAGCCACGCCATACTTGTGCTCCTGCAGCTCAGCCACCTGGCTGTGCTCTGCCACATCCCAAACGCGCACGGCAGGCATGTGCCCACTCTGCGGGAAGGCAGGAACAGGCGGTGAGGGCCAGAGGCACAGCCTCCCTAGCCTTTCAGGGTGGGGGCCCTACCTCTCCAGTGACTGGGCACAGTCTCTCTAAGGATCCCCTGGCCAAAGGCAGAGTGCTACACAGGCGAAGGTATAGAGGAAACATAATAAATTTCTCAGGATTACAACCATTATCAGAGAGAAAATGCTTCCAGGCTCAGTTCAGTATCTCCGGGTGAGGGTCTGCACCTCTGTATTTGTTCAAAGTTCCTAGAGTGATGCTGATGGGCAGTCAGGGTTGAGGACCACTACCACCCACACCTATTTCTGCCCCTACTGCCTCCCTGTAAGAGACTGAGAGGGACAGGTGTCCCACATGTGCCCAGCAGGGGGCCCCCTGGCATAAGGAATATCTTAAGGCAGAGGTTTTCACAGTGTGCTTCCTAAACCAGCAGAATTAGTGAGATCTGAGAACTAGTTAGAAAATGCAAATTTTGGGGTCCCTTCCCAGGCCCACAGAACCAGAAACTCTGGGAGCAGGTCCAGCAATGTGTGCTTTAACAAGCACTTAGCTGACTCTGATGCCCATTAAGGCTTCAAAATCACTGTTTCATGGTGCAACCAAAACTGGGATTTGACACCGGTTCAGGACTTCCCTGGTGGCTCAGATGGTAAAGCATCTGTCTACAATGCAGGAAACCTGGGTTCAATCCCTGGGTCGGGAAGATTCCCTGGAGAAGGAAATGGCAACCCACTCTAGTACTCTTGCCTAGAAAATCCCATGGACAGAGGAGCCTGGTGTCCGTGGGGTCACAAAGAGTCGGACACAACTGAGCAACTTCACTTTCACTTTCAGGAAGCCAGAGTGGCAGCAGCCCTAACCAGGCCCAGTGCTGAAGTCCTCTGCTGTGGCCAGGCCACCTGCCCTCTTCAGAGCTCTGCAGCCCCCTTCCTCACTCACCTCTCCAGTGACCAAGTACTTGCCATCAGGAGAGAAGGCAAGGGCAGTGATGGTTTTCCTGCAAGAAATGAAGTGGGCTCAAAGGGGCACAGGCAGCCCGGTCTAAGCCTGGCTCCCTCACAGCCCCCTCAAGAGGCAAGACCAGCAGACAACCAGCGGTACAGGTGGCATTTCCCTGGCCGGCCCGGGGGCCCAGCCACATCCCCCTCCCCAGAGCCACAGAGACCCCAAACAGTGCCTTCTCACAGCTCCCGGGAGATGCTCCCCGAGGGCCCAGACCCACTTACCTGGAACTGTTAAGGATGTGGTGCTGTTTGTGTTTCCGGGGATTGAACAGCACGACCACACACCTGGGGAGATGAGGAAGGCAGCCCAGCTTCAGCACCAAGCCGCGGCGCCCCCAGGAGTGCCAGGGAGCTGCAGCGATCAGCTCATAGGGGCATCACTAGCCACAGAGGGCAACTGACTGCTTTCTCCTGGAAACTTGTTCTTCCTGCTTCCTTTCCCACCCACAAGGGCCCACTTCCCAGCCTCATGAGGTGGAAGGGCTCCCTGCAGGATGGCTCACCACGTGCCCCAGCACCAGCACCATCTCTGACAGGGCAACAGGGACCCAGGCCCTCCCAGAGCCTCGCAAGCCCAGGAAGGGGGCGGAAGGGGAGAACTCAGGCGATCTGGGCAAAGCAGGCTGCAGGCGCACACAGCCAGTTTGGCTTGGAGTCACAAGTGTGTCAGTACTTGTGCTCCCAGGACTGAGGCCTCTCACACGTGTGTCCACATGTATACCTGGCAAGGGCCAACCCCACCCCTGCCCCGTCCACGTGTATACTTGGCAAGGGCCAACCCCACGCCTGCCCCGGCACACATACCCCCTCAGTGCATCAGGTGATGGAGCGGGTAGAAGGCAGGGACCAGAACGGCCAGGAGGTTCGATAAGACTAGAGGGAGGGGCAGAGACAGCCTGGGAGGGCCTGGGAAGCCCAGCCCTGAGGATCCCTGGCCCTAAGGAGCCTGAGAAGGACCCTCCAGACTGCCAGAAGACAATGGAAGAAGGCTGGGAGCACCCTCTCCAGCCAGAGGGCAAGGTTGGATGGGACTGGGCTCTGACTGACTTTCCAGGTAGCAGGAGTTGGGAGCAAGAAGCAGGAAGCCACAGCCAGCAATGCACTCCCTTAGGCTCCCGGCTGTCGGCAGGCTGGGCCTCACCGCCCTTCTGCTCATGGCTGCATCAGAACTGTGACTAGCTGATGGAGCAGGTGTGGAGCCTGCTGCCCCAGGTGAGGGGAGGGGAGAGATGGTTCAGACACAGCCTTGATTAGTGGGGAAGCACTACAGCCCCCATACCTAAAACGACCACTTGCTAGGAACTCAAAACCAAAGTGAGTACAAGTTGGTAATGACGACTTAGCGTCTCAGGCTCAATAAATGACTTTAATATACAAATTCCACAGGTAATTTCTGGGGACACTGGGATCTCTGAGGGACACCTGCTATGCCCAGAACTGCCAGGCTGACTGACAGCCTTGGAATTCCTGAGTCTCAACATCTTTTCCTCTAACCTATCCCCAAATCCCTTCTTAATGCTCTTTTTTCTCCCTCCATCTTCTAATCTTTGCTTCTTTTCCCTCATTACTTTCTCCTTCTCTCTTTATACCAACTTCCAGTCTTCCACTTCCCTTCTAGAATACCATGTCAGGAGGGTTTTTTAAAACTTGACCAAAATCACATGGCTTCGGAAACTCTGTGCCCCATCACTCTCCTTCCCCTATCCCAACACACACACACACACACACACACACACACACACATGTCCAGCTTCTGTTAGGGGCAATCCAGGATGCAGGGGATCTAATTCCTCCCAAACAGGTAAGATTCATAGAACCTCAGAGCCAGAAGGAAGGATGGAAGGAATTAAATGCAATGTGCTGGGTAACTTTAAAGATCATCTGGTCCAACTCTCCCAAGTTTTGAAGTGAGGAAACTAGGCTCAGAAATCTAGTCTCCGCTAGAGAGCAGGTCTTGCGGTGTCCTGTGCTCCCTACATCAAACACTGTGTCTGTTTGATCTGACTGTGTCACCCCTGCTGAACATCCCTGGGGAACTTCTAAGATGCAAGCCCTTAAATAAGGGCTGTGTGACGGCCCTGGGTGGTGTGGTCCCTGCCCCACTCCACCCTCACCCGTCTGCTCGCTGTGCTCCTCCCACCCCATGCCTTTGCTAGAGCCCCTTCCTGTCCAGAGCACTCCCCCCGCCTTTCCCAACTGGTCAACACTTAACCTCTTTCACATCTCAGGTCAGATGGCCTCGGTATATGCTCTCACAACACAGTTGTACCAGTCTTTTGTGACATTTATCACAACTGCAATTTAACATTGTTTTACATGTTAAAATGTATTTTATTGAAGTATAGTTGATTTACAATGCTGCGTTAATTTCTGCTGAGCAGCACAGTGATTCAGTTTTTTACATATACACACATTCTTTTTCATATTCTTTCCCATTACAGTTTATCACAGGGCATTGAGTCCAGCTACCTGTGCTACACAGTAGGACACTGATTACAGACTGCCTCCACCACCCGACTGTGTCTTTCACGAGGGTGGGAACTGTGCCTGGTTTTGCTCACTGCTGTGTCTCCTGTGTCTAGCAGAGTCTGTTAGGTTTAGTTGTTCAAAACCATTTGCTGAACGGATGAATGCTCCCCTGGTCCCCTAGCTTGGTCAACTGGGGTATCCGTAGGCCCGACTCTCCTCCCTAGCATGCCCACCTGTCTCCTATGAGAGGCGACACCGAAGATCTCTGGATCCTCAGAGCAGTGAGGGGCAGTGGGGAGATGGTAAGCTCTGGAGTCAGACACCAGGGTTGGAGTCCTTGTTCTGTTATGAATAGCTGTGTGCCCCTGGGTAAGTCACAAGCTATTTCATAATCTGTTTAAAAGGAGCCTCTAAGATCAAGCTATCAGGACTTCTGTATAGGATCAAATAATTTTTTGGACACGTAGTGGGACCAAACAAATGGCAGATCTTACTATTCCTCCTCCTGGAGCACAGACAAGAAGCCAAAAGAGACTCCAGGCAGTGGGGAATGAGGTGGTCAAGGGCTATGTGTCAGGTATCTCCTTCAGAAAAACAGGGGTAAGTCCTGTTAGGATCTGAGTAATGGTAAACACTTTAAAGGAAGCTTTATTTATTTCTGGGAAGGCAGCCAAGGAAAGAGAACTGGGTTAAGCTTGGGGAAAGAAAGTATCTACATCTTCATCCATTTAGGAAACGATAACCTTGGAAGGTAGCAAGGAAGGGATGGGGGGAATGCTGAGGGAGACTATCCCCAGGCACTAGGACAGCAGCACAGAAAGAGAAGGGAGGCGAAACCACCCGGCTAAGTTAGGAAGCACCATGCGGTTTCAATGAACTCTCAACACAATGGTGTTCCACCTCCTTCAGTAACTGGTCTGCTCTTCACACTGCAGGCCCAACAAGAAGAGTTACCATTTATCCAGCAGGTTCTGTGTAGTGGGCACTCTGCTAAGCACCTGAGAGATCTGGTCTTAGCTTATCCTCACAACAAGTTTTGTGGTTGGTACAATTATCCCCACTTCAAGGTGGAGAAACGAGTCCAGAGGCCTTTTCAAGGCATCTCAGCGAAAGCAAAACAGTCAGGATTTCAGGAGCTGTGCTCTAAGGAAAGCAGAGTGGAGTAAGTGAGAGAAGAGAAAACTGAAATTGAAGGAGAGACAAGCCGAGAAAGCACACCGACCTCATGCACAGGGCGCCAGGGCAGAAGCCTCTGAGAAGAGGGAAATAAGACTGGGGCGCTGAGAGGGAAAAGGGATTCAGGCTACAGAATTCCGGGAAATCGTAACGGGGCACATGAAAATTATAGCAGTTATAGGTCAAAGTTCATAGGTCTAAATATTTAGATTTTAATATTTTATTCAGTGTATGAAAAATCATAACCCCTCAAGCCTGACACCATTAGCAAAGCCCAGAAAGTTTTCAGGAAAGCTGACATTTTCTAAGGCTAAGAAGGGCTCCACAGGCTTGTCCTCTCTGGTGACGGCTTCTGGTCTGAATGGTTCTGGGTTACCTAGCTTTCAGATCAGCTCCAGATAAATCACGGCAGAGGGCTTAGGCCGAGAGCAGATCTGACTTGAATTGGATCAATACAGATTCTGACACATTCCACATTCAGAAAAAGCAGGTGATGCAGGCGCCTTCAAACCCAAAGCAGCATGGTGACCTTTCAAGGGCAGTGCATTAGACAGCTTAACACACTCTCCAGTCATTGCACATAAGTCTTGAGCCTTGCTGGACCGTAGCGTTTTTTGTTTCCTCCTTCCCTGGGTTTGACTGACTCCACCGTGGTGGGAAGAGGGAGAGCAGCGTGTGTGCATAAACAGACAATGTGGACAGAGGATGACAAGCTATGAGGCAAACTTTCCCTTCTCTAACACCTCCCAACCACCCAGCACAGCCTGGAAAAGTCTCTGAGTGGCATGGGAGAGTTAAGCCGAGGAGGGAAACACACAGAGACTGGCCCTTAAGCTGAAATTTTTACTTCTAATTATTCAAATTCGGGGACCTTCCAACAAAGAGAAAGAGCTGGAAAGAGACCAATCCACGGTCACAGCTCCACTTGTGAGGACAATAATGCAGATGGTGAAGGGAAGGCACGACTTGGCAAAGACCTCCAAGGTTTCCCTGTGACCACCTTGCTGAGGTCCCCCCAACAGAAGACACCTCAAAAAAACTGATGTGAGAGCCTCCTCAGTCTTCTCTGACCTTTGAATAAGTTTCTCAGTCTGATAGGACTGAGATGGGCAGGGTGCCGTTTGCACCAGCCTTTGGCCTTTGGCCTCCACATCCCTTGACCCTGGCCAGCACAGCAGGCAGTCATCGGCATGTGCCCGAGCAGCAGGGCTGGCTGCTGGCCTCCATCTAACAGGGCTGGGCTGGCCCAACCGGCTGGGTCCCGTAATTCAGAACCCCAGGGTGCAGGTGCAGGGAGAGTGCTCCCTCTCGCAGGGAGGTGGTGAGGCCTCAGTCCCTCTGGGCCTCAGGCCAGGAGTCACGTGGCAGAGCACCCATATCAGGTGCTGGGCCTGCTGCCCAGGGACTTCTCTGAACCCGAAGGGTCAAGCCCTCGACTGCCCCCCTCCCCAGGCAAGTCCAGGCCTGCTGCCGTCACCAAGAGCCCAGCGTTCCCACAGGATCCGCCTCCTACGACTCTCCATCCTCCAGAAGGCAGAAACAAATGAACCCTGGGATGAGCAAGGAATGCAGAAGAGGCACACACAGGGAGAACACAGAAGGTCTGAGCTGTGACCCTGCACCTAAACTTTCCTCTTTCA